AAAGTAGTCCGCTTTATTTTTTACAATTATTTTAGATGTTTTAAGGCTGTAAATCCCCTTACTACACACTTTATACACTTTTCTCATTCAGATATTTTGACACTTCACTCTCATGTTTAAACACTCTCAAAAATCAAACCTTTATAGAAAAATAAGTCCAGTATTTTATAATGAAACCAAAGATCAAAACTATTGGATTTCATTTATTAATTCTGTAATGTCGCACTACAGCCGTATAACTTCTACCTTTCTTTAGCGTGTTCAAAAGCTAAACTTTTTGTGCGATGGTTAGCATCTTCCTCTGCCTTTTGGGTGTTTCCACTGAACTCATTCTGTACTGTACAGGAGACACATGGAGGAGATTGACTGATAATGGTCTACAGCCAATCAGGATGCAGAACACAATGCACTAATCAGAAAGCAGAACACAATGCTCTGTAGAAAAAAGCATGTTAGATTTCACAAAAAGAAAAAAATCGAGAAACTGCAAGGCAGAGAAAAGTTAACCATGTTATAGCAAGGGACCACTTTAGTAGTATTGAGAACTCATGAAGAGCTTTTAAAAGGTGTAAAGGACTCAAAACATCACACAAATATATGAATATCTCCTGCAATGAGCAAACTTTCTATGCTTTTTATGGTCACGTGTCTGTTTTTTTGTCTGCTTTGATTTGTTTCATCCATGTTGGATTCATATTTCTATCAAATTTCAACAGAGTTTGCTTTGAATGGGATTGAAACCCTTTGTTATCAGTCCACTTTTTTGGTGTGCAACAATGTTTGGATTGCAGAGTTTACATTTGGGCTACTAAAACAAACCACACTAACAGAGTTGGCGTCAATCAAATAAAAGCTGCCAAATGTAAACACAAGGTGTTTCTCTCAGTTAAAATTTGAAGAAAAAAACAGATGAAATTCCCAACTAAAATAAAAAAAAAAATCCAATGTTTCAGTATTTTGCAGTCCTTTGTGGCTCACATGATAGGATGCTGTCTTCCTGTAATGCGCTATGAACAGGTGGTCTGTGTCCTCGAGGGAATGTTCTCCCTCCTGTGTTATGCTTCAGTCATCTGCAATCTGACTGAGCAACAGAAAAATACCTTTCCATTGTGTCAATGAGACCTTTGGGATTAGGTTTTGCAGGTGGAGACATTAATGAGACCCCGGGTTTGAGTCCCTGAACGGTTGATTACCTCTATGATTGGCCAAGAAGGAAACCCCCTCCAGAAACAACAGGTAAAGCAACAAATGTTCTTAGCACATTTATTGAACTGAAAACACCACCGTAAGCCGATGTTGTCCGAGACTGAATTTGGCTGATCTTTTATTTGTAGGTTTGACCATATACAAAGGTGTCGAGGACACTTTCTTCAGACATGTTCTTAAAAATAAAGATTCAAAAGATAGTTTTTTTTTATTTCACAGCATTGCCATAGAAGAATCCATTTGGACTTGGAGAACAGTTCTTAAAGGGATACAATGCCTCTGGAAAGTATTCATAGCGCTTCAATTTTTCTACATTTTTTTTTTTTGTTTCAGCCTTATTCCAAAATGGATTAAATTTATTTATTTCCTCAAAATTCTACACACAATACCCCATAATGACAATGTGAAAAAAAATTAAATTGTTGCAAATTTATAAAAATAAAAAACCTTAAAAAAAGCCACATGTACAGAAGTATTGACAGCCTTTGCTGTGAAGCTGTAAATTGAGCTCAGGTACATTCTGTTTCCACTGATCATTCTTGACATGTTTCAGCAGCTTAATTGGAGTTCACCTGTGGTAAATATAGTTGATTGGACATGATTTGAAAAGGCATACACCTGTCTATATAAGGTCCCAGGGTTGACAGTGCATGCCAAAGTACAAAGTAAGCATGAAGACAAAGGAATTGTCTGTAGACCTCCGAGACAGGATTGTCTCGAGGCACAAGGCTGGGGAAGGTTACAGAAAAAATTTCTGCTGCTCTGAAAGTTCCAATGAGCACAGTGGCCTCCATCATCCATAAGTGGAAGATGTTTTGAAGCACCAGGATTGGGGGAGAAGGGCCTTAGTCAGGGAGGTGATCAATAATCCAATGGTCACTCTCTCTGAGATCCAGCGTTTTTCTGTGGAGAGAGGAGAACCTTACAGAAGGACAACCATCTGTGCAGCAATCCACCAATCAGGCCTGTATGGTAGAGTGGCCAGACAGAAGCCACTTCCCACCTGGAACTTGCCAAAAGGCATCTGAAGGACTCTCAGACCATAAGAAACAAAATTCTTTGGTTTGATAATACTAAAATTAAACTCTTTGGATTGAATGCCAGGCGATACGTTTGGAGAAAACAAGGCACTGCTCATCACCAAACAAATACCATCCCTACAGTGAAGCATGTTGGTGGCAGCATCATGCTGAGGGGATGTTTTTCAGCAGCAGGAATTGAAAGACTAGTCAGGATAGAGGAAAAGATGAATGCAGCAAATGTACAGAGACATCCTGAATTAAAAATAACCTGCTTCAGAGTGCTCTTGACCTCAGACTGGGGCAAGACATCTTCCAGCAAGACAATGACCCAAAGCACACTGCCAATATATCAACACAGTGGCTTCACAACAACTCCGTGAATGTCCATGAGTGGCCCAGCCAAAGCCCAGACCTAAATCCTAAATCTCCGTCTCTGGAAAGATCTGAAAAAGGCTGTACAGCGTCGCTTCCCATCCAACCTGATAGAGCTTGAGAGGTACTGCAAAGAGGAATGGGCAAAAATTCCCAAAGACAGGTGTGCCAAGCTTGTGGCATCATATTCAAAAATACTTGAGGCTGTAATTGCTGCCAAAGGTGCATCAATGAAGTATTGAGCAAAGGCTGTGAATACCTCTGTGATTTTTCAGGGTTTTTCAATTTAAGAAATTTGCAACAATTAAAAAAAAAACTTTTTTCACATTGTCATTATGTGGTATTGTGTGTAGAATTTTGAGGATATAATATAATTAAATCCATTTTGGAATAAGGCTATAACAAAAAAAAATGTGGAAAAAGTGAATCGCTATGAATACTTTCCGGATGCACTGAAGTTCATCTAAAAATGTACTCATCCTTCACTTGTTTAAACCTGTTTAAGTTTCTTTTGTTCTGCTGAACACAAAAGATATTTTAAAGGATGTTGGGAACTCATATCTACTGACATCCATTATATATTTTCCCCATAGTATGGATGCTATATTTCCATCCAAAGTTGGAATATCATGTAAAACATTTGTGAATAAAGCACAGTCTAGATTCATTGACACAAAGAGAAAAAAATGTCACTTGCTGATAAACTGGCACTAAACATCAAAAGAAAAATTAAACGGACAGCAGTAGGCTTTTCTTAAATTTATATAATAAAATATTTGTGTTTCAGAAGACAAAATGCAATGAACGCAGTCGTATTTAGCATTTGGAGGCGTGAGACTCTCAAGACACTTTTGGAAGTAATAATACCAGGGTGCGAATTACAGGGGGGTTTGGGGGGAATTGACCTTGCTAATTAATGCTTGATCGCCCTGCAGTACATCAAAACAAGATCTATAGGGGGTCAGCCCTTTAATACTGAGAAATAGTTCACTCAGATCTATATTTGAATTAATAATATCATTAATTAAAATAATAGATAACATTAACATACATTTGGCCACCATAAAGGTTCATACAACTGCAAATGCATAATCGCACCATGCAGTCTATGCCAGAAAATATAACATGTATCTTTATATGGACTGAAAGTTGGCAAATTAGACGCACAAGTTTTGTATAGTTTGATCTACCTATAAAACCCAACAGTCAACTCTGTCAAATGAAATGTGTAGTTCACAACTCAAAATTGATGGAAAGTTAATTCCACTCATTTGAAAAGAGTTTTGAACTCAGTGTTGAAGGTAATGAGTTAATTAAATATCTCATTACTTCAACTTAAATGGAGTAAGTTCACAGTACTTATTTAGATTAGTTTTTTTAACTCAAATAGTTTGTACTAATCGGTTTCCTCAAACGGTTTGAGTTGCCTTAACTTATTAGGTTTTGCAGTACTCAGTTGGTTTCAGTTCTCTTTATTTAACGGGTTTTACTGTACTCAAATTGTTTTGTTTACTCAAACGGATTAGGTTCACAGTACTCATTAGGATTAGTTTTTGAACTTAAAGGGTTTGTTGCACTTGGTTTCCTCAAGCAATTTTAGTTACCTTAACTTTTTGGGTTTAACAGTGTACAGTAATGTCTGAAACAGGTAATCAGAGGATGCTGTAGGTCAGAATATACTAACCATCCCTCAAAATACTGAAAACTTAAATACTTTTTATTAATAAAATAGATGTAATTCAAAATAAATAAATAAATGACTGAAGCATGTTTTACACAAACTAACATTACTGAAAAAGTTGACCCCCCAATCATCAATGTATAATTCGCACACTGAATAATACCTAACCACTTTAGAATGATCATTTCAGATTTTTTCCTAAGTTCATCAATTAACGCCGTTCTATAATGCACCGGTTCTAACACAAAACTATTCTTATTATCAAATAAACTGTTAAAACAAAATCACTGGACTTCTTTATGTGTATGCTGAATAGTAATCAGCAAATTTGTTTCATCATTGTTTTTATGCAGATTTTGACAAATTAAGCACATCTTGGGTTTCCATTAAGCTTTTTTACATGCGATAATTTAAAATGCGCATGAAAAAAGTTGGATCAAAACAGCTAATGGCCCCTTGCTTAACGCATTATCAAAATATTTTCTTGTTTGTGTTCAACAGAAGGCAAAAAAAGAAACTCGTGAAGGTTTGGACCTACTTGAGGGTGAGTACACCATTTTTTCTTAATGTAAAGAACATTTTTAGTCAAAAATATGTGTGAAACGCAGAAATAAATGGGTGGAAGTTAAACACTCTGAAGTATCTGCAATCAAACACATCAAATGTTTATGAAGTAACATTTTAATATTCTAAAGAGTCTTTTTACACCTCATGGAAATGGAAAGATGTTATGGCTTATAAAGATTCTTCGCGGAACCATCAATGCCAATACAGAACCTTTATTTTAAGAGCGGTCAGCTGATTGCAGGTAAATGAAGGGAGAGTTTAACGCTGCTGTCTGTGCTAGTCGATGAGGTTGGGTGTGTCTGTAGCTGCTGAATCCTGAAATAAACAAATATGGATTAGTACGGCTCATCTATAAATGCGCTGGAGCAGTAGTAATGATCAGGTACTCGGATGTAGAAGCACACAGAAAGATGCTTCTTCTGTTTTTACCCCAAATGGTTCCGCAAACGCCCTGTAGCCGCTGTAGAGAGGGTTTGGGATGGATACTAATGCGTTTCCACCAGCTTTTGTAGAAGCCCCATCTTCATCATCATTCTGTTAAATGATAAATAAGACATTACTTTCAGTAGCTTTACAATGTTTATTTCATCTTTGAAATGGCTCAATGACTTATTGCGTTTTCAAAGATTGAAATATTACATTTCTGTGTGAGAATCAGAAATAAAGATGACAAAACACTGGAGAAAGAAAACAAGAAATAAACATAAATAGATAAACAATTAGATAGATGCGTTAAACAGATAGAAGGAGAGATAGAAGAAGAGAAACAGATATAAAATGGATGGATGGATATAAATGGACGGATGGATATAAATGTATGGATAGATGAATGATCTAAATGGATGGAGGAATGAATAGATATAAATGGATGAATAGATGGATGGATCAATAAAAATGAATGAATGAATGTAAACGAATGGATGGATGGATATAATTGATATAAACGAATAGATGGATATGAATGGATGGATGATGGATATAAACTGACGAATGGAGAAGAATGGATGGACATAAATGGACGGATGGATATAAATGTATGGATAGATAGATCCATCCATTCATCCATTCATTTATATCATCTAAGTGGATGGATGATATAAATGGATGGATGAATATAAATGAATGGGTGGATGGATATAAATGGATGGATAGATGGATGGATGACTACATATATATATGGATGGATAAAAATGGATGGATATAAATGGACGGATAAAAATAAATGAATGGATAGATGGATCATGTAAATGGATGGATATAAATGGATAAAAAGATGAATGAATGGATGAATATATATGAATGGATGAATATATATGAATGAATGGATATAAATGGATGGATGGACATAAATGGATGGATGGAAGGATGAATGGATATGAATGAATGGATATAAATGGATGGATGGGTGGACATAAATGTACGGATTGGATGTAAATGTACGGATAGATGGATGAATATAAATAAATGGATGAATGGATACAAACAAATGGATGAATAAAAATAGATGGATGAATGTATTTAAATAGATGGATGGATGAATAGATAGATGGATATAAATTGGATGATGGATGGATGGATGGATGGATAAATGGATGGATGGATGGATTGATGGATGTAAATGTACAGATAGACAGATGGATGGATGAATGGACATAAATGGAGGAATAGATGAATGGATATAAATGGATGGATGAATATAAATGAATGGATGGATAGATGGATGGATAGATGGATTCAAAGTATGGATGAATTGATGGATGAATGAATATAAATGAATGGATGGATATAAATGGACAGGTGTATATACATGTATTGATAACTGGATGGATGGATGGATGGATGGATGAATATAAATGAATGAATGTATGGATACATTTAATGGATGGAAGACGGATACAAATGGATGGATGAATATATATATATGAATAAATGGATGGATATAAATGGATGGAGGGATGGATGAATATAAATGGATGGATTATTGGATGGATATAAATGGACGAATGGATGTAAATGTATGGATAATTGGATGGATGGATGTTTTAAACAAATGGATGAATATAAATGAATGAATGGATGGATATAAATGCACAGATGGATATAAATATGGCTGAATGGATGCAAATGTACGGATGGATGGATATAAATGAATAGAAGGATATTAATGCATGAATGGATGTAAATGGATGGAGGAATATAAATGTTGGATAAATGGATGGAAGAAGTAGAAGGATGAATAGATGGATATAAATGGACGGATGGATATAAATCTTAGATAGATGGATGAATATAAATGGACGGATGGATATGAATAGAAGGATGGATGGATGGACAGTTGATGTAAGGAGAGATAAATAGATGGAATGAATGCTAAATACAACAGTAAGCATCTATATAAACACCTGAAGCTTGATTATGTGAACGTACTTTAAAATACTGGAAACGAAAGGCGTCGTTCTTGTGCCTGAGGACATAGTACGCCAGTCCAGCAACAATACAAACAATCGCTATGACAACCAGCACAGTGGTCACTGCAACACCGCTGGACTGCGTGATCGGAAGAACTGCTGGAACCTACAAATCAAAACATATTACTGAGGTGTAGATTTTGACAAAGAGACTCCTCTATAGTCTTCTACTGCTGTTAAAGTAGTAGATCTGACCATGGATGGATTGATTCTGCCCGTACATTCATATACCAAAATGGTTCTCGAACATGCTCTATTGTGCTCCACTTACCGGAACAGGTGGAGCTCTGAAAGGCCCATCAATGACGTGGATCAGTCCATTGATGGCGGGAATGTTCCAGGCCAAAATAACCTTCTTATTCACCAGCTTCTGAGGTTGAGCGTCCTGTGGAAACCAGCGGAGCAAACAGTTTGACTGACAGTATAAACGCTGCGTGAGTAGTGTGAAGCTGCGGAGGCTTGTTTACCTCAGTCTGACCGCTGGAATTGGAGGGAATGGTTATGATGAGTTTGGAGCCCAAGCGAGACGGGATTGCAGTGTTGTGCTTCAGGTTCTCATAATAGTGAATATTGTTGACGCTGGAGATATGATACTGCAAATCTCTCCACGATAAAGTCTGAAAGAGGGAACAAACTGGAAATCCAAAGCCAAGCAGAGAAAGAGCGCCCTCTTAAACTCAAAAGGACACAAAAACACGTCTAAATGGAAAATAATTTGATGTTTTGAATTGACTCCTAACATCTAGTCAAAAAACACAGATGTCATTGTTTTAAAAAAAAAATTGAAGCCAATGTTAGACGTCAATTTGACGTGATTTAGACATCAGGGTAGTTTGCATGCATTGATACAAATTGCAGAGTAAATTTGGAATTCAAAATCGAAGCTTATAGATGAATACTAATTTTCATATATTACAATGCTTCTTGAGTATTTGTTTTGGTGTTCAACAGGGAATTCAATCGTGGATTGTTAAGTCGTGACGTATGAAATACTGTTTCCAGGTCTAAGCTGCTACTCACTTGAATAGAGAAAATATATTTGTTTATGACCACTTTTTAGTAATTTCACACATTAAAGTGAATTTTATATAATATCATTATTTACACGATTTGCTGCATCACAAACACCAATATTTTAACAATCTATAAAAAATGTATTACCTTTTGGCCATTGGAATTTAGGCATATATATATATATATATATATATATATATATATATATATATATATATATATATATATATATATATATATTTCGATCATGATTTTCGAAAGTATTACATTGCATTGTAAATGTTTATTATTACCATTTGTTGAGTCTCCCCATACAGTTCGAAAGAGCGCTTGGACTCGGAAGCCGCTTCGCGTAATGCTACACTTAAGCCCCTTTTACACAGTGATACCAGCAAATATCGGGAAAATTACAGGAATGACTTTACCGGTAAATTCAAAAAAGCACTGTTCACACAGGCTAGAACGTTAGGGATTTTTGTCGGAAAAGACCATTCACACATCCATACCAAAATATCGGTAAATTCTGACATCATTAGTCAGAAATGACCTCTAAACGGCTACACTTGTATTTGTAAACATTGACTACATTAGAAACTCTGTGAATGGATAAGTATTGTGAACAACTTCCATGAAAACATATAGAGAAGCACTTCGCATGTCGAGACGTACATAATATGTGTGTGTGCTGGCGCTCACCGGCTGCTTCACGTGCACATGGGTTAAGCAGCTAAAGCAGAGGTAAAGGTAAACAAGCGGTTTATCATAAGCATTTGATCGATAGTTCTTCACACAGTTGGCATTAAGAAGGAACATAAAAAACTTTATCTGACTAATATCTAGCAGCTAAATGTGCCTGGAAAAGTGTTCAAAGGCTTTTATATTCATAATCACTGCGGATGTGAGTGCGTCTGAATGTTCCGATTGTTTGGAGTAGACGTCTTACTAATAGAACCCGCTTTCTGGCAATTTTCCTTCTGCATTCACAGAGCGAAGCATTCCGGCAAATTAGCTATGACGTTACAACTTCTGTTTCCGCAAAGGTTGCCAGAACGAATTTACCGTTTTTTAAAAAAAGGGTCTTTTCACACTTGATCCTTTGCCAGAAAATTGCCAGTAATTTTCAGGAAAGGTCTGTATGTGCGAAAGGAGCTTACATATGGATCTCAAATGGACGTCAATTTAATAGTTTAAATGTTTTTTGATGAGAATGTTAATACCGTTAATACAAAGTCTTGTGTAAAATTGAATTTTGGAATTGAATGTTTCTGATGAATTTTCATATATTATCCACTTGTTAAGTCGTGACGTATGGATGTTTCCGGGTCCAAGCTGCTACTGATTTGAATTGGGAAAATATTCGTTTATGACCACTTTTTTGTCATATCACACATTAAAGTGAATTTTAAATAAAATCATAATGTACACGACAGTCTCTGGACTTTCTGCATTAGAGACATCAATATTTGAGCAATCTATTAAAAATGTATTACTTTTTGGCCATAAGATATTAGGTATGGATATACATGTTGCGATCGTGATTTTTGAAAGTATTACAAGTATTACAGTAAACATTTATTATTATGATTTGTTGAGACTCCCTATACAGTTTGATAGAGCTCTTGGACCCTGAAGCTGCTTTGTGTGTTTTCTTAAAGGTGCAGTATGTAAGTTTGACACCCAGTGGTTGAACTAGGCATTGCATTTCTGGATCAAAACAAATGCAAGCACAGGTTGCCAGATTAATAACCAACAGGAGTGAGTATGAGGATCGAGCCAAAAGGCTGATTTAAATCATGTTCTAAATAAAAGCAGCGGCATGTGACAGAAGGAATATTTTCCATATTAAAAGCATTTTTTGCTCTAACCAACACCTCGAATTGATTTATTAGAAACGGCTTCTATTTCCTGCAGCTAAACAACAGGATAAACTGACAATGATCACCTCAAGTACCCCTCATGTGCCTAATTCAATGTTAATGAGTTTGAATGTCATTTTAATTGACATTTATTTCCCTATGCTTAAAGCAGTGTCAGTTAGTGCATAAAATAAACAGTTTGAAATTGAACTTCTGAACTGTGACTCAAAATAAAACACATATCAGTAATTCAGCTACATCTAATGATGTTAAAAAGGTTTAATATGTATTAATTAGATTATTAACCCTACCATTTCGTGAGTGAGTGCATATTCTGTGCTTCTGAATGACTGTATTTAAATTTCTGATGTGTTTCGATTAGTGCAAACAGCCAAATTTCTTATCCCTGCAAATCTCCTCATGTAGCATGTTGTTAGGACACAGGGTTATGCTTGTAATATTTATATTATTTGCTAATTAATAACCTTATGTGGAACTCTGAATCTGCGTCTCATTTCGGAGTCTGCTACTGTCCACCAGAGGTCGCATTTCCGTCACAAACGCATGCTTTGAGAGCCTTTCTGAATGAATGAATGAAATGCGCTGTTTTCCATATATATTGCGATCATGATTTTCGAAAGTATTACATTGCATTGTAAATGTTTATTATTACCATTTGTTGAGTCTCCCCATACAGTTCGAAAGAGCGCTTGGACTCGGAAGCCGCTTCGCGTAATGCTACACTTAAGCCCCTTTTACACAGTGATACCGGCAAATATCGGGAAAATTACAGGAATTACTTTACCGGTAAATTCAAAAAAGCGCTGTTCACACAGGCTAGAACGTTAGGGATTTTTGTCGGAATAGACCATTCACACATCCATACCAAAATATCGGTAAATTCTGACATCATTAGTCAGAAATGACCTCTAACCTTTCTGAATGAATGAATGAAATGCGCTGTTTTCCACCAAGGCAACCCGGAGTGCTGAAATATAATTAGCTAAACTGGGCTGGCATTGGGTGGATTAAAAGTACCAAAACAAAGACAGTGTTCCAGCACATAACAGACATTTTTTATGCTTTAGCAGAGTCAAAAACACACATAGAGCACCTGTAACAAGCGGATAATGCTACTTTTGCCTTTATTTTGGTTGTCAAAAGGGAAATATGAGGATCTCAAATGGGTGTCAATGTTTTTAACATTTATTTGACACCATGCTTGATATCATTTTAACATCAAGGTGCCTTCTGGGAGGTTTCTAAACAAAATTGAAAATGAGAATGATTCATGGGTTTATATTGATAATCACCTTGTTTGCTCCAAATCCGTTGTTCTGGGGTATAAAAATGGTCATGTTTAATGATTTGTCAGACAGGGCCTTCAGCAGGGTCTTGCCGTCCTCTCCATCCTCTGCGTACTTCAGTAAATTCTGATGGTGGAAGCACGAACGTGTGATTTGATTGTGGTTGAATTGTGAATGAGACTTAATTTCTATTGACAAAAATTAAGTTAAGAAAAAAATCACTTCAGTTGATTGTCATTGCTTTGTTTTCCCCCCTCTAGTTAATCAAACATATTTCTGAGAATAAACTGCAGCTGGTAATCATTTTTTTGTTGTTTTTTCCTGTGGCCTTGCTTCCCATCCTGTTATGCTGGGTTCAGGCCACATGTAAAATTGAAGTCGGCATGAAATCAAAATTTCCCTGTTATAAAACTTCTTATTTTTATATGTATGTAGTAGTTTTGGTTATAAATTATGTATTTTACTATTTTGTATAAAACAATTTTACCCTCATAATCTTTAATTAAATACCATAACCTTCCACTTTTCCCCCTCAAAAAGACCAATCAACTTTGTTTTTGGTGTACTGACATTAAACTTACCGTGTAAAACACAGAAAAATTGGAAGTTGTGGCAACAACCGAAGCCAAGTCTCCATTACAAAATGCCCCGCTCCCAACATATCCAGCTCCACATTCACAAGCCACCTCTGTATAAGACAAAAGAATAAATGGCATTTTTGTCTTGTATTTAAAGTGTTAGTTCACCCAAAAATATGTTAGTTCACCCAAAAAAATTTATTCAAAAGCAATTTTACAGAAAGTTTTTTTTTTTAGATATTTAAAGGGTTAGTTTACCCAAACATTAAAATTACGTCATTATTATTCTCCCTTATGGTTACCACATTTATAAGGGTGTTCTGTTGAACACAAAAGAAGATATTTTGAAGAATCCTGGTTGCTGGATCCCATCAACTTCCGTCAATGAGACCCAACAACCAGCAATATCTTCTTTTGCATTTAACAAAAGAGGGAAATTCAGAACAAGTGAAATGTGAGTAAATGATGACAGAATTATTGAGTGAACTATCCCTTTAAGTACATTTTCACACAGTCATACCATTCATCCTGTAGCAGTACGCATCGTACAGCCAACTGGAGTTGACTGGATCTTTGTACACCACAATACCGACATGATTATCACCGCATTTAGCTGAAGGAAAGCGGATCGGATAGCCTGCTTTCTCCCCGTCCATCCATCCGGCCACACACAGGTGCATTCCTAACTGCAACGGATACCAAAAAAAAAAAAAAAAAAACACCCAAAAATTAATTACAATTAAAATTATTCTGTTATTAATTACTCAGTCTCGAAATGGTTCCAATTAAGAAACCTCAAAAAACTTTTATTCATCTCCAGAACACAAAGTAAAATATTTCAGATGAAATCTGAGAGCTCCCTCATCCTCCATAGACAGCAAGAGCCCAGAGATGTTCAAAGTCCAGTAAAGGACCTTCATTCAATGTCAAAACATTCTATTTGTATTTAGAGTTTCAAATGTAATCATATGAAGCTCCAAGAACACTTGAAGACTGTGATAGTGGCTCGAGAAAGCCTGTTGGAAGTAATTTGTTCAGTTTAAAAAAGTATGAATACATAGATGGTTAGATATGGATGGATGGATGGATAGATGGTATTAGCTTATTAACAAGAATTAGCATTTTCAGCTCACAGCTAGCATGAATTAACAAGCTGCTATAGCATGTTTTTAGTATAAATTAGCATGTTGATAGATGGGATTAGCTTATTAGCATTCTAATATTACCAGCTTGCAGCTGGCATTAATTAACATTTTGCTAACATGTTTTAGTATGAATTAACTTCTTGTTAGCATGTTTTTAGCACGAACTAGCATGTTGATAGATGAGATTATTTTATTTTCCTACTGAAAAATCCAGTTTGACCCAGCCTAGGCTGATTATTTTAGCTGGTTGACCAGGCTGGTTTTAGAGGGGTTTTGTCCATTTCCAGCCTGGTCTTAGGTGGTCAGGCTGGGAGTTGACCAGCTAAAACCAGCTTGACCAGCCTAGCCAGGAAGCCCAGCTGAAACCAGCTATGGCTGGTCAAGCTGGTTTTAACTGGATTTAGCTGGTCATTTTCCAGCCTGACCAGGTAAGACCAGGCTGGAAATGGCCAAAACCCCTCTAAGACCAGCCTGGTCAACCAGCTAAAAGCAGCCAACCAGCCTATGCTGGTTTAAGCTGGATTTTTCAGCAGTGTAGAATGAATTAGCATTTTCAGCTCACAGCTAGCATGAATTAACAAGTTGCTAACATGTTTTAGTATGAATTAACTTGTGGTTAGCATGTATCTAGTATAAATTTCCATGTTGATAGATAGGTGGGATTAGCATATTAACATGAATTAGCATTTTTAGCTCAAAGCTAGCATGAATTAACATGTTGCCAATATGTTTTTAGTATGAATTCACTTGTTAGCATGTTTATAATATAAATTAGCATGTTGGTAGATGGGATTATCTTAATAGCATGAATTAGCATTTTCAGTTTACAGCTAGCATGAATTAACATGTTGATAGCATGTTTCTAGTATGAATTTGCATGTTGATAGGTGGGATTAGCTTATTAGCACGAATTAACATTTTCAGCTTGCAGCAGACATGAATTAACATGTTGTTAGCATGTTTCTAGCACAAATACCTTGTTGTTAGCATGTTTCTATGCTTACGTTTTGTGCTGCTGACAATACATAGTTCTGCCCATAGTAAACTCAGACCTTGATCTGACATGGACAACACAGGCAAGGAACGTTTTTTTGGCGCACAAAAGTATTCTCGTAGATTCAGGAAATTATAAAATCAATGCACAGGGACGGTTTTGACGATTGTTTTGGTTCCTCTTCTGAATGTCTCAGGACCATTGCTGTTTATGGAGGATGACAGAGCTCTTTGATTTCACCTACAATATTTTAATTTGTGTTCAGAAGATGGACGAAGGTCTCAGAGGATTGAAACAACATGAGCATGAGTAATTAATATTAAATTATCTCTTTAATAATTGCATTTTAAAAGCACAAATTCACCAAAAATCACCTGTTGGGCATCAGAGAGCTGGGAAAACGTGGCAAGATTGGCTCCCTCTGCTTCACAAGCCTGCTTTGCTTGCGTGAAGTTCATTTTATACTTTCCCTCAGGTGAGCGCAGATGGAAAACACCTGCAGTTTTCGCTGAAACAGAAGAACAAAAGCCTTTATTGTTACAGCAAGGCACTACAGGGAAAACATTCATGTTGATTCTGATTTTTGGGATTTAAAAATAAAAATTTTAGGGAAATAAAACATCCAGAGTCAAATTTGAAGTTTTTATTTTGCCACATTTTATCTGTCAATTAAAGGTAAAGGTATATATTATTTCTAAATCATTGTGAACATGTTTTTAAGGAAAGACACAATAAGGAAAAAAAATGTCAACAAAAGAAAAATATCCCATCTATGTTTGAGTTTTGGAAATCTATCCAAACTACTGTATAATAAGGCAACACGGTGGCTCAGTGGTAGCACTGTTGCCTCACAGCAAGAAGGTCGCTGGTTCGAATCCCAGTTGCCATTTCTGTGTGGAGTTTGCATGTTTTCTCCGTGTTTGCATGGGTGTTCCGTTTTGTAAAACATATGCTGGATAAGTTGGCGGTTCATTCCGCTGTGGCGACACCTGATGAATTAAGAGACTAAGCTGAGGGCAAATGAATGAATGAATAAAATATAATGATTTTGATAATGCCACACTCTAATAAATGCTGGGTTAATTAAACCCAAATTGGGTAAAATATGGACTAAATCAAACATTGGATTAATCATTCATTCATTTATTAATTTTCCTTCAATTTATCAGGGATCACCACAGCAGGATGAAGCGGCAACTACTCTGGTATATGTTTTACACAGCAGAGTCGCATCCCAGTACTGGCAAAAACATTGGATTCATTTTGATCTTATTAGTTTAATTTCAAAAATAAGTCCAGCAGTTGGTTTAGTTCAGATTATTCCCAGAATTGGGTTGAAATAACCCAGCATTTTTTATCATGCACATTTTTTTCCATGTTAAAAAAATTAATTGTAATATAAAAATGGTTCCAATTGTCAGTCCAATCAAGCAACTGAGTCAAAATGTTTTAGTTATTTGTTTTCCCAATTTTCTTGTGGTGACTTGCTATTAATGCTTATAATATTAGGGCATAATTAAAGAGTTAATTATATCAGCAAGTGAGTACTGTGGAAATGAAGGTCTCTGCATATCGCCTTTGGGTCGCAGCCGCCGTTATCCTCCAGGCATCGATCAACAGGAGGAACCACTTTCTCCAAACACTGGACTCCATTTCCCACATAGCCATCGAGACACTGACAGCGCCGCTCGTTCTGTCGTAGGTTACAATGTGTTAAACATTTATACATAAAAATGTTCGCTTGATTATAACAAAAAAATAATAATGTTTGACATACGGGTCCGGTGAAAATACATTTTGCGAAATCGCTGCAGCCGCCATTTGCCTCCTCTACACATCGGTTAATAGGCTCGCAAACATGTCCGTCTCCGGAGTATCCCGTCTGACAGGAACAGGTAATGTTGATACCTGACTGCATACAGTCGGCTTCTTCATGGCAACCTCCGTTATATTCACTGCAAAGATCCGGAGCTGCAAAAACAAAATGTGATTTCTATGAATTCTTCTGGTGAATGTGTAAAATTAAAGCAAGAGTTCAGCCAAAATAAGAAAAAGAAAAGAAAATGTATTCTTCTTTAAGTGGTTCAAAACCTTTATAAGATTCTTCTATTAAACCCAAAACAAGATATTTTGAAGAATGTTGGACACCTGTAACCGTTGACTTCCAAATATTTTGGAAGTCAATGATTACAGTTTTACAACACTTTTCAAAATATCTTCTTCAGTGTTGAACAGAAGGAAGAAATTCACAAAGGTTTTGAAACAATTAAAGGATGAGCAGAATTGAAATTTTGGGTGAACTAACCCTGTAAATAACAATTCACATAAATGTAACACCAGATTTAATTGTTTTTATTGGAAATAATTTACAATAAGACTGAAAATGTATACAGCACTTTAATTATTGAGTGTTGTTTGTAAATATAAACATCAAAAATTACTAAATCAGAAAACATTCACTTGAAAAGAAAAATTGCTTTAAGATATTTACGATTTAAGTCCATTTAATGTGTACCTTAGTATGTTTTTGCTTAAAACAACCAATAAATGTCAAAATAAATTCTAAAAAAAATAAATAAAGTAAATTTGAAAAAGCACAAAAATATTTACTCAACTTTGGGTGAAACAACCAAAAAAGAAGTCAGATTTAATTGAGAAATATCTGAATATTACTTAATCAAGATAAATTTGCTCAAGAATTCCCAAGGCTCAAAAATAATATATTATTTATATATAATTAATTATATATAACACCAAACATTTGGTGAAACAACCAAAAATTTCAGATTTACTATATAAATATCTAAAAATTACTGTATTTATTACAAATATATTATATTGATTAGTTGTATAGTTCTATTAATATATTAGTTGGTAATTTGCTATCGGAAGTGGCTCATATGAAAGACAAAGGCCTCAAGATTACACTTATTTTACCAAAATAAAATATGTTCATGTCTTGATTTTTAATGATTTAATTAGGACAGTAAGGTCTGATTTGCTTAGACAAAGTCTTGTCACTTAACAGAAATAATGTACATTTCAGAATATAAAGTCATGGTGCAGTGGAAAAAGAATGAATATTGTGTATGACTCCCATGAGCTTGGACGACTACATCCGTTCATCTCTGCAAGGACTTAAATATCTTATTAATAAAGGCATCTGGAATGGCAAAGAAAGCGTTCCTGCAGGACTCCCAAAGTTCATTGAGATTCTTTGGATTCATCTTCAATGCCTCCTGCTTCATCTTACCCCAGACATGCTCAATAGTGTTCATATCTGGTGACTGGGCTGGCCAATCCTGGAGGACCTTGACTTTTTTTTACTTTCAGGAACTTTGATGTGGAGGCTGAAGTAAAGGAAGAGCACTATCCTGCTGAAGAATTTGCCCTCTCCTGTGGTTTGTAATGTAATGGGCAGCACAAATGTCTTGATGCCTCAGGCTGTTGATGTTGCCATCTAGATCTCTCATATGCCCTCATACTGAATGTAACACCAAACCATGATTTTAGCCTTCATCAAACTTGACTAATTTCTGTGAGAATCTTGGGTCCATGCATGTTCCAGTAGGTCTTCTGCAGTGTTTGTGATGATCATGTAAGGCGTGATATATCACAAATACTTTGATGTCTTTGCCAATTCAAACATGAGCCGAAAACGGAGACAATTGGCTCCACAACCCAGCAGGTGGGAATGCGGGAAAGAACCAGCTCCCGCTACATTTACATTTGAATCCCCTGAAACTCGACTTCAACCACCCCAACTCACATATATGGTCATTTCAAAGTCTGAATGTTCTAAATTAACCCAAGTGACTTTATCTATCATGTTTGATATCATTTGAAATGTCTCAGTGCGACTGGTACAATGGTCTCATTCCCTCAGAAATAGACATAATCAAAACAGTAAATATATAACTTCAGGCATCTTTTGAACCACTGTGAAGGGTGTGAGTTTCCTACATGGAGATACTCTTAGACTAAATGCAAATGATTCACACACCCCTTTCCTTGAGGGGATTCTTGGATTACTTAAGGGAAGGTTTGAAAAGTGTTCAGGGCGATTCTGCTTACCCAGATCAGCCCGTAACATAGAGCTTACGCTCCAAGTTATGTATAATTTAAAGTCAGGTATACATCTTTTCATCTTGGATTTATCTTTGATAATTTGATGTTTTGTATTGATCGTTTATGAACTGACTGATTGAATTGGCATAATACACATTTACCTGACTAATAAATTGTTATGTTTAAACATATTTTGCTTACTCTGTAATTATTAGTTCTAGTAGATTACGCTGTATCCTCGTTTCCGCACGTCTTGCGTCAGGTCAGTAGACGGACTAGAATCCAGTTGAGATGGAGCATTGGGCACACTAATTGTGTTTTAGAGATCCGACTGACTCTTGATTTTGATTCAAGTGTACTTAGGTGGAAAGGGCGTTAACTTCCGTCTAGGACAACAAGGAGTTGCACGGCTAACCTAGATTGGGTACCCGACCTTTGTTTGAAGGTAATATTATTCTAAATTAAGTTCATATGGGAAACCATGGGCTTGGTGAAAACCAAAGTTACTATAGAGTCCAGTAGTCGGGTACATTTATAATAATGCCCTAACCTCTAATTAGAAATGATATTGTCTTAACTCAAGGGTGTACATCTAAGCGGGACTAACTAAAAGTACTTTAGAACGAGCGCGCTAGTAGCGGCCATCTAAAGTATTAGTCAATTACCTCTGTTTAATATTCAAGACTGACCAGAGTGTGATCGTGCGGGACGCCTTCGGCCGGGGCGATTTCTCTGAGCAACATGAGCACCCGAATGAACGGATGTGATAGTTAGTGAAGACAAAAGGTTCAAACATTTATCTAAATTAAATATTGATATAATCTTTTAATGTTTTATGATTGGAGTCAGATAAAACAAAATATAAATATATTCATATTCTAAACCACCTCATACTAAAATTGGAGTCAGATATGAGTTAAATTTAAGGTAAATCAACATTGTGCACTGGAAAGACCGAACAGGCATTGAACCTTCATCCACCAGTGGACACCGGCATTGGACCAACTGGGTGGACCTTACAATCGGTTCGCAGTTCAACAGATGGTTCATATGAAAAAAATCTACCTTCTGTCACTTTTCCAAGTGATCAACCAGAAGTCAAGTTAATATTTGTTGCTCTTACAACTGGTATCAATGACAAGACTTTTGTCAGGTTGTGTATTTTGTATGAATAAAATTGCCAACAGACTACTTGAGTTAAAGTATCGGCATCTTACCCTCAGCTAATGCAATCCAATAGATGTTATTCATATCATAACCAACCTGTGCAGTTGATGCCATTTCCTTCATAGGGCTCCAAACACTCGCACTGATTTTCAGGAAGACAAACTGCATTCAGATCACATGCGGGAGAACAGATCGACTTGACTTCTGTTGAACAACAGACAAAAATGAGTGTATAATAACAAGCAAACTCTGTATTACTTTTTTAAAAATGCACTTGTACAGGGGTGGCCAATCCTGTTTCTGGAGAGCCACCTTCCTGCATATTTCAGTTGCAACCCATATCAAACACACCTTCCTGTAATTATCATGTGGTGTTCAGGTCCTAATTCATTGGTTCAGGTGTGTTTGATATGTATGTATGTATGTATGTATGTATGTATGTATGTATGTATGTATGTATGTATGTATGTATGTGTGTGTGTGTGTGTGTGTGTGTGTGTGTGTAAATATATATATATATATATATATATATATATATATATATATATATATATATATATATATATATATATATATATATATATATATATATATATATATATATATATATATAAATATTGATTATAAAAATTTTGCAATGTTTTTTACATATACATCACAAAATTTTGTTACATTTACATATTCTCATTTATCTTTCAAACATTTATCTTGTTTGAAGACCAAACTTTGAAGAAATTTTTGTAAATAAATATGGATTTATCCAGAATTAAGCGTTTCTGCACACAGGAATTAAGCATACAAATTAATTAAGCATTTCTTTTTTTTCCCAGAAAGTCTCAAAAGTGAAGTTTATGAAATTATAGCTCAAAATACAGCACAGCTCATTTATTATAGTATGGAATAACAGCCTCCATTTTGGTGAAAAAAAAAAAAAGTTTTTCCTATGTGTGGCTTATAGGATGCAAATAAGTTGCTGCTCTCCCATCCTTTCTATAAGCAGGTGGAGCATTTACAGCCTGTGCCTTGGATACTCCAGAAAAAACAAAATATTTGTGTTTTAAAGTCTTATCAGTTTAAACTCCTGACATGCAGTTTTTTTTTTTTGAGCAACCAAAGTAATATAAAATTGGAAAAACGTTGCCTGGTCTGATGAGTCTCGATTTCTGCTCGGAGGCTAAGGTCAAAATTTGGCACCAACAACATGAAAGCATGGATCCATTCTGCCTTCTTTTAACGATTCAGGCTGGTGGTGGTGTAATGGTGCAGAGGATATCTTGGTACACTTTGGGCCTATTAGTAGCAATTGAGCATCGTGTCAACGCCACAGCCTACCTCAGTATTGTTGCTGACCATGTCTATCCCTTTATGACCACACTGTACCCATCTTCTGCTGGCTTCATCCAGCAGGATAACGCTCCATGTCATAAAGCGCAAATCATCCCAGACTGTTTTCTTGAACATGACAAGGAGTTCACGGTACTTCAATGTTCACTGCAGTTCATTCTTCATTGTAAAGCTGACAAATCTGCAGCAACTGTGTGATGCTATCATGTCAATATAGAATAAAGTTTCAAGGAATATTTCTAGTATCTTGTTGATTCGATGCCACAAAGGATTAAGTTCTGAAGGCAAAAGGGGTCCAAGCTGGTACTAGTAAGGTATACCTATTAAAGTGGCCGGTGAAAAATGTCATAATTACTTAATGTTGACCATAATTTTCATGGTCATTTTGTATATAGAGTAAATATAAATCCTTAAGTAAAAACCTGAAACTTGAGCTCGCTCTTATTTTGTATTAATAAAATTGTCAACAGAATATTTAAGTTCAAGTTTCGTCATCTTACCCTCAGCTAGTGTAGTGCAATGGATGTTGTTCATATCATATAGCAGTCTAGTTATCAAAGAGGTTTACACCAAATGTGGGGCACAGAGTCACTCACTCTAGTTTACTCACTGGATGTCTTCCCTTCACGTTAATTAAAAAAATAGATAAACTCGCACAGAAAACACAATTAAGGTAAATATTTGGCACATTTACGACAAATGTGTGACACATTCCATGATAATTTCCTTTAATTCGCACATTTGCATTGAATTTGTATGTAACTTAATTGCGCAACTACTTGAAGGTGCCCTATAAAGAAAATCTGGTTATACCAAGGCATAGTAGAATAATAATACAATATTCAAACGATAGTTTGTTGTACAGTTGCCGGTTCACTTCCGGTATTTGGTACAATTGCATTCATACCAGAAGTGAACCGGACCAGAGCTCGCGTGAACTGTACCCCAGACCACCTCTTTCAGGTGGACTTGGGTATGGTTCTTGGGTGCGCACCCAAGTTCAGAAGACACGTTCACACTAGCTGAACGCACTGTTCTCTGACGTCAAACGAAAAGTAAAATGAAAAGTAGCAAAATTTTGTCAGATAACGTCACACACATTGACTGGCCATCTCAGCAAAAACATTATTTGAAATATGTTCATTTAGATTTGTATGAAAAATATAGGGTGAGGCAGTGGCGCAGTGGGTAGCACGTACGCCTCACAGCAAGAAGGTCGCTGGGTCGCTGGTTCGAACCTTGGCTCAGTTGGCGTTTCTGTGTGGAGTTTGCATGTTCTCCCTGCCTTTGCGTGGGTTTGCTCCGGTTTCCCCCCAGTCCAAAGACATGCAGTACAGGTGAATTGGGTAGGCTAAATTGTCCGTAGTGTATGAACGTGTGTGTGGATGTTTCCCAGAGATGGGTTGTGGCTGGAAGGGCATCCGCTGCATAAAAACTTGCTGGATAAGTTGGCGGTTCATTCCGCTGTGGTGACCCCGTTTTCATAAAGGGACTAAGCCGACAAGAAAATGAATGAATGAAAAATATAGTTGACCATTTGTAAAAGTAAATATAAGCTAATATAACACTGATAATGAACAGGTACATTTAAACAATCACAGCTTGTGTACTTACTCTTTTTAACTTGTGAAATTAACACATTTGTGAAAGTGACAACAATTATAGCACTATTGGAATTTATTGCTACCTAAATTACCTTATACATGTTAACAAATATCAATAAATTGAAAGTTATGAAAAACAATCTGAGCTAGCAATTTACTCTAGCCTGCAGCCACTGCTCTTTTGAGTCACTTTTTAAAAATTGCTAAAAGTAGCCAAATGTATGTTAAAAATAGCTAAAAAAAAAAAAAAAAGTTGCTAAAACTAGCAACAACATTGTTAAGTTGGCAACGCTGGCTAAAAACCCAGTGGACAACGGGCCAATCAGGAGATAGAACAAACTGTGACAAGACTCATGGTCCACACCCTCCATATTACTTTAATGGGGTATATGCCGAAGCATGCTAATAGGACTTTTAATTTGCCATTAACCTGGGTTAAGCGCTTCCGGCGAATTGAATGCCAATGCAAAATCCGGTGCGTTTAAGGTCTGTTTTCTTTAAAAATCAGCGATCTCCACTAGCTGAGTGATATCCGATTTAAAGTGGGTCTCAGACTGTACAAGAAGCACTGCATTAAATTACATTTCCCCCGCCATATCTTTATAATATGAACATTTATTTTACCCTAGTATATTCAATGGAGCTTCTGCGTTAGCCTGCCGATTCTGACGGGCCTGTGCGAGTAAACAGCTTTTTGTCTCGTTTTACGCTTGATCAACTAAATAAATGCAAAAGTTTATTTAACTGAATGTATTTTAATGACATTACAACATCGATGCTGTATAAGGAACCGTATAAAATGGGGAAAATTTCACAATAACAGGTCACCGGAAGTGTATCAGCATGGGAACAGCACTAGCTCGGCATATGCCCTATTCATTCGTCCAGACATCAAAAGAACATGACTGATATGCAGTTCTGAGATCATAAAATCTCTGAAATGATTAATATGCACACCTCAGGCAGCCAAACGTTTTCTAGTCATAACACAACTATAAGTTTCCTCACTTAAGTTATTTTAGGTGTGGGACCTTTATTTTGAAAACGCGAGCGCCAAATTGTTTACTGTCCGTTACTGAGTAATGACCCCACGAGACAAATCAAAGTCGCCTCAGAGCGCAAAAAGCAAGATTTACAGATTTCACATTTATTCATCTCCACTCTGAAGAAACATAAGGTATGTTTAGTAACATATTTTGTTAATTGATCGTGTTTATTGATGCGTATGTTTCAACAAACACCCGTAGATTGCTGAATCGTGACAAATGGCTCAGCTCAACTGTCATCTGCTCATGCAGAGGTTGATAGTAAGTCCTGGCTGTGTTTTCTTCGACTGTAACGTTAGCTTCAAAATACTGCTCGATGCATCTCTATCACTCTTATTTGTCAAGTTTAATTGTAATTTAGCCTTTATCTGGTGAGCAAAAAACAATACTCTCGTCGGCTTTATATATGTCCTTGTTCAGCGTACATCATGTCATGTGTGTGTTAATATTCAAAACACAAACCATATATGGTCAATCATGGACCTCCTGATTTCATGAGTTTTTTTATTAAGTAATAAATGAGCTTATGAAGCCACTTTTGGAGATTTAGTTGGAACCTACTGAAGCCATAAACCTACTATGCAAATATCAGAAAACAATTTAACTTTTTAAACTAATGCAGTATTAAACCAAACCGCACTTAGTATTAAACCCAGCAAAAGTTTTCTTTCACACCAACTGTTGACACACCACACACTTTACAAAGTGTTAATTTTGTCTGTGAATGTAAATAATTAGGGAAGAAATCTCATGTGTATCAGTATATTAGATCTGTGAAACAGCAGCGACAACACTACTAACGTTCATACCGATTGCTGTCTGGCAGCTTTCACCCATCCATCCCTCCTGACAAAAACAGCTGCCGTCACCGTCCAGGCCTTCATCACACTTGCCGTGGATCGTACAATTACACGCTGTGAGAAAAAGAGGAGCAGCAAAAAAACAAGGTACAATTTGACTATGATTTACACTCTAGAAAAATACCATTCAGTGTAGCAGTGTAGTTTCATTTATATGGCGGCTTGTCAAGCAAATTTCTATCAAGAATCATTTGTTGGCTTATTAAATATTATCACTATTAAGTATGACAGTGTAGTTGCTAAATTCTTATAAATTGTCCTGCACTGCGACTTTTTTTTTGTCTTGTTTATAGTCCAAATATCTAGAAATTCATGAAAAAAGAAGCACTTTCTAGACATGTTAAAATAATTTTAGTTTTCAGACATAAGAGGTCTAAATCAAGTGACCATTCCTGTAAAACAAGCTAAATAGTCTGCTAATAAGATAAGTAAAATATTATTGTATTCAGGTTGAAATGTGATTAATTTTACTAAGCCCCTTAGCAGATTATTTAGCTTGTTTTATGGAGAAACTCCCTTAGAAATTGCACCTCGATATTAAAACAACATACAATACAAGCCAAAAACCATGTCAAAAATGCAAATCAATTTGATGTCAGCTGACAACCCTAATGACAAAATTGACTTCTAATATTAATATGTAAAAACACATCAAAAATGTATTGTATGACTGTCCTGTAATGCAGTGTTTCTCAACCACGTTCCTGGAAGAGCACCAGCTCTGCACATTCCCCATGTCTCCTTAACAAAGCACACTTGATTCAGATCACGAGCAGAGACTTTAAGACCAGTAATGGGTGTGACAGACAAATGAGACATCCAAAACATGCAGTGCTGGTGGTCCTCCAGGAACGTGGTTGAGAAACACTGCTGTAATAAATTTTTGATGTTTTATTAACACCAATATTATATCAAGCTACATCAAGGTAGTAACATGCAATGTAGGTTTACAAAACCCTGTTTAAATTTGGATTTTGTAATTGAAGCTTTCAGACCAATAAAACTTCTTGTTGTTATTTCAGTGGTCAAAAAAGCATTAGTGTGTGGATGTCAAATGGACGTCAAGGTTTTATGTCAAATTAACTGGCTTTTCAACATTAATCAAAGTATCTTTTGTTGCGTTTACCAGAACAAAAAAAAAAGATTTAAATTGAGTTGGAACAACTCAAGGGTGAGTTAAAACATGATCTTTTTAAGACGTTTTCATGTTTATCTAATGACTTAATTTCATGCAAGTTCAGCATATTATGTAGCGCACAATTATACTGAAAATAAAGGCAGTTCAGCGATTCCTTTGGCTTTGGACTGTTTAGGAATTCTACAGTGGAAGTCAAAATGATTAGCCCTCCTGTGATTTTTCTTTTCTTTTTCAAATATTTCCCAAACGACATTTAACAAAGCAAAGATTTTTTCACAGTATTTCCTATAATATTTTTTCTTCTGGAGAAAGTCTTATTTGTTTTATTTCAGCGAGAATAAAATAAGTTTTACATTTTTAAAAACCATTTTAAGGTCAATATTAATAGCCGATTGTCTACAAAACAAACCATCGTTATACAATGATGTGCCTAATTACCCTAAACTGCCTAATTACTCTAATTAAGCCTTTAAATGCCACTCTAAGCTGAGTTCTAGTGTCTTGAAAAATATCTAGATAATCAAGATGAAAAAAAAATATCAAGATGTTTACTCCATGAGACGAGACATGAGATTGGGTTCACAAGAATGAGACGAGATGTCTTTTATTTAACAAAAAAAAAAAATTTCACAAAATGCAAAACAATTTAGGTGCTTTTTTAAATCAACTTATAATAAAGGTTATTTTACTTCTATTTTATTGAATTATGTCATAAAGGACATGCAAACACTGCAAAATGTTTTGCTATAAACTCTACTGACTGGCTTCTCTCCTCTCCAATATCACATGAGAAATCGAACTCCTTTCCACAAATTTAACTTTTAACGTGTGTTCAGTGATGATGATGATGACGACCGGTGTGCGTGTCTCCAGGAGTTTACTGTGTGTGTCCTTTAGGCCCCGTTTACACTAATGCGTTTTCGTTTTAAAACGCATACGTTTTGCTACGGTTATGCCATCCGTCCACACTACGCCGGAGTTTTCGAGCGTCGAAAACGGAGCGTTTCGAAAACGCTGGAGAGGCCGTTTACATTCTGAAACGCTGCTGCTCCGTCTCAATGTGGATGGGGAAAAACGGAGACATCTGAAAACGGAGGCGGGGCTGCCGACATTCGCCTCTCTGATTGGGGCTTTTCCTCAATTTTAAGTAGCCTACACACAGTTCAGTCTCGCATCCTCTCCCTGTAAGTTCAGACTTTGCAAGTTTGATATGGAAAACAGACCCTCGAGGACATGACCTGTAAATCTTCAAAGGGAACAGTGTACTTTATAACCTTATTCACATCACACTGGCTACGTTGTTTCACTTTCTCAACAATAAAATTAAAACATAATTTAAGGAACTGCCTATTTTCATTTTGATATTAGACAGCAGAAATGCTGAGGTGTCGTGCTGCATCTTCTCTGTATGCATATTTATAATAAAACAGAGCCTATATAACATAACTGCCTCCTTTCATTTTCATTGAAAATACGAAACGTATCTTCTGCTTTGCTGAATGTCAGTTTTAATAATCGATAATGGCCATTATGAAAGTATAACGCACAATAAGTTTATACATTATAGGAAATAAAGGCAAGTGATCAGTCAATATACAGAATGTACGTGGTTACATTAATTATTAACTTATCTTTGCGCTCAGCCAAACCTGTGAACAAGTAATCAATTCAAAAGACCAAATTCGGGGAATATGTCGTTAGATATAGACAACAAGATTAATTAAATATCTCGTTTAGCAAATATAGTGAGATTAGATCCAGCGGGAGATGCTTGATAAGCAGTCCGACCAGCACAGCTCTCACCTGGGTAGAAATGCTAAAGCGCTTGCCCGAGAGTGTGTGTGTGGTCACGTGATGTGCGTTTTCAGCGTTTTGGTGTGGACGGAGAGCAGTTCAGAAACGCTGGGTGAAACGCTAGTGTGGATGCGGATCGTTTTCATTCTAAAACGCCATTTTTAAACTAAATTGCACTAGTGTAAACGGGGCCTTACTGACTCGATAGGTGCAGAGAATAGTGCTATACAGCCGTGTGTGTGTGTGTGTGTGTGTATGTAATATCCTGTCGCAAAATGTGGCTAAAAGTCATACACAACGGTAACAGTTTGATCAAAGCGTTTACATGTCTGTACTACACTTCAATAATGTGACTAAAATAGGAATACTGTCTTATTCGATTTGTGTTTACGATGATTAAGACTTTTAGCAAATCTAAAGTGCTACTCCCTTGCATGGTTACGAATCAGTTAATTTGTATAGCAGCAATTGTAGCAGCCTTTGCTTTTAGACGCGACAACCTTTAAACTTCGGTGAAGACAGGATTACATCACACCCGCCCAAGCAAACGAGTGATACACAACACGGAGGCAGCCCGGGTTGCCAGGTGTGTGCAAAGCACTTGATGTGCGGTTCAAACCCAATCCTGCCTCCAATCATCAGTGCTAAATTCACCCTTAGGCTCCATCATAACATCAAAACTTACAAGACAACTTTTCACCGTGACAAGATATCTCGTCGTAATTTAATCTCACGGGATCTTGTACCCCGAGATCTTGTCACATCCTCAACTGTCTTCATGGCAAAGTTAAAAGAAATCAGTTATTAGAAATTATTTATTAAAATTATTATGTTGAGAAATGTGTTAAAAAATCCTTCTGTTAAGCAAAAATTTGGGAAAAATATACAAGAGGGCTAATAATTAAGGAGGGCTAATAATTCTGACTTCAACTGTATAAAGGCCTGAATGAATTACCTGTGCAGTTTGGCCCAAAGTGATTGGCGAGACAGAGCTCACAGCCTTTGCCTGTAAATCCTGTATGACATTTACACACGCCTGTGCCGCCCTGTCCATCATCACAGTCTCCATGCTCTCCACACGGCGCCTCCAGACCACCAGAACACACTAAAACACAACACACACCACTTATTTACATGTAATTTTCAATCAAGCTCTTATTCATTGTGTGTTTTCGAAATTCTCACCCTGGCAGTCTCTTCCGAAGTGGTTTTTACAGCACTTTGTGTCCCACGTCAATTTTGTGCATACCCGGTCACAACCCAAAAAATCTCTGTAGGACCTGTATCCGTAACCGTACGAGTACATACCATAGTAATTGGGCATTCGGTATGGTCTGTAAGGTTGTCGGCATATGCTAGTTCTGTTCTGTAAGAAGACAATTAATCTGATCAATCTTATAACTACAGCAGAAAACTTAGTTTGACTTGATTAAACAAATGAAAATAAAAAAGTCAATAAAGCACTGACTGCAAGAATATTAAAGCAACAGAATGCCAATATATGTATTTATACAAGAGTTCTGTCTGGTTCTCGTATCTGATTGGCTGATAGCAGTGAGATATTAAAGTAATATCAGCACTAATAAAGCCTCTTCACCCTTCACTGTGTATTATTCCACCCACATGAGTGGCAAGCAGAGGACTACAATTTAACAAATGTTGCAGCTGTTGGACAACATAATGTGCTTTTGAGGCTTTTTTAGGTGAGAATAGTTGTTTAGATTGCAACTATGCCATTTGTGTATATAAGGACAGTGTTTATTTTAAATATTTATAATTTCTAAGATTCAGCGAGTTGGAGGCCAGCCTGTCATACTAAGCAGAGTTTGACATTCCGCCACAAGATGGTAACAGAGACAGCATAATAAGTGCTCAGGGGAAGAAAACAGCATTTTTTCTGCGTACGTTTTAAACTACAGCAAAACAAATCATTATAGAACAGGTAAGTCGGTCATTCTAAGTCAGACTCTCTCTCTTGTATTTGTGAAATCCCGATTGCTTCAAAGAAATACTGGGAAATCTCTGTAGACTAGTGGCATTTCATGCCGTTCAGCCTTATAATCTTAAAATGTGAGCAAAATCACCTGTTTAATCATCATTTTAGACATTATGCTAAAGAATCATTCAAACACTAGCTCTAAAGTTACATTTTTAAGGTAGTAAAGGTTTTTGCTGTTCTGACGTCAGCTGCAGATGTGTAGTTCCTCTTACAAAAGGATTTTTGAGACTCTCTGTGTTTGATTTTCTTATTTATATACATGATTATGCTGTCAAACTGTTGTATAAACTTAATATCATACTTGTAGCAGTGCGATATGGCTGTATATCATCACTGGAGGGACATTAAGGCACAAGTTCTGCAGCCTCGGGCCAATGCACACCTCCAAACAGTGCTGATATACAGCCATATTGCACTGCTACGAGTGTGATATTGCTCATATATATATATATATATATATATATATATATATATATATATATATATATATATATATATATATATATATATAAATAGTGTTGAACCAGAACAATAAAAAGGTTACAAAAATGTAAGTCAAATAAACAAGTCAAAGATCTGACTGCTACCATTTAAAAGCAAATGTACAAATTACTTTAAATTAAAAATAACAAAGTCAACAAAGTGCTGATTACTTGCATTTTAAAGCAAGCAAAAAACAAAAAATCAAAGGCAACAAATTGCTGACTGCTTGCATTTTAGAGCAACAGAACAAAAAAAAAAACAATAGAAAAGTAAGTCAACAAAGTTTTGACAGCAAAGCAGAAAAAAACACTGTTACAGATTTGTTAACAAAAGAGATAAACAAATAAACTTACCATGTCTGTTGATCCGTAGGGACAAAGAGGCGGCGAAAGGCAAGAACCACAGCGTCCCTAGACAAACAATGTTTGAACAATATTAGGGAGGCCCGAAACAAGTGAACGATCTTTTGATCTATATTCTGTAATATTCTAGATTTAATATAATATTCTAGATTAAAATTTCTGAAAAATCACCACAAAATCAGTCATTATAGTTGCAAAAATCATTTTTTTCACGAAATCCTGGAGGGACTGTTATTAGTCTACATCATGTCCTGTTTTTAGTTGGTTTAGAATAGATGGAATCATTTAGAAGTGGTATTGGTCCACATTTTGGGTGTACATCAAGGTTAGAATTAATAGAGAAATCAAACCAGTTGCTAACTGAGCCAGCTTTACCTTAATCTCTATGCTTCGGAAGTCATCACAGCGAGCACCGATGCTGGGTGGCTCCAGAAGCTGATCAATTCCATGAGCGATTCCTGAATCGAACAACATGTTCCTGTTTACAATTCTGGCATTGTTTCCATTGATTAAGATGTCACCCTGAAAATCAATAAGACGTTGAATCAAATGTGTTAACAGTACGTCAATAAAAATATAAATTAATTATTTGGTTATTTTGTCAAAAGAAAAATTACTTAGGTTTTACACAAAGACAAAATTTAATAAATGTAATAATTCTTAATTCTTTTTTTTATATATACATATTCTATTCAACGCAAGAGCATGGAACTCTCCAACTTTTCCTAAAAAAAAATCTTAAATCACACAAAAGACTGGACTTGATTCAGATGTTTTTAAAGGTGTGTAAAAAAATCATCTTTTAGGTTCCCTGGGGTCAAACTAAAAAATGAAGACATTTTTTATTTTATTTGGAATGTTTTACATTTGTGCAAAGGCCAAGGTCTAGAGCACAAAAATTAAAATTGGAAAAAAAACAACAACACAAAAACATTTACTTCTATCATGCACATAAAGAGAACAATAAAAATTACAAAACTGGCATAAATCTGAAAAATGTTCATAAACAAATGAAAGACTAAAGCACAAAATCAACATGGAGTGTTGACTTGCTGTTGTTTTGCAAAATAAACAATTAAATAATATATCAGACATCAACAAAAAATCCCCCCAAAAATACAGAATTTTGATGTATTTTAGAATGTTAAAATATATACAAGCTGGCCCTGTACACGCGAGGGCCCTAAGCATAATAATTTTTAAACCTTGCTCTAAATAGTGGAGTATTGCCATTGCAAACCAGCCCACAATGATTTTAGTGCTTATTAAATACAATCAATGAAGCAGAAAAGTAAAGCCTGATTTCTTCTACTTAATTCCATTCTGAATGATTTGGACATTTTAAAACAGAACTGTTTTTGTCAACTAGCAGCTTCAAAAATTTAGGATTAAGCAATCTTTTATAAAGGGACCAGTGATTCCTACTTTGTGTCTCTCTGGAGTGTTAAAAACATATTCTAATAATTTAGCAAATAGACTGAAGATTCTAGGTTGAGTTTTTTTTAGTTCTACTATAGCATTTCAGTAATATGCATTAAGGACTAAGTATAAAAAAAGTATCTGTGAAACCAAGATTTTTTTTTTTTTGTAGAATTACAGACAAGTAGACAACGCTTAATAATATATCATTTCTTATTTTCAAGAAATGTGCTACTAGATTATGTCCTTCAATATCATCATTAACACTTAAAAGCAATGCTAAACATGATGTGGTACAATTTCCAAAATAAATCAATTTTATTAATAGGGCAGGCAATGAAGCAAGGGCCTGGGGGGATTGTGGGGACCCCCTTATAGTTTGCTTATAGGGAGGGCCGGCTCTGCATATACAGTTAGGTCCATAAATATTTGGACATTGACACAATTATAACATTTTTCTCTCTATACACTAACACCACGGATTTTAAATGAAACAAACAAGATGTGCTTTAACTGCAGACTGTCAGCTTTAATTTGAGCATATTTACATCCAAATCAGGTCAATGCTGTAGGAATTAAAAAAGTTTGCATATGTGCTTCCCACTTTTTAAGAGTCCAAAAGTAATTGGACAGAATAATAATCATAACTCAAACTTTCACTTTTTAATATTTGGTTGCAAATCCTTTACAGACAGTCACAGCCTTAAATCTGGAATGCATAGACATCACCAGATGCTGGGTTTCATTCCTGGTGGTGCTCTGCCAGGCCTCTACAGCAATTGTCTTTAGTTCCTGCTTGTTCTTGGGCCATTTTCCCTTTAGTTTTGTCTTCAGCAAGTAAAATGCATGCTTAATCGGATTCAGGTCAGGTGATTGACTTGGCCATTGCATAACATTCCACCTCTTTCTTTTTTAAAAACCCTTATTCTCTTTGGTTGCTTTTGCAGTATGCTCTAGTCTTTTGGTGTTTCTAAGCTCACTGGTGCGTTATTTCTTTTTTTAAGAATGTTTCAAACTGTTGTTTTGGCCACACCTAATGTTTTTGCTATCTCTCTGATGCTTGTTAGATCTCATCTTGAGAGTTGTCAGCAACACATTTCAATGCTGATAAATGCAAATAAAACACTTTAAATGATCTCTGGACCTTTGATCTGCTCATTGTAATTGGGATAATGAGGAAATAACACACACCTGGCCATGGAACAGCTTAGAAGCCAATTGTCTAATTACTTTTGGATCCTTAACAAGTAGGAGCCACATATGCAAACTGCTGTAATTCCTACATCGTTCACCTGATTTGGATGTAAATACCCTCAAATTAAAGCTGACAGTGCAGTTTCATTTTAGTTTAAATCTATTGTGTTGGTATATAGAGCCAAAAATGTTAGAATTTTGTCGATATCCAAATATTTATGGACCAAACTGTATATTATCAATTTGTGAGGAAAAGTATTCTGAAGCATCAAGAAATAACCTAAAAATAAATGAGTGTCAATGGCTGTCAGTAGATTAATAATATTCAAGTATTTCATAAAGTCCAAACAATAAATGTTAAAAAAATATGTTTAAATATGTTTATTCACATTTTAGAAGTAATTATATTATAAATATAATATGAATAAATAAATAAACATAAAAATTATAAATAAACCCCAGTTTACACAAATATTCATTCAAGCTGAGTGAATTTCAAAAAACTAAACTTGAAAACATTAACATTACATAAATCATTAAAGCGCTTACATGTTATAACGAAGTCTCTCCACGTCAAAATACTTACAATTAAATCTTTATTGCAGCTAAAGGTGATTTCTGATCCGAACAGCGTCTGCAATCTTTTCTCAGTAGGAAGACCAATGGCAGCTATCTGGAAACAAACAACCCAAAACAACTCTTAAAAGCAAGAACCACACAGCCAGGACAATTGGCCGAAATACATTCCAATTATGCTCATAAGTTACACACCCTCTCATCGCGGACTATGTGCGCTTTAAGGTAGCCTTGTAGTTTGTCTCGATGGTCTTCACTGTACAGCCAAGTCTTTCTGTCCTCAGTGAGGTTGTTAAAAACATCATCTGTCGGCCAGAACATGGTGAACGGGTAAAAGGCTCGATGCTGCACCACATGCATCAATCCTGCATCCTGTGAAGATGGCAAACATGTTTTTAACAACAACAATGACAAATATGGGTGATTCTGTAATTGAAGGTTCATTTGCTGCCCAAAGCCATCAATTCTTAAATTTTTAGGTCAATTTATACTTTAATTCACGTTATTAACTAACCATTAACTAAGACTTTTAGATCAATAAACTACTAATCAGCTGCTTACATTGTAAAAAATGCTGGGTTCCACACTATGAATTTATGTTGGGTCAACAAGTAGGAATTAAGTTGCTAACAAATTTAAGTTGATTGAACATAAAACAATTAGGTTGTCCCCCCCCAAAAAACTCAAGAATTGTGTTCTTTCAGCTTTTTTTAAATAAGTAGTGTAAACAAAGAACACACATCATTTTTTGAGTGTATTAATAGTTTGTAGGGTTGTAGTTTTTTTGTATTGGGTAGAATTAGGCATGTAAAATAAGATTATACTTTATAAGTGCAAATAAACAGTTAACATCTTAATAACGCACTGTAAAAAGGCTGCATTCCACACAATTGATTTTTGTTGTGTCAGCATGAAGGAATTAAGTTAACTTGAATAATTATTTAATTATTAATTTTATATCGGCTTAGTCTCTATTTCAGAGGTCTCCACAGCTATGCAGTGGATGCCATTCGAGCTGCAACCCAATTTTTAGGAAACACACACACACGCACACATACACTTCGGACAATTTACTTTATTCAATTCACATGTCTTTGGACTGTGGGGGAAACCGGAGCCCCAATAGAAACCCACGCCAACACAGGGAGAACATGTAAACTCCACACAAAAATGACCAACTGGCCCAAAAGGGACTCAACTAGCAACCTTCTTGCTGTCAGACAGCAGTGCTAACCCTAACTTTAATTAATGACTAATTTAATTGTTAAAACAATTACGTTGTCGCCCAAAAAGTTTTCTTTTTGTTCGAAAAAGTAGTAAATTGCGTAATCAAAATATTTATTTACATTTTTGTTTGCCATTATTTAATTTGTTGATTTTTAAAAGCTCTAATTAGTCATTGTCTGAACTCTACAACAATATACATTTGAAGTCAGTATTATTAGCCCCCTTTAATTTATTTTTATTTTTTTTATATTTCCCAAACTATGTTTAACAGAGCAAGGAATGTTTCACAGTATGTCTGATAGTATTTTTTCTTCTGGAGAAAGTCTTATTTGATTTATTTTGGCTAGAATAAAAGCAGTTTTTAATTTTTTTAAAGCCATTTTAAGGTCAATTCTACTAGCTCTTTTAAGCTATATTTTTTCCGATAGTCTACGGAACAACCCATCCTTATTGCCTAATTACCCTAACCTGCCTGGTTAACCTAATTAACCTAGTTAAGCTTTTAAATGTCACTTTAAGCTAAATAGAAGTGTCTTGAAAATATAACTATTATGATAAATATTAATAATTGAGTTATTAAATGTTATTAAATAATATGAGTTATTAAAACTATTATGATTATAAATGTGTTGAAAAAAATCTTTTCTCCGTTAAACTGAAATTGGGAAAAAAATAAAGTATGGGGCTAATAATTTAGGGGGGCTAATAATTCTGACTTGACTGAATTGTACTAATAATTCTGACTAGACTGAATTGTATTGTTAAAAAAAATAAAAAACTTTTATGTAACAAAATTGGGTTCGTAAATCTTGCCCCAATTCTGTTACCATACCATACTTTGTCTTTAAATTGGTGAAATTATCTTACACAACTGTGTAAACAAATAGATAACAATGTCACATTCCTTTGCTGATAAAAGTGATAAATGGTGTGTGTGCTCTCTCTGTGAGAATATTTTAATTTTAAAAGATCCTACATCTAAAGTATTTTTGTAAACTGTCAATACTGTTACCACAATTTTGAAAGGAAAACAGTCGGTAAAAGAATTGACTTGAATTGTGTTTCACTGTATTTGTGTGTGTTTGTATGGGTGAAACATAATCTTGGATTCAAGTTTTGTAACCTAAGGACTGTTCATTTAATAGTACAAAAAGGATTTTTCTTGCTATGATTTATTGTTATTTCTAAACATTACTCAATTTGAAAGATTAACAGAATTAACACAATACAATAATTTTTTCCCCCCTAAAATACAATAAAAAACAATACAGTTTGTATTTGGCAAGCACTAAACTACTTAAATTGAATATGCTTTCAATAAGATACTAAAAAGTATTGCTGTTGATAAAGATTTGATTCCTTATATTTTGAAATGCCAACCTGCAATTAAAGAATCACACTTGTATTTAAAAATGAAAAATATATATAGACCTGGAGGAGCTTCCCGAACATTTTGAAGCCATATTGCTCAGCCGCTGCGGTGATGTTCAGCTGCAACATAAAATGAGATTATTTTGTGACATTTTTCTCAAATTTGGTGAGCACTATTTGAGTTACTGTACGTACGTTAGTGCTGATTTCTGCTTTGCCGGTTATATCGTACGGGATGAGGACCTTGTCTATGTAATGCAGGATTCCATTGGAGCATTCAATATCACTGGTGATAATCTTTGTATTGTCGTTAATGTAAACAACACCCTGAGAGACAACAGATCATGGTTAAATAATTGAATACAGGGAGATTTTTTTATTTTATTTATTTTAACGTAATTTGTCCCTCCCAAATCTAATATATATGGATGTATAAATGAACATATGTATACAATTCAAGTTAAAATAACTACACATGAATATTTGTAAATATATAAAGTAAATAACCACTTTTGCAATATTTTGACACAGACTCATTGGCCACTTTATTAGGTACACCCGTTCAACTGCTTAGTAACACAACTATCTAATCAGCCAATCACATGGCAGCAATTCAATGCATTTAGGCATGTAGAAATGATCATCACAACCTGCTGTAGTTTAAACCAAGCATCAGAATGGGGTAGAAAGGGGGATTTTAGTGACTTTGAATGTGGCATGGTTGCTGACGTCAGATTCACCATGTGAATATGGAGCAAAATCTCTGAGGAATATTTCCACTACCTTGTTCAATCTATGCCAGGAAGGATTAAGACAGTTCTGAAGGCAAAAGTAGATCCAACCTGGTACTAGTAAGGTGTACCTAATAAAGTGGCCGGTCCGTGTATATCATACAAATAGAACATATAATTTAACATATGTGATGTCATATGTGATTGCATATACAGTTGAAAGCCGAAAGTTGGAATTTTAATACTTTTTCAATGATTTCCCAAGTAATGCTTAACAACAAAGAAATTCTGGGGTGAAATAAAAGCAATTACTACTCAATATTATTAGCTCTTTGAAGAAATGGCTACAAAATAAACCACCGTTCAGCAATTACTAGTAACTAACTCCTCTTAAACTAGTATCTAGCAAACTAAAACAGCTAGTCAAATATTATATATTGTCAATATGGCAAAGACAAAAAAATGAGGTATAAAATTATTATCTTTAAAATGTCTTGAAAAAAACTCTGTTAAAAAGTGCTTGGGAAATATTTAGTAATTAATAATTTTGTCTTCAACTGTTTATCAAAGACAAAAAAAGTAAAAAATTTATGCCATTTATGGGATACTTTTAAATACTGTATGTACAATCCAAACATGTTATGTCATATTTAATCAGCATATATTGTCATATATTAGATAGTGGCCAAACCTCTGGTGATCTGGTTCAAATAAAAATCAGATACTGGGGGAAAAAAAGTGTTTGAAGCTCACATCTCTAACGCTGAAGCGTAATTTATATCCATTTGCGGTGACCACTTCTTTAACAGATTTGAGGTCTGATAAGTGCAATTCTTCACAACTGACGATGTGATAACGCAGCAGCTCTGAACTGTGACTCGAATTGATCCACGAATCAACTTGAGGGTTCTGCCATGGCAAGGAAATATACAAAGAACAACAGAAGAAGTTTTCAGATTAGTGCAAATGCATCAGTAAATCCCATTATATTTGTGTAATGAGGTTGTGTGTCTGTACAGCATACCGAAAAATTTGTGACGTAATCTGCATGAGGAACAAACACAGTAAAAGGGCCTCGACCGACCCAATCCCGGAATCGAAATGCCTATAAAATAAACATATTTATTGTGAATATATTTAAAAAAAATCAAGGAAAGAGTATATTATTAAACATCTGCACTTACGCCTAAATTATTTCTGAACCACATTGCTTCAGGATTGCGACTGATCTCCTGCAACAAACAAAAAAATGATGCGATTTAGTTGCTGTTTCTCATGCGTTGCCAATTATTAGAAGTATCTTAAAATTGTATTCTTAAATGATACTAACTCTACTGACAGTCCCTGCACACTGCAAACCGTCCCCTTTAAAGCCAATATAGCATGTGCAATTGCGTTCCCCAGCACCGAGGTATCTGCAAACAGCGTTAACGCTGCAGCCTCCGTTATCCTGAAAAAAAATGTTTTGCATACATAAATATTGCATATGAGATGAAGATTTAGCCATAATTAGTCATAAATCTTCAAAATCTGTTACCTTTCGACAAGGATTAACTGCTAAACATCGATGACCTTGGGAAATAAAACCAGGCCTGCATGCACATGCAACCTGGCACAAATGTAATAACAAATGTATCGCTCAGCATCTTAACAATGAATTCCTTATGTTACCTTTTGTTGTTAAACTCAAAACACAAACCCTGTTTGGTCCAGTCTTCATGCATATGGCATTCTCATCACATCCTCCATTGTTCACTAAGCAGGCGTCCATTTCTATAGTGAAAACACAGTTTTGTAACTTTAGAGGTCTCATGAAATTAAAATGAAATCATTTTAGGTGTTAGTTTCAGTCTGCTAGTTTAATATATATATATTATTATTTTGGGGTTTTCACCTTTAAAGGGCCATGACACCCCCCACTTTCGGTTAAAGTCTACTACAGAATTTTTTCAAAAGATGCATGATTAATGGGCGTGGAGCTCTGCAAGCATCTGGCAGGAGTGGGCGTGGCCAGCAGAGCAGAACGTGAGCGAACAACTGTTGTTGTCAGTTAGCTCACAAAATGAGACAAACCGTGAGGAGACGCATTAGTGTATAGTTTACAAAGTTAAAATGCAAAGAAATGAACAGTGATTTAATGCCCTGCTACATTTGTTATTCGTAATTTCATATACACATAACCACAATTTATATCATTATAAAGATGTGTTCATGTAAACACTATAAATGAGGACTTCTCCCTCAATCCCCGTATCCAGCAGACTCAGTGCAGCAGGTCTCCTGACCTGTCTATTTTAACCATTAGCCCTGCTGGTAATCTGGAGGATTTAGGCAAACACAGCAGCACAGTGATGTGTCTGAATGTGAACGAACTCCTGATAAAAGACAGCGTCCGCCATTCTCTAATTCTCGTGCTGTACTCCCGACAAAAATGCTAGCAACACACACACAGCTTTGCTGTATGATCGGCCCTGACAAGATCGCGGGGGAAAACATGCAACAAACCCTGTGGATCATGAAATCAAAAGCATATGAGCCTTCATGAACGGCTAAATACTGTGGCTTGTCTCACAGCTCGGGCTTGACTCTGGCAAGTCTCATGAATAATTAAGCAGCCGGCTCTTCTCATAGGATAAGAAAACTCCGCTATGAATAATAATGAGAAACCGACGTGCATCATTGCACTTGCAGTTCTGCGCTACGTCGCCGATTTTGATCCCGCCCCAAAAATCATTTTAAACCCGGAAGCTGAAATTAGCTGACAAAAGCTCAAAATTATCCAGTTTTCCCCACAATTAAAGCTGATAGGTGCTAACATTGTCTTAAATGATGCTCAACACACACAAATCTGTTAATATAAAAAAAAAAGTTCTCCAGTGTGTACTGAACCTTTAATGGACAGGACAGTAGAAAGTATGACAGGAAAGGACGGGGAGCAGAGAGAGGGGAAGGATCGGCATAGCACCGCGAGGCGGGAATCGAACTCGGGTCACCGTTCGATAAAATGTAATTAGAATACACGCTACTGTGGAACGCGTTACACCCAACTCTGAATGTTATACAGCATTGCCCCTGTAAAATAAACTTATAACTAATAATACGTTGTAGATATATTGAATATACAATAATTGAGCCATGCAGCCCGATAATTTATTTGTCATAAAAAATATCATGCATCCCTAAATGCCATGCATTCCTAAATTAACGAAAAAGAATGGGATGTTTCAAGATGATGCTATAAAAATGTAATTTTGGTGGTGATATTGCTATTTAGAGGTCGGAAATGTGAACACAAACTAAATTTTTTAAATTAGATTTATTAACCTATCTACGTAAATAGATATTCTGAAAAATAAATCATGCATTTACCGACACATATGACCCCATCACCAATGTAGTTGGTTGTACATGTGCAGGTCCTTTCACCGGGTGCTGTTTTAGTACAGTTTGCGTTTACAGAACATCCACCATTGTCTTCGGCACATGGGTTAATTTCTATGGATGACATATGCAAATATTTCTCATTAAGACTAGGAATGTGTATAAAGAACGTGATTTTTAACTTAAACAACCAACTTCAAACGAAAACACACAAACCTTCACAAGAAGTCCCGTTACCCTTATAACCAGCTGTGCAGGAACAAGTTGGAGGAGTTCCCGAATCTCCCGAAATACAGCTGACAGAAGAATATCGTTTTATTAACACAAATTAAAGACATTCTTACATTTATATATGTTGTACTTACTTAGCATTAACATCACAAACTCCCCCACAGGCATCATCAACTACCACTGGAAAATACAGAAGTTTAATGCCATCAAGAACATGAAGGTGAAAAACATGTTAGCTAACGTAAAAAGGTTGCTGTTTGACCTCAATACTGACCAACAGAGCATTTCACTCCCTTCCAACCTTTAAAACAAATGCACTGCCCGTTTCCCTCCAAGCCATCCAAACATTTGCCATGTTCACAGTGACATTCTGCCAAACAAAAACAATAATTTCTCAAGGGATTGTTCAAAACATTTGAACAGCAGTCCACAGAAGGGCTGTCAAACGGAAATAGATGTTAGCGTTAGCATAGATGCTACCTGACTTGCAGTCTTTTCCGTATCTCCCGGGTTCACACATCTCACAGGCCGTTCCATGAAAGCCTTCATTACAGAGACATTTGCCAGTGCCGTGCAGCCCGTCCTCGCATTGACCGTTGTTGGAGCACCAGTTATCCAAAGTCCCCGGGCATTTTCCACAATCATGCCCAAAGTATCCTGGACAGCAGGAGTGGTCCTGGGAGAAGAGTTATTATAAGGTTTCAATTTGGATCAGATTCAAATTTGAATTAAGATGTGTAAACCCAACCAGCACTACATCAGTGACACATTTTAACTACAGAGTTTTAGGCCTAGTAATCATTTTGTTATCATACAAAGTTCCAATTTTTATGGCAAAAAAAGATAAATATGACTAGGGATTTTAAAATTAATCCAGAGAGTAATCTAAATCAGGAAAAGAAGTCTTCATTAAATGCAGGTTTCTCGTGATCAGGTCTGGACGAGGTCATTGAGGCAAACTACTGTAACTTCAAACAGTTCCCCTCTAACGATGCTTTAGGCCGATGGAGCATCATCCCTATCCAGCACCGTTTTTCACATTAAACACCTCCCTTTCTGGGTAGATGCCCCAGTGGTGGCGGAGATCTTATGCCTTAGGTTTTTCCCTGTGGGCCATTTTTGGGTGAACCAACCCTTTGAAATGCACCAATTACCATGCACCCTTCATCTCAAGTATGATTAACAAGACCGTGGCTCTTCAAAGCATTGGACAATGAGTTTGGGTCCTTAAGATTTGGGTGAAATACCTTTGTTGTTCTCAAACAGTCCATGAGACAGCCTGACACAGTCTTTCTCTTTTTTCCAACTCTTGTCCTGTATTTACAGTTACTCTTCATATTTTGAGGGAACTTTGGCTGTGTCTGTAGAAATGAGGAGGGGAACAAACAATAAGTTGCATTTTACCATCATGAATCTTAAGAACAAAATAAAACATCAAAGGACTCTATAGAACCAGAGCTGGGTAGTAATGGATTATATGTCATCTGGATTACGCAATCAGACTACAGTTACTTTATGGATTACTAGATTACAAATTATTTACACAATTGCAGTGAGTTACAATTCATTGATTCTGCAAATTTTGTCCCTTTTTTAACAATTATATTTTGTCATAAAATGGCTGCATATATACGTGATTCTTTATATTTGCAATGTTTTTCACTAATTCTGTCACTATTTTTAATATGAAATATTTGTTGTCGCAATGATATTGCTGTCAAACTCTCCATGTATTATCCAACTTTAAATAGAAGCTCTTGTTAGAGATAAAAAATTAAATATATACATAATTTATTTTTATTTTCTCTTAACATAGATTGAGATTGACAACATATAGGGGTTAGCACAAAAGTAATCTAAATGTAATCCATAAGTAGTCTAAGTACTATAAATGTGTAATCTTCGAAGTTATATTACTTTTGCCATTTAATTTGTAATCAGTAACTGATTACATTTCATAAGCAATCTACCCAGCTCTGTATATAATCTTACAGGTTTGGCACTGAAGGGACATTGCGGTGCAGCTTTACAATCTCCACAGCGGCCCTGCAAACACAGCAAATGATTCTTAAAATTGTTACACAACCACAAATGTGATTTGAAAATACCAACGGACACTTACAGTAATTTTCAAAATCACATCTTTACTGCAGTGGTTCTTATGGAGGTCTAAGACTCGTGGGATTCCGAACACTATGCCGTGCCTCGTCTCAATGTAGCTCATGTTTACGGGGACGTCATTTGCTATTATCTGGAGTTCAGAAACAGTTAGTACTCACTACTTTTTATCTAAGAGCTGAACAGAATTAGTGGAATACCTGATTTTCGATGTCCACGAAGAACATGATCTGAGTCCCGTTTCCTAAAAACGTGTTTTTGAAAAGTCTGTCGCTCAAGTGTTCAGGAAAGAGCTGCTCGCTTAGAATCACGTGATATTTTACAATCTCCTTGCTCTGTTGGAAAGAGATGATTTTGTCAATTGATAACGTATAATAATGCAATTATTGTCGCGCAAAAACATTCTACTCACCAGTTGTGTAGCGTTCGTTTTAATTAGGTACTCCTGTACAGCACTGTCATATGGAATCAAAATGGTGTAATCTCGAGTTGGGATGCTGTTTTCCAAGTTGTAAAGCTAAAACGATACAAAAAATAAATAAAGAAAACTTATGTATGTGTATGTTACAAAACCAGTTATGAGATACAGGACAACCCAACACTGGGAAACACCCACACTCATACACTACAGCCAATTTAACGTATTCAATTCACCTATACCGCATGTCTTTGGACTGTTGGGGAAACCGGAGCGCCCAGAGTAAACCCAAGCGAACACGTGGAGAACATGCAAACGTCACACAAAAATGGCAACTTACCCAGCTGTGGCTCGAACCAGTGATCTTTTTGGTTTAAGGCAATCGTGCTACCCACTGTGCCACCATGACGCCCAGCACCAGTTTATCCCAGGTTAATTTCAAACTGGGGTTAGCATTGCTTTTAACCAGGGTTATGAAAATGAGTAGTTTTTTGAATGAATGAAGTGGTAAATGCTAACACTTTAACAGCCAATCAAATGCCCCATTCACATGCTTGGTTAACCCTGTGTGAAACTGAGATAACCCAGGATTACATTTAGCCAGGGTTTGGGGTTAAACCATACTCATTAATTAAGTTGAATGTTCAGGTCAAACATACCAGTGCCGCCTGCCTGAAAAGGCTGAATTCTGGCGTGTTGTTGAGGAACTTCATCAAAGTGGGAGGTGGTGGAGGGAAATCAGACAGAGGGGGTCGAAGAACCTGTGACAAAAACAGCTCTCATCAATTTAATTTTCACATTTTAATCATTTATAATTTGCAAAAGAGATTCATATGTCTAAACTAGATCAAGTGAGTAAACTCCCAGGTAAATGATTTAGCACCTCAATGCCTAAGCGCTCTTATAATGTCAAAAAAGTTTAGCACTACATTGTTTCCAAAGTGTTGCTATGCAGTTGCAAACATGTGGGTGTTGTTATAAAGTTTATTCGGTGTTCAAAATGTCTTTAGGGTGGTTCCTTGCAGTTTAGCATATTACTGTTGTTGGTTAGGTTTGGTTTCTAGGGTCTTCCTAGGCAGCTGGTAAGGTGTTCTGAGACATTGTTACATATCCTGGGTGTTACATATTTATTTGCTCTACATGTGTTTAGGTCAGTTTAGTAGTGGATAGAACGTTGTCATGTGGCTGCTAGAGTATTTTAAGGTAAATTTTATGGTTTGGCTATGTTATTTCTAAGGTGTTTAGGTGTGTTTCAAGACAGTTGCTATGCAGTTACTAATGTACTAACCCAGCAGGCACACAACATCATAAGACGCTAATATTCGGTTAAATTTAGATCATGACTTTAGGTAACCAAAATTCAATGTCTATCCAGCGTCTAAGGACAAAGTTATTTTGACGTCCAATAACAAGGTCAATTTATGTTGATATTTGGTTAATTTTAGGCTGTGTTTGGAAAGTGACCAAAATCTGACATCTAATAGATGTCATAGTGTTAACATCCACGTAACGTCAAGGTGTAACATGATTAGACTTGTATATTTGGTCGATTTTAGGTTGAACATTGGACGTTGACTTCAGCCTGATGTTGGGTTCTGGCGTCAACCTGATTTTAATTTCCAAACAAAATCCAAGGCCCCTATGACGTTGGGGTACAATGTCAATATGAAGTTATGTTGACGTCCTGTGCCTGCAGGGAAGTTGCTGTTTTGTTGTTAGGGTATTTTCATTTGTTCATTTGTGTTGCTGTGTAATCGCTATGGTCTTCTACGTGTTTTGAGGTGTTGCCATGCTGTTGCTTGGGTGTTGCACAGTGACATTACCGTGTCTATAATGTGAATGCACCCATTTATTGCCTTGATATCTGGAACAAGAATTGTCGCATTGCTGATCATGAGCTCCTAAAGACGCAAGGGTGTAAAGGTTATATCACAAACAGCAGTTAAAGATGACCAATTTGCATTGTTAAATTTATCAGCAGGTTTGTTTGAAACTCACCCTGCCGTTGCTTTGGACCTCCCATTTAGTCATTCCTATGGTCTGAACTGTTTTACCAGCTTTCTGCCTCAAGTCTTCAGAGGTGTAGATGCCCTCTAAAAAATGAACTCTAGAGAGAAATCACACACAAATATGATCTCTTGGCATTTAGTCTATTAAACGATCATTTCTCAACCTCAATACTTACTGTAAAAGGTGAGGCAGCCTGTAATAATCAAACCAAAAAGACTCCTCTAAATCGCTGAGATTTTTGAAAGCAGCTTTGGATGGAACTAAAGCTGTGACCTGGCTGTCAGTCTCAATCACTTTGTGCCTCTGCAGATAAACACAGACAGGTTGTAGAATATTAATTGTTTGTATATTCATATTTTCATAAAAGTTCATAAACGTAGTGATTAATTGAGGATGTATTTAAGTAAATACTCAAATATACATCAAGAAAATCCAACAAGTTCAAATATTCTTAATGACTGATTCACTGCTGTCATTTCATTCATTCATTCATTCCTTCATTCATTTTCTGACGCTTTTCTGGGGCCGTGTTGCGGGGGAAGCAGTCTTAGGAGAGAATCCCAGACCTCCTTCTCTTTAGACACTTCCTCCAGCTCCTCCGGGGGGATTCTGAGGCGTTCCCAGTCCAGCCGAGAGACATAGTCCCTCCAGCGTGTCCTGGGTCTTCCCCGAGGCCTTCTCCTGGTGGGACATGCCTGAAACACCTCCCTAGGTAGGCGTCCAGGAGGCATCCGAAACAGATGCCCGAGCCACCCCAGCTGACTTCTATCCATGTGAAGAAGTATTGGCTCTACTCCGAGCTCCTCTCGAGTGTCAGAGCTCCTCACCCTATCCAAAAGAGTGCACCCTGCCACCCTTCGAAGGAAACTCATTTCGGCCGCTTGTATCTAAGATCTTGTCCTTTCCGTCGTGACCCAAAGCTCATGACCATAGATGAGAGTAGGAACGTAGATTGACCAGTAAATTGAAAGCTTTGCCTTACGGCTCAGCTCCTTTTTTACCACAACAGACCTTTACTTTGATCGCATTACTGCTGCCGCTGCACCAATCCGCCTGTCTATCTCACGTTCCATCCTTCCCTCACTCATGAACAAAACCCCTGTGGAGGTTGCTTGGGGGGGTATGGGGTCAGAGGCGCTCTGTTAAGAGCTGTCTCGTCCCTGTATGAACAGAGTAGGAGTTTGGTTTGCATTGCCCTCAATAAGTCAAACTTGTTTCCAGTGCATGTTGGACTCCAGCAGGGCTGCCCCTTGTCACCAATTCTGTTCATCATTTTTATGGACAGAATTTCAAGGCCCAGCCTTGAACTGGAGGAGGTCTGTTTCGGGGACCACAGGATTTCAGGATTTTCCAAGTTATTCGCAGACGATGTTGTTCTGTTGGCTTCATTGAACACAGACCTTCAGCATGCACTGGGGTAGTTTGCTGCCGAGTGTGACACGGCTGGGATGAGAATCAGCACCTCCAAGTCTGAGGCCATGGTGCTCCACCGGAAAAAGGTGGTTTGCCATCTCCAGGTTGGAGGAAAGTCCTTAACCCCAGGTGGAGGAGTTTAAGTATCTCCGGGTTTTGTTCACGAGTGCTGTCATTTCAGTTTAAATTTTTTTTTGTTATTAAGAGGAAAATGCATTGCATATAAATACATATTACATACTCATATTATATTTTATCTAGGGGTTATGTCAAAATGTTTGCTAAGATATATTTTAAACTTATTTTAACCCCTAAATAAGTTTATTGGAGTTTTAAGGATGTACTTACTTGAAGGAAGCGATTAAAATAATAGAATTCAGAGTTTCCATCGAGCTCCTGTAAATAAAAACATTAATTAAAAGTTTTTTAAAAAGTTTAAAAACAGTTTAACATCACTTTAACATTTTTCAAGACAATTATTTTCCCAAATTTAATTTAAAATGTAAAAAAAATAACTTTTTGTTTTTTAAAATATAAAAAATTACAAATTTTATTTGAAATGGTCATCAAACTTTTTATCTTTTTCTGCATGTCAAATAAAACTTTTTGACACGTACGTCTTTGCTATTTAAAACCAGATGTGAATTAACAAAGCACAACATACTTACTTTTAACTAATTAAAACAATTGAATACATTATCAAATAGATACACAAATGCTTCATCTTACCACAAGCATATTTCCATAACACGAGAGTCCATCGCCTTCAAATTCGCTTGGGCATGTGCATTCACGTGTTCCCGGGCTTGTCAATTTACACTTGGCCTGGAAGCATTATCATTTACATTAGAATTCTGCCATAGTGCAGATATGTACAGATATATATTAACAGATAAACCTGCATAAATGAAATACAGACCAAAGAATGGCAGCCTCCATTATCTGACAAACAGGGGTTGACGATTTTACAGATGATACCATCTCCCATGTAGCCTTTCTTGCAGCTACATTCATTCTGACCAGAAAAATAAGTAGAAAAAATGATTAAATAAAACTGCCAACATTACAGGTGACTCTATATATTTGAAAGCCAGTTACCAATATATAGACAGAATACAAAATACAACTGTTTAACATTGACTTTCAGCCACGGATGTAAACCAAAAACCAATATATAGGCCGATAAATACAATATCTCTCCCATGTAAACTATTATATCTGACCTTTTTACCTAGAGATGGAACAAAATGGAAATTTTGACAGATACTGATAACGATAACTCTTTACCTTTAAAAGCCAATAACAAATATATAGACCGATAAATAAAATATATCTCCCATATAAACTATTACTACTGACTTTTTCACCTAGAGATAGAACGAAATGGAAATTTTGGCAGATATTGATAACCGATAACTTTTTACATTTGAAAGCCGATAACCGATATATAGACAGATAAATACAGTATGTCTCCCATGTAAACTATTATCACTTACTTATACGTTTGGATGGAACGAAATGGAAATTTTTGCAGATACTGATAACCAATAACTCCTTACATTTGAAAGCTGATAACCAGTATATAGACCGATAAATACAATATTTCTCCCATGTAAACTAATATCATTCCACTTAGAGATGGAATGAAATGGAAATTTCGGCAAATACTGACAACAGTTAACTATTAACATTTGAAAGCCGATAACCGATATATAAACTGATAAATATAATGCATATCAATGATATTTATACCATCATCACTGGATTTCAGTTAGAAATGCACAGAGATGGAAGTTTTGGCAGATACAAATACATAATAACTCTTTTTTGCTTGGAAGCCTATACTCGATATTATTGACTAATAAATACCTCATATAGATACAATATAAACTATTATTATTATTCGCTTTTAGCTAAGAGATATGCAAAATTGCCAGATGCCCATAACAGATAAGCGTTATATTCAGAAGCAATTTTACTAATTTAATATACCAATAGAGTATATAACTAAAATATAGACTTTTATCACCGACTTTTGGCTAAATATGCATCAATATGGAACTATTAGATGTCCGGTACTATAACCAATATATAGACTGAATACAAATAATAAAATATAACTCATATATAACTGTTCACCAATGGATTTCAGCTAGGGATGTAAACTGATAACCAATATATAGACAGATAAATCTAATATATATCCCATGTAAATTATTATAACTAACTTTTTCACCTAAAAATGGAATGAAATGGAAATTTTGGCAGATACTGATAACCGATAACTATGTACATTTATAGCCGATAACCGATATATAGACCAATAGATACAAAATATCACCTCTGTAAACTATTATCACTGACTCTTCCACCTTTTTCACTTTTTTAGATACAGATAACCAATAAGGTTTTACATTTAAAAGCCGATAACAGAAATATAAACCATATTTTATATAAACAATATTTAAACCATCATCACTGGATGATGTTATGGAAGTTTTAACAGATACAAAAACAAGATAACTCTTTATATTTGGAAGCCAATATCGATATTATTAACAGATAAATACAATATATAATTACAATATTAATTATTATTACTGGCTTTTAGCTAAGTGATATGCAAAATTGTCAAATGCTAATAACAGTTGACTTGTTATATTCATAAGAAATTTAACTGATATCATAGACTGACAGATGAATATATAACTGAAATATAGACTTTTGTCACAGACCTTTGGCTAAAGATGCACCGATATGGAAATATTAAATGTCAGATACCAATAACAGGTGACTATATTTAAAAACCAAAAACCGATGTTATGGGTGAATGAATACAATATATAGCTGATACAAATATTATAACTAGTTTTTGGCAAGGGGTGTTGGAATATGTCGATTTTGCAGATACCGATAACCGATTATTCTTTATATTCAGAAGCCAAAAACGAATGATATAAAAAAATCAGATATCTGAAAGGCAATAATCAAAATTATAGACCAATAAATACAAAACATAACTGATATAACAAAGATAATCGATAACTCTTTATATCTGATAGTCAATAACGATATTGTAGACTAGTAAATAAAAAATATATCTGATTTAACCATTTTAAACATTTTGCCAGATACCAATAACATTACTCTTTACATTCGAAAGCCAATAACTGATATTATAGACAGATAAATAAAATATATAGCTGCAACAATAGATACAAATCTTTTTTTCTGGGCCTATTTACAAATACAAATGCAAAAAAATACTGTGGATAATTAATTTTATTTTCAAACTTTAACTGCGTTATTATTTACAAATGCCAATTTAGTTTTTTCACATGTACACCTAGAATGCCTTAAGAGTAAGTTCTAGACCAATTTAACATGAGCTATTTCTTTAACCATACAAGTTATACGTATAGTAGCTTTGTGTGTATTTTTAATAAGAAATAAAATTTAGTTTCATCAGTATCTTTATAAAAACAGTAAATAAACAAACAAAATTACATGACAGATAAACATTATGACCTGATTTAATAAATGTTACTTATTATGTTACGTTGAGAACACAGATACTTGTAAATATATAATGTTATCTAAATTAATTGCTTTAATGTATCTTTTGGTCTCACTTTTAGGATCATTACCTGTCCTGGTGCAGTTGATGTGCAATCTGCATTTTCATGACATCCGCCACGGCTCTCCAGCTGACAGTTATTGATCTCCACACACAGACTTCCATCACCTGTCCAACCCTCCATACAAACACAGTTCACCTTTCCTGCATTGTATGAACACACAGCCTAAAAACAACAACAAAACCCTGATTTACATTCAACATAAAAATCCAAATGGACTTAAACAATATCCATATTGCACTCATTTAACAGTGCAAAGCTCACATGATATTTTTTTATACTATTTTAATTTGTTTTTTCAATATATAATCATATTTGTTCATAGGTGCGTGTCAAAGATTGATATGGCATACATAATGCTAGTTTTAGTCATTTTTATAGATAATGGGGTCGCCAGTATCCAAAAGAATGGAAATAAAAGACATCGTAGTTGTGTTTTTGTACCAGAAGGGGGCATTAAAGCAATTCAATTTTCAACTAAAAACTAATTTATGCAACAACAACAAAGTTTTTACAGGAGTTTTTTTTTAATTATAGTTATCATCTATGTGTAAACTACAACTTAGTAGAAGTTGTGAGTAGGTACTCGACAACCAAAATAACAATGATGGACCACAGGACTAAATGTGCGCAGATGCATAGTGTTTCTTTACAAAGTCACATGGCCTCCTACTGGCCTGGCATGCAAAATATAACATTTTGAGTCATTATTGTGAATGGAGATCAGTGTGAATGGAGCAAAAATGCAAAGCAAAAGCATTTTCATATGTAGTATATCACTGTCCTGTAAACTTAACCACAGTATAATATGGTGGTTTAATGCCAAAAGTTTTTCTTTGTGCTAAAAATACAGGTCTGATTATAAAATTAGATATTTATTAGAATTAGTATTTTTTATATACATTAAAAATTAATAATGCCCTGATAATCTATATTTACTTTGATTTTACTCTCTCCAGTAGTAACTGCCAGTGATGAATATAGAAAGAATTTGGCAGATAAAGATGAACCGATAACTCAATACCTCACTCAATAACTGAAAGTCACCAATCAATATTATAGATCAGTTAATACAAAATTTTACTGATAAAACCGATGTAACTGAGATAACCCATAACTCTATATCTGTAAGCCAATAATGGATATTATACAAAATATAACTGATAGTAAATCTGTTATCACTGACTTTCCGCTAGGGATGCACTGGTGTAGAAATTTTGGCAAATCCAAATATGTGATATATCTTTATATTTGTAAGCTGATAATCGATATTACATACAGATAAATACTATATATAATTGATATATAAACTACTATCACTTGATTTGGTTCGGGACATGAAAATTTTGTTAGTTACCGATAACAGATTCCAAACTTTTTTTTTGGAAGCAGATACCAATATTATAGACCAATGAATACATTACATATCTGATACAAAAACTATTACTCTTGGATTTCAGCTAGAGACTCATATCTGGTATATACAGATACATGATAACTCTACATTCAGAGGCTGAGAACCGATATTATAAACCGATAAATACAAACTAGAACTGATATATATGAAGTATTATTACTGGCTTTCAGCTAGGAATGCACTGATATAAAAACTTTGTCAGATGCAGTTAACACATGACTCTTTATATTTGAAACCCGATAACTGATATTATAGACAAATTATATTTGTAATTATAAACAAAATATAGGGCTTATATCTAAACTATTATTACCAGATTTCATATTTTATATATAAATTATTATCACTTGATTTGGTTCGGAATACACCGATATGAAAATTTTGTCAGTTACCGATAACAGATGATTCTTTATTTTTTGAAACAGATGCCGATATTATAGACCAATAAATAAAATATATTTCTATTATATATAAACTATTATTATCAGATTTCAGCTGGAGACTCAAGTATGGTATATACTAGGGATGTAACGGTATTGTAAATACCGTCATACCGCAATATTAATTTTTTTCGATATTACCGTAGTCGCATGACTCGGTAAAACTATAGGTCTTCTGAGAAAATTTGCTCAAGCGAATGAAGCGAACGGGAGGTAGCGAAAACTACAATTCCCATCAGCCCATGCTTGACCATCATCCCTTGCGGTCTGTTGTCGCTACAGATCCAGTAATGCGGAAATGGAGTGTGCTGCTAGAAGCGGGGATGAAAAAGAGCTGGAAAACTTTGAAGCGGGTGTTGTCGCCGCGCGCGTACTGAATAGCGGTGTTGTCGCGCAAGTTCTGATCAGCTGTGTTGTCGGGCGCGTACTGAATAGCGGTGTTGTCGCGCGAGTTCTTATCAGCTGTGTTGTCGCGCGCGTACTGAATAGCGGTGTTGTCAGCACACTGTTCAGATTGATGCAGACCTGAGACTCATGGTTTGTCCTCTCAAGTGGGGGAAAGACAATGCACAACGTTACCCACTGCTGTCAACCTGGGCCAAGTCATATCTCTCTTGTCCCAGAAACCTCAGTCCCAAATGAGAGGGTTTTTTTTCTGTTGCAGGGGACATTATTAATACCCAGAGATACCAGCTTTTACCAGATTATATTTATATGATAATTTTCCTTTAAACCCATCTCTATCTAAGTGAGTGAGTGATTAAATGTTGAATGTGATGAGTTTTCAACAATACTAAATTGAAACTTTTATTTTTTTACATGGTTTAATATTTTTTTGTTATTAAAATTGAAGTTCCTGTTTCAAAGCTTACAGATAGATGGCTAATTTGTATGTCATTGACACTTTTGGCACTTTTTTTGAGTATTTTCATAAGTTTTGTTTTTTCCTGTAAATCAATAAATACCGTACCGTGACATTCATACCGAGGTATTACCGTACCGTGAAATTCTGATACCGTTACATCCCTAGTATATACAGATACATGAGAACTCTTTACATTCAGAAGCCGATAACCGATATTAAAAACCAATAAATGCAAACTAGAACTGATGTATATGAAGTAATATCACTTTCAAGCTGATAACCGACTTTACAGACAGATAAATACAATAAATAATTAATATAAAAACTATTATCATATGATTTAGTTGGAGACATAAAATTTTGTCAGTTACCGATAACAGATGCCTCTTTACTTTTTGGAAGCCAATAACCAATATTATATAGCGATAAATACAAACTAGAACTGATATATATATATATATATATATATATATATATATATATATATATATATATAGTATATAAAGTATTATCACTAGATTTTGGCTAGAGATGTAGCGATATGAATGTGTCAGATTGACTGTAAATGACTGCAGTATTGTTGTGGCAGACTTTTTCAGAATCAAAGGGTAAAGACAAACTGCTAGAAAAGGGAAATTCTCACATTGGTGTCACAGCCGCCTCTCTGAGGCAGAAGACAGGGGTTGGATTCAGTGCAGGCGTAACCGTCTCCTTCATATCCAGGCTGACAAACACACCTACAACACAACATATAACAGATCAATAACCTGACAAAGATAGATGAACGTTAACATGTCAAACACAAACACAATAACACTACTAGCATGCATGCTTCAATGACTATATTTAAAATATTAACTGCCAAATGTTTGCCCAGATTGCTGAAATAGAATGATAATAGTTAGAATAATTGTTTAAAATAAAATAAAAGAAAATATACAAATAAAAACTGCCAAATGTTTATCAAAAATGTTTTATTAAAATTATTACCAACTTGTTGTTTAAAATAAAATACTTAAAAAAAATAAAAATAAACCCCACAAAATTGGCAAAACGTTTTGAACAAAACAAATAAAATAAAACCAAAAAAAATCTCACTGCAGTTTACAATAATCTACAGGTAAAAAAGCAACACTAACGTGGTTTGTCCTTTGACATAGAGACATATGGCATGAATATGGCAGTGCAGGAGGGCTCCGTCTGAATCGCAGACAGAGGCCGTTTGGTCACAAAGTTCCCCTAAAAATCCTTCGAAACAAGATCCTCTCCGACAAACTCCTGAACTGCCCGGCCTGTTGTCACACACTCCATGAACACAGCGGCAGTCTACAGAAACAAGAGCAAAGGGTTAAGCTGATCATGATTTAGAAACAGAAACCGTAGAAGGAAATATATGAGGTCTATAAGTTTACCTTCGTCACAGTTTTCTCCGTGCTTTTTGGGGTTTGAGCAGAGGTGGCAACCGACACCTGTAAACGCTGCTTCACATTTACAGGAGCCGTTCCCATTAATGCCATCGAAGCACTTCAGACAAATGAAAATTATAATCATAAAAAATATAAAAGTAAATAAAGACACCCAAAGGCTTCTCTAAAATTAAATAAGTTAAAATAGAAAAGCAAAGTATTTGGCATATTTATATAAACAACAAAGCGTTTAGCTAACAATTTTTGAAATAATTGAAAGTAAATTAAAAAAATAAAAACTCCTAAATATTTTCTCAAATGTTGTCTACGACAAATGTTAATTATAGGTAATGAATTATATTTCCTAAATCTTTATTTAAAACTCAGCAAAATATTTCGAAATTGAATAGAAATATTATTTTCCTAAATTGTTGTGTAAAATAAAATAACAAAAATAATTGCAAAAATTGCAAATATTTTCCCAAATTGTCATGTAAAAGTAATATAAAATGTAAATAAAATTACAAAATATTTGTTTCCAAATTCGATATTAAATAATAAAATATAAAAAAACTACTACACAAATATTGCCACATTTTAAAATTAAATTAAATTAAATACTGAACTGTATAAGTTGCATATTTTTTACTACTTAGAGGAAAATACAGCTCTTAAACATTTTGCAAATAGCTGATAAGGCATTTTAAACTTAGTTAAGTTCTAAATAAATAATAAATAAAAGCACATTCCATGTGAATATATCAGGGTATTAACATACTTACAGTGCCTTTACCATAACATGGGTTCTGGAAACCTCCAATACATGGCTTACAATCCGGCCCATAGAAACCTCTGCAACACTGCGGTGACTGAAAACAACATCACCAACATCACACAAACTTCCATATTTATTCAGATTATGCCATAAAAACACACATACAGTTGAAGTCAGAATTATATTAAACTGCCTGAAATTGCTAGCCCCCCTGGTTATTTTTTTCACCAATTTCTGTTTAACTGGGAGAATATTTTTTTAACACATTTTTAAACAAAATAGTTTTAATAACTCATCTCTAATAACTGATTTATGTTATCTTTGCCATGATATCAGTAAATAATATTTGACTAGATATTTTTCAAGACATTTTTTATACAGCTTAAAGTGACATTTAAAGGCTTAACTGGGTTATTAGGTTAACTAGGCAGATAACTAGGGTAATTAGGCAAGTTATTGTATAACAACGCTTTATTCTGTAGATAATCGAAAAAAAATTGCTTAGAGAAGCTAATAATTTTGACCTTAATTATTTCTTTTTTTTTTCCGGAATGAAAAATATTATCAGACATACTGTGAACATTGCTCTGTTAAATATCATTTGGGGTTTTTTTAATTCAAAGGGGGTTTAATAATGCTGATTTCAACTGTATATTACATGCGTAGAGTTGCTAAAGTTTGCCCTGCGCGCTTGCATTTTTTAGAAACTTCTTTGGTTTGGTACGTGAATCTTGTCAATGCTATTATTCAAAAAAGGTAATGATTCGCACTCAAGTAATTGCTTCGTACTGTTTTTTATTTTTTATTTTGCTTACATTCTACGGGTGATTAAAATACACAGACATTGTGCCGAAATGTCTGTGTCTTTTAATCACCCGTAGAATGTAAGAAAAATAAAAAATAAAGAACTGTATATTACATTAAAAGATTTATTTTGTTTTTATTTATTTTAGATGCGATTAATCACAAGATTAAGACTTTTCACAGAAATGCATCAAATCTTACACCGTTATTTTGCTTAGTTGCCAAGTAAGTACATTGAAGTGACTACAACTAAAATAAAATGAATATCGACACTTTAAAATGGAGAATAAAGCACAAAAATATGATATCTTTACATTTTTATATGCATAACAAAATATCAACTAAAACTACAGCAGTAATTCAGTGATTCAAGTGAAGATTGTATCAGACAGCGTTTTCCCTACCGTCTCTGTAATATTGCAGTATTTCGCACAGCCTTCCTCAAAAATCGAGTATGAAAATCTGCGATCAGGAAGTGGCTCACAGCCTTCATGACGACCTGGCTTTAAAAGAAAATTAAAATCGGACTTTTCTTTATTCATAACTGTAAATGTTGATTTACAATGTCTTAATGGCTGAAATAGTCATTCAAACCAACAAATACCAGCTCAACACTTCCAGGTGGACACTTTGTCTCATAGAGATGACTACATCGAACACAGGAACCCTATGAAGAATAAAAAGATTATACTATCAGTTGTATATTATAATTACACTACTTTTTCAATGATAACTTGCTCGTAAGCAAGTGTTGGTTACTTGATTTGAAAAATGAAATGCAATCCTAAAATACTACTAATTAAAGGCACCTACAAATGAGATCCTGCTACTGTTAACGTCACAGCGATGGGGCATTATGGGAACAATGGATGAAGGTACAAGAACTCCATTGATCAGGTGAATGATCCCATTAGATGCGATGATGTCTTTGGTTTCAAGAGTTATTCCTTTGTCTCCCAGAAAAATTCTCCCCTGTGGGTTGATAGGTAGAATGTAAAATTAACAGCCACATAATTTTCACTTTCTCATTAATACAGTGCCACAAAGTCACCAAAATGGGTAATTTAACACATAATGAGGCCCAACATATTTGCACCAAATTTCATAACATTTGCTTATTCTCATCAAGAGTAATCACCAATTAAGTGAATTAACTTACATCGTCAGAGGCATTGATCCTCAGGATCTCATTGGCCATGGTTGTGATCTCGGACATGCTGGCGAGCTGGTCTACAGTGATCTAAACCAAAGATATTTGATGATATATGTTAACCATTGGATACCTATTAGAAAAAATAATCATACAGGTTTCAAACATATGTTTAAATGTATATTTTTACACTCGATGATAGATTCTATTTGTTTTGGCCTTTTGATTTGAAAAAGTGGTAGTGGCCGGTTTTGAATGCACTTCACCTTAAATGCACCTTGATTGTTTATTCAATCTCCTTGTTTATTTTATAAATAATGGACTGACAGAAAATAAATTAAAACTAAGATTATTATTAAATTTATTCCAAAAAGAGGATTTTTCCAACAAAAAATGTGGCCAAAAATGATGTCTGATCCACTTCCTTTCTTCTTCTTTCCATTTACCATGCCTTTATGATGTTTGCAGTAAACAAAGTGAAGAAAACACACAAACAAGTCATTTTTAAATTAATAAAAATACACTAATCCTATTTTACAAACTAGTTGAACTATATCATCAAATCAAAGTGAAAAGTTAAAAATAGCTTTAAAATAATAATCACCAGGAAAAATGATTTAATGATACTATATCAGATTGGACTAATATTTCTAAACCCCCAAAAAAATAAATAGCAAACACTCTTGTTCTCTGGGACATTGTGATCCATTAGATAATTATTATTATAGACCAGTTTCTGAGGGAAGGTTGTCATTAGAAGAAAAAGTTTATATATTTTACATTATGTCTGTTAGCTTGATGCTATCTTTATGCTAGTCCAATCAAATGCATTCTAGAATGAGAATGTACCTCCAGCTAGCACTGCTGACTACCATTAGTATGATATGCAGGATATGACATAAACTAGACATTTTTTGCTGACATTCTAATGTATTTCAATTTGAAAATAATTTCATTTTTCAAATTCTTGCATGTAATCTTTAAAGTGGATTTTACGAGCGCCTTGTTTCAAGGTCAAAATGACTGTTAGAAACCAATCAACACTTGATTTCAGATGTCAAAGAGAGACTCACTGCGGCCAAGGAGAAAATATGGTGTTTCAGAAGAGTCTGGAGCTTTGGTTTGGCCTTTTCATAAAGAGATGAAAAAAATCAATGTGTTACATAAACAAATGTATCAATAACCACAAATCTGATTAAAGTCGGCATGAAGTGGAGGTTTAGATCACCATACCCCCCCCCCCCCCCCCCTTATTTTTTTTTTTTTTTTTTTCGATGTACATCAGGTTAAAACTGTTACTAAAATGAAAAAAAAAATTCGGGCTCTACATGATTTCATCTTTTGGGAACTGATTGGATTAATGGACGATAGGTGTTGTTAACAAAATGTAAGAAGATTTGAATGCCAGTTAACACTTTGATCACTGCAGACTGCAAAACACCCTGGACCACCCTAAAGGACTCATTGTGTCACCCTAAAGGACCGATAGTCCAGCTCTAAAGGACTGATAGTCCCACTTTACATGACTTACAGTCCCGCCCTAAAGGACTTATTGCTCCGCATAAATGACTGATAATCCTACCCTGAAGGTCTGATGACCCTGCTATAAATAACTGATAGTCCCACCCTAAAGGTCTGACAACCTTACCCCTAAATTACGTTTAGTCCTGTTCTAAATTACTAATACCCCTGCCCTCAATGACTGATAGCCCCACCCTAAATGGCTAAAAGCTCCCCCCTTAAGGACTGATTGCCCTGCCATAAATGACTGATAGTCCCACCCTAAATGGCTAATAGCTCTGCCCTAAATGACTAATTGCCTTCCCATAAATGACTGATAGTCCCACTCTGAATGTTTGACAACACTGCTATAAATGACTGATAGTCCCAGCGTAAGGTCTGATAACCCCGCTATATATAAATGACTAACAGTCTCACCCTGAAGGTCTGATAACCCTAATTTAAATGGCTGTTAGTCACACCATTAAGGTCTGATAACCTCACCCTAAATTACTAATAGTGCTGCCCTATATTACTAAAAGCTCCGCCCTAAAGGACCCATAGTCCAGCACTAAATGACTGACTTCCCCTCCCTAAATGGCTTTATAATCCCACTCCGAAGGTCTGATAACCCCGCTAAAAAATGACTGATAGTCCCACACTGAAGGTCTGATAAACCCACTATAAATGACTTATAGTCCCACCCTAAATTACGAATAGCCCTGCCCTAAGAGACTGATATCCCCACCCTAAATTAATGATAGCTCTGCCCTAAATGACTAATTAAAAAAAAATAATAAATAAAATTATCCCACCTTGTACGTCTGATAACTCCACTATAATTGACTGATAGTCCCACACTGAAGGTCTGATAACCTCGCTTTTAATGACTGATTATCCCACCCTGAAGGTCTGATAACCTCTCCCTAAACTACTAATAGCCCCATCCTAATAGACTGATAGTCCAGCGCTAAATGACTGATTTCCCCACCCTAAATGACTGATAGCCCCACCCTAAATGGATGATTGCTCCACCCTAAATGACTGATTACCCCGCCATAAATGACTGATAGTCCCACTAGGAAGGTCTGATAACCTCAATTTTAATTACTTATAGTTCCGCCCTATAATACTAATAGCCCCGCACTAAAGGACTGATATTCCAGCACTAAATGACTAATTCCCAGCCCTCAATGACTGATAGCCCTAACCTAAATAATTGATTGATAGTCCTACCATGAAAGTCTGATAATCTTGCTTTAAATAACTGATAGTCCCACCCTGAATTACTAATAGTTCTGCCTTAAGGAAGTAATAGCCCCACCTTAAATGACTGATATCCCTGCCCTAAATGACTGATAGGCCCGCCGTAACTGACCAATAGCTCTGCCCTAAAGGACTGATAGTCCAGCACAAATGACTGATAGTCCCACCTTGAAGGACTGACAGCTCCGTCCTAATGGTTTTCCATGCGACCAGAAGTGAAGAAAAGCCATTTTTATAGGGAAGGTTGTGGTATTTAATTAAAGATTATGAAAGCAAAACATTTTTTTTTTTTACAAATAATGAAGTGTTGTTTGTAACCAGCACTACTCTATACATCCAAAAATAAGAACAGTACATTTTAATTTCATGCCGACTTTAAAGCGCTCAGTAAAAATGTGCTCTGAATTATTTTTTACACGTTTAACATCATTCCAAGCTGAAAACACAGACTCACATCGTTCAGCATGTACATAAGGCTTCCATCTCTGAATTTGTCAATGGCAGTGTTGGTTGGAACAAGCACAGTAAGTGGACCCGTACCTCTGAAGGGCAAAAGAGCGCCACAGTTCTGCAGCAGAAAGAGAACAAGTGTTTGAATGCCTGGGTTTGGGGGGAGAAATTCAGTAAAACTGATTCACAGCATGTGAGGAGATCACTCACATCAACCAGAGACAGGAATCGATTGAACCTGTCATCCTCCCGGAAAATGTCACTGATGGTCTTTGTGGAGAACTTGAGGTTGCAAAAAAAACAACTACATTAGGGGCTGTTTTGGGGGGCCTGAGCTGAGCATCACTCTTCTAATGTCATTTGATCACCTGGCTGTGAAATATTTCCAAAAGGCTTTACCTCCATGTTGTTGTTTGATGACTCAATGTGAGTAAGAGTAAAGGGCTTGTCGATGATATGAATTATTCCGTTGGATGCTGGGATGTCGCTCTCCACTATTGTAAACAACACGTCTGGATCCCTCATCAGGATAAAGTGCTGCGGACACATGCAAAAGTCTGTTGATGGGTGGATGAATCTCAGCGGGCAAAGAAGACAACAAATAAAGACAGATAAGACAGACTGAGTGATGGATGGACAGACGGACGGATGGATGGATAAACAGGCAGACAGACTGATTGATGGACTGATGGATGGACGGACGAACAGACGGACGAACGGACAGACAGACAGACAGATAGATAGATAGATAGATAGATAGATAGATAGATAGATAGATAGATAGATAGATAGATAGATAGATAGATAGATAGATAGATAGATAGATAGATAGATAGATAGATAGATAGATAGATGAATGGATAGATAGATAGATAGATAGATAGATAGATAGATAGATAGATAGATAGATAGATAGATAGATAGATAGATAGATAGATAGATAGATAGATGAATGGATAGTTGCATGGATGGATAAATTGATGGACAGACTGATTCATGGATGGATGGCTAAACAGACTGATAGATAGATAGATAGATAGATAGATAGATAGATAGATAGATAGATAGATAGATAGATAGATAGATAGATAGATAGATAGATAGATAGATAGATAGATAGATAGATAGATAGATGAATGGATAGTTGCATGGATGGATAAATTGATGGACAGACTGATTCATGGATGGATGGCTAAACAGACTGATAGATAGATAGATAGATAGATAGATAGATAGATAGATAGATAGATAGATAGATAGATAGATAGATAGATAGATAGATAGATAGATGAATGGATAGTTGCATGGATGGATAAATTGATGGACAGACTGATTCATGGATGGATGGCTAAACAGACTGATAGATAGATAGATAGATAGATAGATAGATAGATAGATAGATAGATAGATAGATAGATAGATAGATAGATAGATAGATAGATAGATAGATAGATAGATAGATGAATGGATAGTTGCATGGATGGATAAATTGATGGACAGACTGATTCATGGATGGATGGCTAAACAGACTGATAGATAGATAGATAGATAGATAGATAGATAGATAGATAGATAGATAGATAGATAGATAGATAGATAGATAGATAGATAGGTAGATAGATAGATGGATGGATGGATGGATGGATGGATGGATGGATGGATGGATGGCTAAACAGACAAACTGATAGATGGATGGATGGATGGACGGACAGGACAGACAAATGGACAGGCAGGTATAATGAAAATACACCTTATTAGTTTTGAATCTGATCTTCTCTCCTCCATACATCCACATGTCCTTGCCCTCCAGAACACTGTACAGTTTCTGTCCGAGGATCAGGTGATTTTTGCACACTGTGTTCAGGATGCTGCTCGAGGACTGTCCTGCCAGTGTCTGAAAAGCACAGCATATGTAAACATCTGTTTGAGACAAACAGGAAGTAGTCACACACACGCACACAAAATAAAAAACAGGAAACATTATGAGGACATGAAACACAAACTGGCAACCCACTTGGAACGGATTCTGTCCTGCAGGAATGAAGGCAGTGAACGGGCCGTGTTGGCTCAGTGTAAACTCACACGCTTGCTCTGAAAGCCAGAACACGCACCGTCAGCTCGGACAACACACTTTTAGCAGTTTTTAAACTGAGCTAAATGACACAACTCAGCAGAGTGAACGACTTTGTCCAGACCCACCGAAAAAGCGAACACTTCCAGTGAGGTTTCCTGCCTGACTGCCCTCTCGGTCCAGCTCCACAACTCTTTCCATGAGGTTTCCATAGCAACGTCTGCCATCGCCAATCTGCTGAGAGCCGCAGCGGCATCTGAAAGAGTGAAGCGTCTCAGTTTACAGGCCTGGCCTTTAGCGAGCATCTGAAGCAAACGCCTAAGCTACACAATCACGCATTTGAGCGCTATATGATTGAAATAATGCAGTTTACAAGCCTAATACCGGTGATTTTTACCACAAATGATATCAGTAGATAACATACTAAGATCATTTGTTTGCCTTTTCTACTCTTCTATACAGAAAGATGCTATACAAGAGAGTTTCTCAAGGGGGAGCCACTGAGCACTTAACGTCTCATTTATTTATTTTCTTTTCAGCTTAAGCCTGGTTTATACTTCTGTGTCAAGTGATCGGCGTAAGCCACAGAGCATGCAACGCGCGTAGCTGTGCATTTCTACTTCTGCGCGCTGTCTCTGTTGGTCTGCATTAACAATTCTGAAACGCTAGTTGGCGGTGAGGTGTTAATGTTCCTCTGTCTTTTTCTGCGAAGTTTTTTCGCTGGTGTTTTGTTTTTTCTGAACGCTTCCTGAATGTACAAGTGGCTCAAACTCACTCATTTTGAGGCAGGAACCGGCGGCTGTGCAACAACTTTAACTATGAACCTTCCATTCAGAGCTCCTTCACGGGACTCCACACTTGTAAACAATCGCTCCATCCACTTTTATTCGCGACACTGAGAAAGCCAATATACTGTTACACTACATAAACTTTTCATTCTTCCGTCTTCTTCTTCTTCTGAGACTAATTTCTATATTCATCTCCTCATAGATCGTCTATCCTACAACCACAAAGCTAACTCCAAACCTCCAAACTGGTCTGACTTGGGTTGCTATATCTTTTCCAACTTATCCGACTTACGGTTTTCCAAAAATAAGTCCCATTGACTTAACATTTGACCAAACTTTGTGACCTCATAACTTTGCACCAGACTGTCATACAGACTTAAATTTGGGCTCATTTATCAGACTACCAATCTGCCAATCACTGATGACATTTTAACTTACAAGCCACACCCTATCAAACCACTTAAGGCACACCTTAGCCATACCTATACACTCTCGTTCACACACATACACGACGACCAATTTAGCTTATCCAATTCAGCTATAGCGCATGTCTTCGGAAGGTGGGGGAAACCAGAGGAAACCCACGCGAAAACGGGGAGAAAATGCAAACTCCATACAGAAATGCCAACTGACCCAGCAGAGGCTCGAACCAACAGCCTTCTTGCTGTGAGGCAAGAGTGCTACTCACTGCGTCGCCCAGTTGTTTTGTTTTTTAAAGAACATTTTTGTTTAATAAAAAGTGTTGTATACAGCTATATTTAGCTTGTTTTGACATTATTTAAAATTTGTGGCAAGGAAATAATTAGTTTAGGTTGTCCAGAAAAACAAAAAGTTAAATCCTTAGTGTTGAGCCCTAAAAAGGCCATGTGAAATAAAAAAAGGTTCAATTAACGAAGAGGTATGAAGACATAACACAAAATTTGAAAATTGTTATTTTTTGCATGCCAAAGTCAAATTTATTCATACTAAATATATTTTTTCAACAACAAAATTGTGGCTAGTGAAAATGGCGAGTGGCTAGTAACGTTCAAAAACTACTAGCCACAGTGGCTGGTGATCAAAAAAGTTCATGTCAAGCCGTGATTGCAATGCAAAACACAACTTCATATTTCCAGAATGCGTCCAGGTCTTTAGACTTCCTTAATTGTAACATTTTTTAAAAATTACAATAAATGTTAATGAAAGACTACCATAACTATAGAAAGATATAGAAAATATGACTTCAGAAATCATGTCTTGGTTCTTTTCTAGCTAAATATGCTTAATTAATAGAAATATGTTTTTTTATTTTAATAAAAAAATAGAACCATGAAAAAATAAAATAAATTAATTATTCTAAATTTGCAAACTTTATTGTTTATGTTAATTTACAATAATGTGTTTCTAACGGAAAATGGAATATTGAGTAGGGGTTGGGATTTATTTTTGTGCTCCTCCTCTCATCTTTTATTTGGAACTAACCAGTGGTGTAAAGTAACAAATTACAACTACCCAAATTACTGTAATTAAGTAGTTTTTCTTAGGAATTGTAATTTACTAAGTACTTTTAAAAACATGTACTTTTATTTTTCCTTGAGTACATTTTTAGTGCAGTATCGGTACTTTTACTCACTTCTTTCTTTTACCGTGCAGTCGTTATTTTTTTTTTCTTGTCTATGGGGATGAGAAAATTCAGTCCTTTGATTCCTGTCCAATCGAATCACACATAGAAGTAAAGAGGTAAATCGCATCAGGCTGAACTACCTCAAGACATGGACGATTTATAATTGCAGCAAACTTGGAGGCATTAAAAGTGTCTAAGACAACGTCCAAAATCTTTACACGCAATGACCTAGATACTGTTTAGATGCATGTCACAGAAGAGAAGATGATGGATGTTTACTGTATGATGACCAGAATGGCCTTAAACACCCAGCAAACACAAGACGTCAACAACATGACGTTAGGTTGACGTTGTACCTCAACATCGTGGGGACATTGCATTTTGTTTGAAAATGATAGTCAGATTGACATCAGAACTCAACGTCAGGTTGATGTTAATGTCCAACGCCCAACCTAAAGTCAACTAAATATCACATCTAATGATGTTACAGGTTGATGTTGTGTGGACGTTACCACTATGACGTCTATCAGACGTTGGATTTTGGTTGCCATACCTGACGAATAAATGTTAGTATTTGACATAAATATGTCTTTAGTTTAAAATGTTGGCTCAACGTTAGATTTTGGTCACTTTCTAACACAACCTAAAATCAACAAAATAACTTCATTTGACGTTGTTATTGGACAAAATAAGATTTATATTTATCAAAATAAGATTGTCCTTAGACGCTGGACATTGAATTTTGGTCACCTGATATCACAACCTAAATCTAACCTAATATTAGTGTCTTATGATGATGTGTGCCTGCTGGGCAATCACTAAATGCACTACAAAATGTTACGTTTACACACATCCACAAATTACATGTAAATGCATCAGCTTTTTACAGCGTAAAACTCATTACTCTTTCAAGAGTTCACACTTAGCTGATGATTGATTATAAGCAAGTTTGGCATGCTGTCTCAGGAGAGAGCCCTGAGCTCAAAAGGTCCTTGAGCCCTTGGCTCCCTCCCGTTTGCAGGGCGAGAGAGGAGCTTTGAGGTAGATCTCGACAACTCCCCCTTTTAAATAAGAGCTGATGACTAAAATGATTGCTATGAAGAGCCATGCTGCAGGATGAAAGTTTGCAGTGCTAAATTTAGATTGATCAAATCACTTGTAGTGCATGTTTTTGGAATGTGGGAGGAAACTGTAGAACCTGGGGGAAACCCACGCGAGCAAGGGAAAAACATGCAAACTTCACACGGAAACGACAGCCGGTCTGTTAAAAGACTAGAACCGGTGAAGTTCTTGCTGTGAGGCAACAGTGCTAACCACTCGGCCATGTCATTTCTTCAGTGGATTAAGTTTGTTAAAAAAAAAAAGTGTGCTGTCAGAATAAACATTGTATATTTGATCTCATGCAGACTTTCATTTAAAACAAATGATTAGATTAGATTTAATAATTTAGATGGATCACAGCAATGTGAGTTATGATGCAGAATGTGTTTAAATATCAAGAATTCAAAAACACTTCTTTATTCAAATGTAGTTTAAAGTATTTTTCTATTGATTTTAAGACTGTGTGATATTTTGGACTGATTTGTGTGATTTTATCGGTCATTAGTTTGCCACTGAAGGAAGTGAAAATTGCCTTCATCACGTTATCATTCAGGAAACAGCAGGTCAGACCTTGGTGAGCCGTCGCCATTGGTCTCACAGCGGGCACTGGTGTGGCATGAACTCGCTGTGCAGGCTGACTTCTGTGTGCATCCTTTGGATGGATCTGATGACTCCATTCCAGGCAAACACACACATTTAGACTGGAGAGGAAACACATAGAGCTCAAAAACAACATTGAATTTGAATCTAAACATTACGTTTAAATTAATTCCCACAGTGCACTGCTCACCTTTCCTGGGCTTATGAGTTCACAGGTGGTGGAAGTTACAGGACAGTCTCCATTATTAGTCTTGCAGGGGTTGATGGGAATGCAGTGTTTGCCATCTCCCTCAAATCCCTCTTTACACTCGCAATTATACTTATCATCTTTAGATAAACATTTAGCATTTATGCCACAAGTGCCCTCTGGACACACATCTGGAAAAGGACAGAATCATATGATGGTCATGAAAGATTAAAATGTTCTGAAATGGTACATTGGCTGTTTTCTATGGTGGTTAAGCTGCAAAAAACAAATAGCAAAAAAACAAAAAACCTAATTTATAGTGTTTTCAGAAAATAATAAGTTAAATAAAATTAAACAAATGACATATGAAAAAATCCCACAGTAAAAACCTTGAGAAAGTAGATCAGAATAAAACTGTTAAGTTAAGTGTATGACTAATGTACAGAAAAAAACATTTTGAGAAAACTACGGTGAGAAAGCTCAAATGCACTTTTCCCAGTGTTTTCAGAAATAATACGGTGAATAAAATAAAGCAAGTGACATATAAACAAATGCCACAGTAAAAAGAATAAAACTCTTGAGTTAAGTGTATGACTGATTTAGAGAAAAAATATTTTGAGAAAACTACAGTTAGTAAAAGAGCTAAAACACACTTTTTACAGTGTTTTCAGTAATAATATGTTGAATAAAATGAAGCAAATGACATATGAACAAATCCCACAGTAAAAACCTTGAGAAAGTAGATCAGAATAAAACTGTTAAGTTAAGTGTATGACTAATGTACAGAAAAAAACATTTTGAGAAAACTACGGTGAGAAAGCTCAAATGCACTTTTCCCAGTGCTTTCAGAAATAATACGGTGAATAAAATAAAGCAAGTGACATATAAACAAATACCACAGTAAAAAGAATAAAACTGTTAAGTGTATGACTGATTTAGAGAAAAAAATATTTTGAAAAAACTACAGTTAGTAAAAGAGCTAAAACACACTTTTTACATTGTTTTCAGTAATAATATGTTGAATAAAATAAAGCAAATGACATATGAATAAATCCCACAGTAAAAACCTTGAAAATATATATCAAAATAAACCTGTTAAGTGTAGTAAATGACAGATATGAGTAAAAACTTTTCTTGAGAAAACTACGGTGGGTAAGAGAGCTCAAACACACTTTTTACAGTGTTTTCAGTAATAATAGGACGAATAAATTGAAGCAAATGACATATGAATAAATCCCACAGTAAAAACCTTGAGAAAATAGATCCTAATAAAACTGTTAAGTTTAGTGTATAGCTGATGTAAAGAAAAAAATATTTTGTGAAAACTACGGTGGGTAATAGAGCTTAAACACACTTTTTACAGTGTTTTCAGTATTAATACGTTGAATAAACGTAAGCAAATGACATATGAACAAATCCCACAGTAAAAACCTTGGGAATTTAGATCCGAATAAAACTATTAAGTTTAATGTATGACTGGTAGAGAAAAAAACATATTTTGAGAAAGCTACCATGGCCGAGAGAGCTCAAATGTGCTGCAAGTAAAAAACAAACAAACATTTGTACATGAAAAAAACACTAACAAAAAAATCTGCAGTTTGATAACACATGCTCACAAAAATATATGCAAATACAGAAACGCACTGCAAATAGTAGTCCACAGTGAAAATGTGTCAGGGAACTGCAAAAAAATGATGAACCCGGCTGCTTTCTGTTTAGAGTCAGTGGTGTTGTAGGATATCTGAGAACTGTGTTTTTTGTTTATTTTTACATCCTGGTCATATGGTTCCTTGTTGTTTGTATATTTTAAATTAAATATTAAAAATGAAACAACCAATCATGTTCCCTGATCAATTTCATTTGTGGCCTCCACTATTGTTTCTGTATTTGCATGTGTTGTGACAATTTGTCAGTGTTTGTGTTGTCAAATTGATGAAGATGTTCTCCCATTTTGTTGAGAATTTGATTCTATTTGCATGTGTTTTCTTACACTCATGGCCCCTGTAGTTTTCTCAAAATATTTTTTCATACACTAAACTTAACAGTTTTATTCTCAACTATTTTCTCGAGATTTTTACTGTGGGATTGTTTATTTGTCATTTGTTTTCTTTTATTCAATGTTTTATTAAAAAAACATCCCTGTTGACAGTATTTTCTGATTAGTGAAAACATTTGATTCCAATATGGTAACAGCTAATATGCCAACAAAATAAAACCAACCAATGTTCAAATGTAATTAGTGTAAAATTGAAATTTTACACACTGCAGGTTAAAAATATTTTTTTATGCTTTGCCTGCTTTCTCAAATGTTTTCTTCAGTAGCACTTGTATATACCAAACTTAATAACTTAGTTACTTTATACATTCTGATAATATTTACTAAGGGGTTTGCTTAAATAATGTTTGTTTAATTTTATTCAACATTTTATACCTAAAACCTGGTTAAATGTTTTATTTTCTGCCTGTTGAAAACATTTTAAAGTTGATGGATTAAAAAATATAAATATATATACACGAATTCCTTCAGTTAAAAAAAAGTTGACTCCCGTATTTAAATAAAATTAAGCTACAATATCTTACCTGGCTTAATCAAATGTTCAGATCTATTTGCTTGAAATCTACAGAAATCGGTGTAATTTATGTAAATACTGTCTCAGTTGTATATTTTACCCCACAATTACACACTTTACACTAAACAAACACGCTAAATGTATGTGTTATGTATGCACATGCTACATACCTAAACATGCTTGCCCAAATTTGTTTCCAGGCAGACATTCGCATACTGCATTTGTGTCATCATCTCCTTTACAATACGAGTAGAGTGGGCAGCTTGAACAAGATGAAGAAACTACACAAGAAAAGAAACAAACAAAAACAGTATAATGATACTTACTGGAATTATATACAGTTGAAATCAGAATTGTTAAACCCCCTTTTAATTAAATTTTTATTTTTAAACATTTTCCAAGTGATGTTTACAGATTCAGGAAATTTTCACAGTATGTCTGGTAATATTTTTTCTTCTGGAGAAAGTCTTACTTGTTTAATTTCGGCTACAGTAAAAAAAGTTTTGAATTTTTTAAAAAACATTTTAAGGTCAAAATTATTAGCCCCTATAAGCTATATTTTTTTAATAGTCTACAAAACAAAGCATTATTATACAATAACTTGCCTAATTACCCTAACCTGCCTAGTTAACCTTGTTCAGCCTTTAAATGTCACTTTAAGCTGCATAGAAGTGTCTTGAAAAATATCCAGTCAAATATTATTTACTGTCTCCATGGCAAAGATAAAATAAATCAGTTATTAGAGATGAGGTATTAAAACTATTATGTTTAGAAATGTGTTGAAAATTTTTTTCTCTCCGTTAAACAGAAATTTAGGGAAAAAATAAACAGGGGGGCTAATAATTCAGGTTTAATAATTCTGACTTCAACTGTGTATTTATACATTTCACAATAACGCGCTATAGAGAGGTTAACAAAAATACCTTTATCACACTTTGGTCCTATATATGGTGGCTGACAGTAACATTTACCGTCCCCATCTGGACCCGAGTTACACTTTCCATTCACGCAGCTGCACTCTGAAGCAATTTCACAATTAGACAGGTTTATCTTCAAAAAGTTAGGATTATTAAACTATGCTATTAGGAATTATTGACAGACCTGAAAGGCAGTGGCTTCCATAGGCATTCTCATTTAAACAATTCTGGCATGCAAATCCTGCATATCCCTCCTAAAAAGAGAAGTAGCAGTTACTAAATGTCCTATATATATATATATATATATATATATATATATATATATATATATATATATATATAATATATAAATGTGAAGATCTTGTTTATTTATTTATTGTGATTACTTGCCCCGACAAATAAATCAAAATAAAATTCTAAATTAAATATATACAATTCAAAGTAGACCCATGAATGCATGTTTTTTTTAATTAACAAAAAAGTTAAATTAGAAGTAGATTTTTTGAATAATTAGTATGATTAATAATTTTTATTAATGTATTTGTCTAAATTTAAATATTATAGATTATAAAATATTAAGAGAATTGTATACGACTACTGTAAAAGTAATTTTCACAATAAAACTTCAAAATACAGTAACATACTGCAAAGCGATCCTACAGTAAAATACAGTTAATTTTACAGTAAATACTGTGTCATTTATAAAAAAAAAATTTAATGGGATAGATAGATAGATAGATAGATAGATAGATAGATAGATAGATAGATAGATAGATAGATAGATAGATAGATAGATATTTTTTAGAAATAAAATATAAATAAATGTCTTCAAAATCTACTTCAAATAGAGTTTACATTAATGTTGAGGTAAAAGAACATGAATTACCTCGCAAACACAGGTGCCATTTCCTGATAGTCCAGACTCGCATGTACCAAAGCCATTGCATATCTTTCCTGACCAACTTGGGCAAGCTGGCGAAACACACAAAGCAAACCTAACGTACATTTGAACCCGTAACGTATTGGTTCATTTATACCACAATATCTATTTTTAGGTGTACAAACAGTAACTCACGCAAGCACAGCGGCCCCCAGAAGCCTGGACAGCACTGCTGGACTGTCGTGACCTGCTGACAGGTATGAGAACAACCAGACAGCTCTACCTGGCGACCGCCAATTTCTACCACATATCTGAAACACGATAGTACACATTAGATACAGAATATTTGGTTTCAAATATGGTTACAGCACCCAAAGTCTTAGTTCAGATGTTGTATTTTAAGACATTTGTCAGATTTTTGTTCTCGAACTGCTCCTGCGTGTAAAACTAGTTTCTTTAGTATTTCATCCACATTTTAATAAGGTCATCTGGAATGGCAAAGAAAGCTTTCTTGCAGGACTTCCAGAGTTCATCATGATTCTTTGGATTCATCTTCAATGCCTCCTCCTTCATCTTACCCCAGACATGCTCAATAATGTTCATGTCTGGTGATTGGTTGGCCAATCCTGGAGCACTTTGACCTTCTATGCTTTCAGGAATTTTGATGTTGAGGCTGAAGTATGAGAAGGAGCACTAACCTGCTGAAGAATTTGCCTTCTCCTGTGATTTGTAATGTAATGGGGAGCACAAATTAGAGCCCTGCATTTAAGCCTGAGCCTGTCGGGACCGACTTTTTTATGCCCATGGGGCCGGGCTTTGGGCCAATTTTCACATCATAGCTAGCACTCATATCGAGCTCCGGGCCTGTGTTAGAAATTTGTTTTAAAGTTTAATGAGATCTAAAGCATGCGAAAGTGCCAGTGATGCCTTGGGCATAGAGTTCTCAAGCCATGTACAATGGAAAACATAAAGAGAGAAATTGCCAATGGCGAACCTAAAACTGAAAACCACTAGAGGAAAGGCAAACTTCTGGTCAACTTTTCAAATAGTGGCAACTATAAATGATCAGCCAACTGGTTATGCACAATGCACAACGTGTAAATTGAGTAAACTCAGTGTTGACCACAAACTGCTTGGATATCAGTGTCACTTAAAAAAAATATAACTTCCATTTAAAACAACAACAACAACGACAAAACTCCAACATTTCTCTAAATCATTCTGATAAAAAAACGAAACGAAAAAATCAAATCAAATTTCTATTAAATACAAATCTGGTTTATTTTAATGGATTAATAACAGTATAAGTTGTTTAGTGGAAAAAAGACAGGCTTTGGGTCGGGCTTGAAATTTTGATAAACTCTTGGACAAGGGCAGGGCTACAGCCTGGGCATCTCGGGCCAGGGCCGGGCTAGGGCTCTAGCACAAATGTCTTGATACCTCAGGCTGTTGATGTTGCTATCCACTCTGCAGATCTCTCGCACTCCCCCATACTAAATGTAACCCCAAACCATGATTTTTCCTTCACCAAACTTGACTTATTTCTGCGAGAATTTTGGGTCATGCTGGTTTTAATAGGTTTTCTGCAGTATTTGTGATGAGTGGGATGCAGTTCAACAGATGATTCATCTGAAAAACCGTCCTTTATGATCAATTAGAAGTCAAGTTATTATTTGTTGCTCTTACAATGGTGATCGTCAACAACACTCGTCAGGTAGTGTATAATTAACTGCACACTTTTAGAATGTTCATCAGCCAATCAGTATTATTTGTTTTATAATACGGTTAACTCACCTAAACTCAGAAGTTCTAGTTCAAGACATTTGTACATTTTTTTGTTCTCGAATTGCTCCTGTTTGTGGGACTCATTTCTTTCACATTTCATCCAAAGCCATTTTGTCGTGTTTAAATGACATTTTTGATATTTGTTCACTGTGAAATGACTGAAGTCATTCAGCGCAGTGATATGGAACTCAAAGCCTGACTGGAACTACTTTAGCTGTGCATTTATATAAAAATAACCGTGCACCTTTAGAATATTCATCAGTCAATCAGAATCAAGCATTCAATACACAAAATGAACAAAGCAAAACCTTATTGAATACACACCTGCAGGAATCAGGAGTCTTGGTGACCTTTTTTGAGCCGCGTGGGCAGACGATGGCAGAGGCAGCAGCACAGGATGTGCAGGATGTTCTGTGAAGAACCATAACTGGTGTATCGCAGCGATTAACAACGGCCTGGAATGATAAATAATCCAAATGTGTCAAGAACAAGCATATCAGATGAGTACTTTGCACAAATCATGTACTTTGACACATTAATGGAGTAAAACTTAGCAGTATACAGTGTAATTCAAATTTATTAGCCCTCCTGTGAATTTCTTTTTCAAATATTTCCAAATGATGTTTGACAGAGCAAGGTGTTTTTCACGCCATGTCTGATTATATTTTTTCTTCTAGAGAAAGACTTTTGTGTCATTTCGGCTATAATAAAAGCAGTTTTCAATTAAAAAAACAAACATTTTAAGGTCAATATTATTAGCCCCCTTAAGCAATATTAATTTTTTCAGATTGTCTACAGAAAAAAAAAAAAACATTGTTATACAGTGATTTGTCTAATTACCCTAACTTGCCTAATTTACCTTATTAAGCCTTTAAATTGCTCTTTAATACTACATATCTAATACTTTAATACTACAATACTACTAGTATCTTAAACAATATCTAGTAAAATAATAAGTACTGTCATCTTGTCAAAGATAAAATAAATCAGTTATTAGAAATGAGTTATTAAAACTATTATGCTTAGAAATGTGCTGTTAAACTGAAATTAAGGGGGAAAATAATGGTGGGCTAATAATTTTGGAGGGCTAATAATTTTGACTTCATCTGTACAAGTGAATCTAAGGTTTTAACACAAACTACCACATGTTAAACAACTCTTCAAAAAATCAACTGTAGTTGAGTGTGTGCTTACTGTGGTTTAAAGGGACAGTTTCATTTTTAAAAATGAAAATTCTATCGCTGTTGCCTCACTCCTTAACGTTATAAAACAATGTGTCTAATAAACAAAAGAAGGGTGTCAGAAACCTATAGTTGCCAACAGTTTCCAACATTCTTCAAAATATCTTCTTTTGTGTTCATCCGTAAAACAAAGTTCAAATAGGTTCATTACAAGTTGACAGTGAGTTAACAGTAACAGAATTTTCAATTTTGAGTGCACTTTCCCTTTAGCTACAAAAGATATTTCATATGTATACTGTAGGCCAGGCATGTCCAGACTCGGTCAAGCAGGGCTGATGTCCTGCCAAGTTTAGTTCCAACCCCAATCAGACACACCTGGGCTAGCTAATCAAGCTCTTACTAGCCAATCTAGAAACATCCTTGCAGGTGTGTTGAAGCAAGTTGAAGCTAAAATCTGCAGGACGCCGGCTCTCCAGGACCCTGCTGTAGGCCAATAGTACTTAATAGGATTAAAAATTCTATGGTATTATCATGGTACATGATCAAATAAGCTATGATAATGTGTACATGAAAACCTAAGGTTTTGGAAAATACCGTAGAAGTACCATGAGTAGTTAAAAAAGTATGGTATTATGTTTATTTTGGACATGTCCCTAAAAAGCTTTGGTATACCCATAGTATAAACCAATTACTATCTGAGGTAAGAGACATACCATGGAACTGCTCATTTTTGCAAACATTTACATTGCATTACATTAGTACATATGCAAAACAGTATCATGAATTATAATCAATTTTATAATACATTTACAAAGGTTTGTTTTGGCTATGCACTATGGCAGAACCATGCATATACATAGGAATGCCAGGATATATCATTATAATTGGTAATACCATGATGCAGATAGCTTTACAGCCACTGCCTATGACAGTCAATACAGTAACCATGAAATAAATCATAGTATTATTATCTGATATTAGCAGAGTACCATGATATTGCCACTTTTTGCAGCCGTTAATATAGTATTTCAAAAAGTGTTACCATAGTCCAAAATGATAGTATGAATTAAAAATTATACCATCTCTAAAAAGGTGTGCTGGTTCAAGTAGACAGATAATAATAATAAAACTGAAAAGTTTATATGGCACATTGATAATACTGTACCATGGTATTCATCCAATGGAAAAATGCTGGGACTAATATTGTAAAGCAACGGAAATTCATTCTTTAATTCATTCATTCATTTTCTTGTCGGCTTAGTCCCTTTATTAATCAGGGGTTGCCACAGCGGAATGAACCGCCAGCTTATCCAGCAAGTTTTTACGCAGAGGATGCCCTTCCAGCCGCAACCAATCTTTGGGAAACATCCACACACACATTCACACACAACACACACTACGGACAATTTAGCCTACCCAATTCGCCTGTACCACATGTCTTTGGACTGTGGGGGGAAACCGGAGCACCCGGAGGAAACCCACGTAAACGCAGGGAGAACATGCAAACTCCACACAGAAACACCAACTGAGCTGAGGCTCGAACCAGCGACCTTCTTCCTTGGAGGCGACAGCACTACCTACTGCGCCACTGCGTCGCAGCAATGAAAATACAAAGGCGTATTCGGATAGCATTTACATAGTACTGGAATCAATTCATGTTCTAAAAGCAAGAGTAACTCAACCTATCATCAGGGAGAAAAAAAATTAAATTCAACCAGGGCTTTACATTAACACCCGCCAAATGCGGGTAGATTTCGGCGGTGGCGGGTAAGACAGACACTCCTACTAGCCACTTTGGCTGGTTGAAAATAATTTTCCCAGATAATAATTCTTAAAAGCAGGGTTCGACAATAAGGATGGTCCAATATGCATGCACAGGCAATCGAGAAGCAACACGACTGACAACAATTAAGAATGAGAGAACAATCACTCGCGCTAACAGCTGAGGGGATGCGCGACACTGTTTATAACGTGTGAGCGCTCCCGTTTCCTTTTGTGAAGAGTTGACTTATTGTAAGCAGCGCCAGTTGCTTTCGGTTTAACCATTCTTTGAGAAGATAATTTATGGGCCTATCATTAATCATGCGTGTGTGATCATCCTTTCATTATCACACAGTATGTTTTTTACCTGCTTTCTTTTGCATTAATATGGTTAAATTATCTCTTTTTTTAACAATAGCATTGCTTTAAGGGGAGAATAACTCCCCATTTATGTGTAGTTAACTGGTGATCTGGGACCTTTAGCCAGGGCATATGACTGTGCATATGTGTTAAATAAAAAGTATAGTATTCAGCTATATTTTGCATGTTTTCACACATTTAAAATTTGTGGTTAAGAAATAATTAACTGTTTATTTATGGTGTGATCAGAGATAAATTGGGTAAATCCTTCCATTTTTCGCTCTGAAAATTATGAAAACTAATTGTTATATATGAAAGCCTGACCCATTTGCTCATGATTATTGAGCAAGCTCATACACGACACACAAAAAGTGAAATGAATGAGGAGGCGTGTAAAGATAACGCAAACTCTAAATCAAATAATTTTAGCATGTCAAAGTCATTTTCATGTGTATAAAGTATATTTTCCCAACAATAAAAATGTGGCTAGTGAAAACGGTGAGTGGCTTGTAATGTTAGAAAACTACTAGCCACAGTGGCTGGTGGTCAAAAAAGTTAATGTCAAGCCCTGCATACAACCATAATAAATCAAAGTACCATGGTAATATATTTTGATATAAGCAATATACAATTGTTTTGCCACCGTTTGCATGGTATTTACATGATATTTCAATATGTACCATGGAAATTACAGAATTACACAAGTATAATGTAAAAACCGTAATAAATGGCAATACCATGCTCCAAAATCAAAAATACCAGAGTATTATAAAAAAAGGTGCATATTTGGTTGTTTAATGAATCTGACTGGATTAATTTAAACAAGTGGAAATAAATGAACAAATCATTTCAGTTACTTAATGACATAAACAACCACTGTTCATGCGACTTACTTGAATCTGTGCAGTCCACAGTACTGTAAGTCCCAAAACGAGAAGATAAGACATGTCTACTCCCTCAAAGCCAGAGAATTAGTCAGATAAACATGTAACAACAAACAGAAGAGCGTTTCCTGAGACACAATCTGCAGTCACTGCACACAACTGGACGTTTCGCTTCCAAACATCTCCACACTAAAAAAAACTCTCTTCTGATCTTCTCGCTCATGTGCTTTCAGAGCTTTGCATGTTGAGCAATGAGAGAGGTGTCAACCACCACAGACTGGCTTCAAGCTGGAGAGAGGGTGAGAAAAACATCTTTTCCTGACAGGAAAATCACCGGATTTCCTCCACTGCGTCGGCTTCATGATGGTTTGGGAAGTCCACGCTCGTCAGCTGACCAGATTGCAGGGTTCAGCAGAATTTGAAGATGGTACATTGAGAATTTGTACTTTTTTTTCACGTATGAATATTAGGAGCCAGCCGTGCTAGGGTTAAAGTTAGAGTTAAGGTCGGCTTGTTACTAAAAGTGAGATTTACTGTGACATTTATGCACCTAAATGCTAAACAGTGGCATTTAGGCACTTACCAGCATGTTTATCTAAAATATGTTATCAGTTGGCATTTTTTTCTGTGGGAATCCAACCTCTGACCTTGGAGCTGTTGCAGAGTGGTATGCAATTTCAGGAAAAAAATGAGACTTGAACGATCAAAGAGTTTCTTTTAAGACTTATTAAAGTGGACTTAGTGAAAAAGAACTAAAGAGCTTCATTTTATTAGACAGTTCAAGACTGAAACTGGGAAATTAGACACTGAATATAGTAAAAAAAAGAGGCAGTGTTCATCCCACAGCTCTGCAGTGTCATCAGTTTGAGACTCGGAGAGTTCCTGCTATTGTGTCTGTCTGCTGAATAGTGATACTACTGACAGAAAAAAAGTTCACTATGAAAAGAAAACAAAATTCTGATGTGTCAGGAATAAAACGGTCATTATTTTATGGCTGTTTTTGTTCACTGATTTCCCCTACATTCTATGTAATAATCAGGCATTCTTGCTCAATCTTAAAGTTTTTTAAAGGCATTTTATTAAAAAACATTCTCGACTCAATAGATCATGATATTAAAACTAGAGATTGAGCTCTTTGTTGGTATGCAATCACCCAGAACAACCTAGAAAATGGATAACAATGCACTACAATTGTAAGAATACCCAAAAACAAAGAACTCCTTAGCAACTGCATAGCAACACCTTAGCGCGCACACACAACAATGACAGAAACCACTGACAGAACTCCTTGGCAACCACCGAAAAAACTTCAACGTCTTAATATTGCAGTAAAATGACGGAAATTCTTAGCAAGCACACAGCGATACATTAAAGAAAAAAGAACCCCAGCAATGTGTTAAAATATCTGAATACTCCTTAGAAACATCCTAAAAACCACATACTATTTATAACCAACTACAGAGCAAAGCATGAAACATCAGACCACTCACCAACAGAACCGAAATGCCACTCAGAACAGCCTGGAAAATACTTAGCAACACCCTGACAACCACCTGTAAAGCGTTACCAACTATAAAGCCTGGCGATGTTCTAAACACCATTCATTAAACCTTAGCAGAAAATCTTAGCAACTACATACCCAACCACGCAACACCTTGCAACCATAAATCACAGAATATCTAAGTTATCAGTGCCCTGGCAACCACCTGCCGCTGAAAAAAAAAAATGCTTTAACCAGCCTAAGCTGGTTGGCTGGTTTTAGCTGGTCGACCAGCTTGGTTTTAAAGGGGTTTCCAGTCATTTTCAGCCTCCTCCTAGCTGGTCTAAAGAACTAGTGACCAGCTAAAACAAGCCTGGTTTAAGCTGGATATAGCTGGTTTTGGCTGGAATTCCAGCCTGGTTAGGCTGGTCAAGCTGATTTTAGCTGGACATCTCCCAGCCCAGGCCAGGCTGGAAATGGCTGAAAATCAGTCTGGAATGGCCAAACTAAAACCAGGCTGGTCGACCAGCTAAAACCTGCCAACCAGTCTAGGCAAGTTTAAGCTCTATTTTTTTTAGCAGGGAACAATCAGTCAAAACCCCCCTGACAACCAACTAGAAAGCCTTAGCAACTATTATACCCAACAATTAGGCAACCATAAAGCACTGCTGTAGCAACCACCCAACAACAGAACCCAGCAATGTGCTAAAAATTTTATGAACACCCTGCTAACTAACCAGAAATTCTTAGCAACAACACATAACCACAGAAAGCAATGGCAACTATAAAGGACAGACACCTTGGCAACCATAAACCAGTGCCCTGGCAACCTCCCACCAAATGTGCAAAACCCGTGCTAAATGCTAAAAACATCCAAAACACTATGTAAATTAACCAGGACATTATAGCAACTACATACCAAAACCACAGAACACCCTAGCAACCATAACCACAGAATATCTTAGCAATTATAAATCAATGCCCTGGCAACCATCCACCAAATGTGCTAAACCCCAACAACATCCAAAAAAAAGTATTCAAACCCCCCCCCCCCCCTAACAACCAACTAGAAAGCCTTAGCAACTATATCTAACTATAACTATCTGTAACACCTTGGCAACCATAAAGCACAGAAAAACCTCAGCAACCATAAACCAGTGCCCTGGTAATCAACTAGAATACCTTAGCAACTATATACCCAACAATTCATCAACCATAAGGCACTGATGTAGCAACCACTCAACAATGTGACGTGCTAAAATCCATTCAAAACACTCTGGCAGCTATCCAGAAAATGTTAGCAACTACATACCAAATCAAGGAACACCTTAGCAACCACAAATCACTGCCCTGAAAACCACCCATAAAGTGCTAAACCCAACAACATGCTGAAAAAAATTAAACCCCCTGGCAACCAACTAGGAAGCCAAAAGCAACTATAAACCCAAGCACAGAACACCTTGGCAACCATAAAGCACAGAATTCCTTAGCAACCATAAACCAGTGCCCTTGCAACCACCAACCAGAAGTGCTAAACCCCACCAATGTACTTAAATTAAAATCCTCTGGCAACCAACAAGAAAGCCATAGCAACTCTATACCCAAGCACAGAACATCTGGGTAACCATAAAGCACATAATACCTTGGCAACCATAAACCAGTGCCCTGGCAACCATCAACCAAAAGTGCTAAACCCCAACAATGTGCTAAAAACTATTCAAACCTCCCCGGCAACCAACTAGAAAGCCTTAGCAACTATATACCTAAGCACAGAAAACATTGGCTACCATAAGCACAGAACACCATGGCAACCATAAATCAGTGCCCTGACAACCACCAACCAAAAGTGCTAAAGCCCAACAACATGATAAAAACCATTCAACCCCCCTGGCAACCAACTAGAAAGACTTAGCAACTATGTACCCAGGCACAAAACACCTTGGCAAACATAAAGCACATAATACCTTAGCAACCCTAAACCAGTTACCTGGCAACCACCAACAAACAGGGCTAAACCCTGGTAACATGCTAAAAATCATTCAAAACACCGTAGCAACAGCTACATTTAAAAATGCAGAACACCTAGCAACCACCCAGCAGCAATATGGTTAAAAACACCCAACAAACATACAGCACAGAAACAATCACGGTGTTATTGAAGTCACAGCCTTATTGAACACATCAAAGCACAAGCTACAAAGACAGCAGCCCATGTTTAATATCTGAACATCCAGAACTTCACTATAATAAACTACACAGGGTGTCCAGCATGACCTTCACCCCGGCCAAAGTTTGCCTAGCAAAAAATAACAGGAAGTGACACGGTCAGACCGACAATGCCCAGTGACGGACATGTGGATTAAATAGCAAATGTTTCCTGCCCTTTTCCACTTGTGTAACAGCAAAGTATAAAGTACAGCGTTGAAAAATATGAGCTTCGTCAGTTTCCCTGTACCATAGTGGGGGTTTTTTTCTTCCTCCGCATGACCTCGTGTGCGTGTTTGCTAGCGCTCTGCTAAGCGTTCAATCGGGCCGTCAATGTTTCAGCAACAGGCCCCTTCCTCAAAGCAGGATCTAATATTGCTGACTCTCAGTCTTCGAGGGAACAACACGGACTGGAGACAGGAGAAGAGGTTATTTTTTTCGGTTTGTCAAGCTTTCGTTTGTCATCTATGTAGGTCAAAGACAAAACATCCTGTTCTTTGCAAAAAAAAAAAAAAACATTAAAAATTTAATATACAAAAATTAGTTTATATAGAGATAAAAAACATGTTAAATGTCAGTAAAATGTCACATTGAGTTAAATAATGTTCCAATATATACTTTTTAATAAATGAAACGTGCTTATTCTGACCAATACTTATTAGAATATATGAGAGATCAAGTGTTTTAAATGGTTAAAAACTTGAGAGTGTGTTATAGATTTAAAAAAAATCCTGGTTGCCTTAAATTTTTAAGCTGAATCAAATTGTCCGTATGAGTCCATTGAACTTATATTATGTTAAACTGACTTAAAACAGCTTGCATAACTTATAAAATTAAGTTAGAACATGATTAACTTAGATTAATGTTATAATGACCTAAAACATATGCTGGCAGGGCTAGTTGATCGTATATTTTTACAGTGTTGGATTAATAATCCCTCTACTAGATCAGGGCTGTATACACAAAACAGTATATAGTACTTAACGTTTTCCAAAAATCAGTAAGGTTTTAGCTACCCTGTTAAAAGCAATTAGTTGACTTAACAATAAAATTTAACTCATTGCTTTTAAAGACATTCATTTTTAAAGCAACTACTTGACTTTACTTTTAAAAGGTTAGTAAACCCAATGCTTTCTTTAAGTGATTCATTGACTTCACTTTAAAAAGTGAGAAAACTTGTTTAAAGCGATCAGTTAACAAAAACCGAGTAAACCAGGCGTGTCCAAACTACGGCCCGCGGGCCATCTGCGGCCCGCAATCAGTTTTGTGGCGGCCCGCGAGGCTTTTTATAAATATCAATAGAATCTGGCCCGCTATACAAAAATGAACGTAATTCAATAAATAACCACCGGGTGTCGCTATTACATGCATTCAATTAAGCAGCAGTTCTTGTTATGATATATCTATATATCTATCTATCTGTCTATTTCCCAAATTATGTTTAAAAGAGCAAGGACATTTTTACAGTATGTCTGATAATATTTTTTCTTTTGGAGAAAGACTTTTGTTTTATTTCAACTAGAATAAAAAACGGTTTAAATTTTTTTATGAACCATTTTAAGGTCAAAATTATTAGCCCCTTAAGTCTTCAGAACAAACCATTGTTATAAAATAACTTGCCTAATTAACTTAACTTGACTAGTTAACTTGATTAACCTAGTTAAGTCTTTAAATGTCACTATAAGCTGTATAGAAGTGTCTTAAAAATATCTAGTCAAATATTATTTACTGTCATCATGGCAAAGATAAAATAAATCAGTTATTAGAAACGAGTTACTAAAACTAATATGTTTAGAAATGTGCGGAAAAAAATCTTTTCTCCGTTAAACAGAAATTGGGGAAAAAATAAATGGGGGCTAATAATTTAGGGGGGCTAACAATTCTGACTTCAACTGTATTTATATATATATATATATATATATATATATATATATATATATATATATATATATATATATATATATGCGTGTCTGTGTGATGTATGTAAAATTTGGCCCGCGACAACGTTTGTTTTTTTGCATCTGGCCCTCGGCCCAAAAAGTTTGGACACCCCTGGAGTAAACCCTTTGCTTTTTAAAGAGCCCGTATTATGGGTTTTGGAAAATGAGCTTCCATGCAGTGTGACTTTTTTTTTTTTTTTGTGAACCAATTACTTTAAGCAAATAGTTGAAATTACTTAATAAACACATTTTAAAAAGTATGTAAACTCATTGCTTTAAAGCAATTTGTTTACTTTACTTACAAAAAGTGAGTAAACCCATTATTTTTAAGCAGTAGTTGACCAAAAGCGAGCTTGTTGATTTAAAAGCAATTAGTTGACTTTAAAAGTAAACTTACTTGTTAACTTATTAGCAACTAACCCCTTTTAGCAACTAATTTTGCAGTGGGTTTTCTCTTAAAACTTGTTCCCAAAGCTGATAACGTAAACTTTTACTAAAGAACAGAGAGAAGCCTGAAGCTGCGGACACACTGGGCTTTACCTCCCATAGACTTCCATTCATACGCACGCAAATGCGTCAGACCGGAATCGCGGGGTCATGCGTCAAGTTTCGCAGGTTGCTGTGGTGCAATGTTCAAGCTTGGTGAACTTTGACCTGCGAAATCGCATCACTTGACTGCGTGAGCCCAATCGAAGACCAAAACATGACACCTCTGGACAGAAATTTAAAACATGGAGCAATCGTTCACTTTTAAAAATGTGTAATAAGCTTGTTTAATCCCGCCCCTTTTCGTAGCGCCGCACGACAGAATAATGCATGCTCAGAATTTCATGTGACTGCGGCTTAATATCTATGCACCCAGTGATTGGCTGATAGGTAGGGAAGAAGTCTCTATCAAATTTATTCATGGAAACTGTGGAGCGTGATGTATATTTTTTTGCCAAATAAAGATTTAAAAAATAATAATAGCAAAATAAATATACATACACACACACACACACACATTTATATATATATATATATATATATATATAAATATATATATATATATATATATATATATATATATAAATATATATATATATATATATATATATATATATATATTTATTAAAAAAAAAAAATATATATATATATATATATATATATATATATATATATATATATATATATATATATATATATATATAAATTTATAAATATAGAGATTGGCTGACAAAGATTGGCTGATAGGTAGGGAAGAAGTCTCTATCAAATTTATTCATGGAAACTGTGGAGCGTGATGTTTATTTTTTTGCCAAATAAAGATTTAAAAAATAATAATAGCAAAATAAATATACATACACACACACACACACACACACACATTTATATATATATATATATATATATATATATATATATATATATATAAATCTATAAATATATATATATATATATATATATAAATCTATAAATATATATATATATATATATATATATATATATATATATATATATATATAAAGTATAATTATATTATTTAAATAAGTATAAAATAAATCATATAAATTTAAGATTTTCTATTATATTAGCAGGTTGCAAGACACTTTTAGCCATAAGATGTTTTGTAAATTCTGCTCCTGACATACAAACTACTGTTACACAAAATTACAGTTTAGTTAGTCTTGTTTCAATCATAGCAAAAATGATTTTAACAGGTAGATGTTGTTTTAGCAAGTAACCAATATAAGAGTTTTGGGTTGTGCCAATCTGGCTTTGTCCTTGAAAAGTCTTGTTTTGCTTATTGACAGGTTTTATCATGTAAACTCATGAACAAAAAATATCTTTTATGAAATGTGACAGAAGTTTCACAGCCTCAACATACACATTTGCCTTTAGTTTTGCTTTGTTCCATTTTGTGAAACAAACTAAATATGTGGGCATTAAATCAGAAAGAAATCAATACATTTACTCACATTTATTAAAAAAAAAAAAAGTTGAAAGTGCAGGATAAGTCGCAAATTCCCATGGTGAGTAATCTCGTGAAGCTGTAAGCGCTCTGTAAACATGTGCTTGGTGCTCGTCCGTTTCAATACCTGTACAAACAAATCCACGGATTCGTCTCAGAAATACTATCTAAAATAGGAATAACACTTTAAAACTGCATGTACATAAAAACAAGACTATACATAAACATATATATTTTACCTTTCATTAAAAGCCGTCGACCTGAAAGTCATTTTGTTGCCATGGAACAACAAATGTGCAACAAAAAAAAAAGTAAAATAACACTGTAGCACGTAAGTTTATAACAGACGTTTCACATTTCATGATACAAAGCCGATTGTACACAGCAGCAGATAAATATGTGGGAAAATCAGCAATAAGTTTGAAGCCTGAGACAAAAATATTACACTCGTGTGGACTCTACAATACAGCTTCCCAGGATGCATTGTGTGAAAACGAAACAAAAACTAAAAAAAGTAGGTGAATACTCATCAAATCTTCAATGTTTTTCATATGTTAGCCTGTTAGCTCAACTGGTAGCTCTCGGCTGCACAGCGCCTCCCATTGGCGAGCCAGAAGCGATATTAGCCGTTCTCTACTGTCCGCTCCGGGTACAAAAATACACCATTGTACTTCGCCCTCAGCTCCTCCAATCCCCTGCGTCCTTTCGCTTTTACCATCAGCGTCCGCAAAATGATCCATAGTAAGATGACACAACAGATCCGGTCCTGGAACGTCATCAAAAACCAGTGTGAGGGCTTGAGGGTAAGTCTGGTAGCCCATTAGCACTCGGTCAAGATCGCGTATGCGGCGTGCATCTGTTAGCCGGTACTTTTCTCTCTGTGGCGGCTCTTTTGCGAATTCAGGAAGCGGGTAGCTAATATGGTCTTCGTCCAGAAGGAAGACGTCCGTGCTGGTGAGTATGAGAGTTTTGGGTTGCAACACGGTCTTGTTCGGTCCCGGAACGACATGGACTTGGAAAACGAGTACATATAAAAGGATGTTGAAAGAGGTTAGCGCTTGTGGAGTCTTTCTCTCCGCCACGATGAAGGTGAGGTCTCCGATTTCTTCCTCGCTTGGATATACAAACTTCACCTTGCTGGAATGGACCAGTTCGTAGTTCTCCATTTTGCCTGAGATAAATTGAAGAGAAAATCAGGTATAACATCAAAAAGTGTTTGATAAAGCAGCGTTTCCCAACCCTGCACACCAACAGTACACATTTTCAACCTCTTCCTAATCAAACACACCTGTGATCAGCTCAGCAGAACATTAAAAGGAACTCCAAAACCTGAAGTTAATGGGTCAGATAAGGGAGACAACCAAAATATGTACTGTCGGTGTGCCTACAGGAACATGTTTGGGGAAACGTGTTTGATAAACATTCAGTCAGACTATGGAAAAGGCTGAGCGATGTGTGAATTTTGGTGAGGTCTTAAAATGATTCATTGCTTTAAAGTGGTAGTACAACAACAACAAATAATACTTACTATTTATCTTACCTTAATTGGTTCAAAACCTTTATGTTTTTTTTTATTCTCATCTCAGAACTGTACATATCTGCAATCTGGACAATAGTTTGACTTAAACTATGGGGCTGTTGAATGCTTGATTCTGATTGGCTAATGAACATTTTAAGTGATATATTTACATATAAATGCACAGCTAAAGAAATGGAGCACTATATCACCGCGCTCAATGATTTCAGTTATTTCACAGCATTTACAAATGTCAAAAAGCAAATCAAAAGCATTTAGAAGAGATGTTAAGAAATGTGTCCTACACACCGGAGCAGTTTGAGGACAAAAAACCTGACATATTTCTTAAAATACAACATCTGAACGCTGTTTTTAGGCATTTAACTACACTATAAGGAGTGTTGGGGAGTAACCAGGGCCCAATTTGTGCCGGGACCTCACAATTTACAAATTAAGCACTGGGAGTAACTAGTTAAAAGTAACAACGTTACGTAATTTTATTACAAAATAAAATTAACAGTAATTCATTACATTTACTGAGAAAAAAATGTGTCATTAAATTACAGTTACTTATGAAAATGTTAAAAATTACAAATGGCATTACATCTAAATAGAAATTTTACAAGTAGTGACGCTACTATCTTAACTACATTTCTCAGTAGCGTGGCGGCAGCGTTGCTACTTTCTAAATCAAATAGCTTTTCCGTAGCAAAGCTATTTTTATTAACCAAGTAGTGGCCAAACAAGCTAACGCAGATTAAAAAGTGACGGCACCGACATTCACAGAGCTGTGAGGCCAGTGTTTAGCCGATAAAACGTAAATCTATATGAGGGCGAGAATGACGATTTCTTCTTCTTCATGTTTGACGGTGGTCGACAACAAACTTTTTGGTGTGTTACTGCCACCTCTCGCTCTGGTCGGAGACGTTCCAACTAATTAGGCTTTGAAATTTCGAGAAATTCACGGAAAAATTTCTTTGATAGAGAGATGACGGAGGGAGAGGAGCTCTATATATAGTTTACTGTAGTAAAAGCTAAAGTGTACTATGGTAATTACTATTAGTTCATGATAGATACTAATGTTATTACATTATGTAGTGTAATTTATTAATGAAGAGTTGTAAATATATATATATATATATAATATGCTAAATGTTGATTTTGTAACAACAGTAAACAATGTTTTTCCTATAAGGACTGGTTTTGTGGTGCCTGTACTTTAAAATTTAACTAACATAATCTTAATTCAAGTGATGAAAGATTTTGTCATTCTAACAGTAAACAGAGTGCTAGGTCACACCTGCTTGGTATAAATGCTTGAAAATTATTTAGTTAAAAATATCCATTAGAAACTTAAAAGTAATCAAAAAAATACTCAGATGTAATCAGTTACTTTTCTTTTATAAATTGATTGAAAAGGTACACTACTTAGTACATTTTAAATCTGTAATCTGTAATCTATTACATTTCCAAAGTAACCTCCCCAACACTGACTAGAAGTAGAATAATTGACTCTGGTCTGTTGAATTATTAAAAAAATAATCCACACCTCAAAAATCGACCTCAGGCATGCATCATCTTTTAATAATTCAATTCAATTCAATTATTCCCCCTACATAGTAACCTCTGATAACCTCTATAAAAATATAAAGTAAATGTAAAGTTCTTTCTGTGTTTCTGCTTTAAAATGTGTATCATGAAACGTGGTATTAAAATAATCCTGAATGAAATTGTTAACTTTAGGCCTTGCCTTAATTTTGATCAAATATTTAGCTACTGCACATGGCCTTTGGATGACAGTATAGGTTTATAAAGATCTTAATCAGTCAGACCTGTGCTTTTATTCCCAAACTGCGAGTAGAAATCCTGCTCTGAAGGTTCAGGAGAGGGAACTTTCTCTACAAGTGATAAAACCATCATTAGCTGCTGCAGAAAGCGATGCGTGCTGTAACCATCACGGGTCAGACAGGAAATGATGTGATCAGCCGAAGGCCCTTTAAAGAAAAAAAGAAAACCAAATTACTTTATCTCGATTATTTAACCATTTTCACTGTTTTGGATTCATTTGTGTCATCAACATAGATAGAAAGTGTTTAAAAATGTGTTTCTGACATTACACCGTTTGCACTTGCATGTTTGGTTGCAAAACGAACAAAACAAATGCCACTTTCATCAGATATAGTCCAGAAAATGCAAAGAATGTGACTTTCTCACCAAAGGCGTTTTCTCCAGAGATACGAAATAAAACATTAGCAGTTCTTTGGTGCACAAATTAATTTCTGAAACTGCTTTCAGATCAAATAAACTTGCGAAAACACGTTTAATGGCTTGTGCTTGATATTCTATTAGCTGAAAGATCGTTACAATCTGTGTTGGCTTGATAAATACAGCATACAAACACAAGCATTGGCGTTTAAAAAAAAAAAAAACTTTGAGTAATGGTATTGGCACATCAAACTCACCCATGACCCTGAAGAACTGATCGAACAAGCCCACATTGACACTCTGCAGGTCTTTCAGTTTGAGGGTGAAGCAGAAGGAGACGAGGAAATCAGTGTCCTTGTTCTGGGACGGTTGCCAGGTCCACATCACTGCAAGATCAATCAATTTAATGAATCAAGGGTAACGTTCGGGACTGATGATCACAACAGAATATGAAACGCAAACACTCACCGGACACTTTATTAGGTTTACATGTTCAACTGCTTGGTAATTCAAATATCTAATCAGCCAATTACAAAAAAAAAATCCAAGTGTTTATCAGACATGCAAACAGAGCATCAGTATGGGGAAATAAGTGATTTAAAGTGACTGAAAATAATGTGTCAGATGAGCTTTGCAGAACCTGCTGATCCTCTGGGACTTTCACTCAGAGTTATCACTTGGGTTTACAATGGTCAGAAAGAGAGAAAATATTAGAGGAAAATGGCCAGATTGGTTCATGCTGATAAAAAGCGGACTTAAAAAATACAGGATCTGCAGACAAGCTCTTCAAAAATGGACAATAGTAAATTGGGAAAAAAAGGTTTCCTGGTCTGATGATTCTCAATTTCTGCTGCAACATTCGGATTGTGGGCTCAGAATTAAGTGTAAACAACAAGAAACCATCCTGCTGTGCATCAAGAGCTCAGCCCCTTAGTACCAATTGTGCATCATTTATGGTCATTCCACTGAGTCAGGACCGGCCCGTGGCATAGGCAGTATAGGCAAATGCTAAGGGCGCTGTACATCCAGGGGGGGCGTCAGAAATGAGCGCGGTTCAGTTGGTTTTGTTTTCAATATTTCTGACACACATTCAGTGATAGATGGCAATAACTTAAAAAACTCTTACCCTAAAAAAATCTACAAAAAGACAAAGCTGGTTATGTTTCACAGCTGTCTTTTTCTTTTTTCTTTTTTTCGCTCGATATTACGAGCACTGCTCTGTCGAGCACTGCTTGGGATATCCGTTTAGCCGGGAGAGCTAAGCTCGCACGGAGTGGAGCTCTCCGTAAGGAACTGTCGGAAAAGTGCTCCTTTTTTTTTTTGCTCTATCCTGCGTGTTTTATTTTAAAAACAACTAATTTTCTCTTAAATGAGCACAACAGTTACTAAAGTAGTCGAATGCTTCATTCATTCATTCATTATAGATCTGTGCATTCCTACATTAACACCTCTGTTATCAAACAAAACACAATGAGAGATTCATTTGCTGCTCTTCACTAAATAACTACAGTAACTTTAATCAATATGCAAATACAATTAAAAGTTAAATAGATTTTATAGCTTTATTTAATTTCTGTATAGGCCATTGATTTTAATAGGCCAAACCTTTTATTTTATTGTCAATATTTTTAATGTTTGCTATGTATTCTATCATTTGAAGCTATTTGTTGTCCCATATTTTAACATCCCAACGTTGATAGATATTACATAACATTGCTAATCAACAAATATCTATAGTGCTATCTGTTAGTTTTACGTCAGCTAATGTTATGAAAGGGCATAGATGTTTTGGAAAATAGTGATAGTAATGTAACTACCCCATCACTCCTTCCTCAAGCTAATGTGTAAATGTTAGATCTATTCAGCAATAATGTTAATTGCATTGGCATATTTATCTGACATTTTCCCAGCTTGTAGTAGTCAATCAAAAAGCTGTTTAGTTTCTTATGACTTTACACTAGCAGTGGAATTTACTGCGATGTGACAGGGCGCCACCTGAAATCTTGCCTAGGGCGCCAAATTGGTTAGGGCCGGGCCTGCACTGAGTGGTACGGTCTGGTCCAATATGGCAGTGGTTCCCAAAGTACATTAAAAATAAAAGCCATGACTGAGCATAGTCCATAGTTGGACCATCTCCAAATTAAACTAAGAATAGTCCTGTGTTGTAAACATTGTGCTCACCATTCTCATTAAGCGAGGTTAACATTAAATTAAACCAATAGATAATAACTATGAAAAATGATATAGCACTTTTTTGTGTTGTCAATAAGCTTGTTTACATAGTTCCTATTGATGTGTGTGCACTGTTGTATGCAATGTTTGTATGTTTATAACCACCTACAAGGATAGTGGTGGTCGCAAGTCAATGTAATTGTTATTTTTTGGGGTCGCAAGCTGAAAAGTTCTGGAAGCCTGCATTAGGTACACATTTATGTCTATTTCCACTGTCAAATGTACCAAATAAAGTGAAAAAATGAGTCAAATCTATGACACCAAGAGAGAGAGAGTGAGAGAAATTTAAGCTTATGCCATTTCAGCTTCTTTGGCTATGTCTTGGCAAAAAAAAAAAAAAACAGATCAAGTTTACCACATTTTATAAATACCACTTTTCTATAGTCATAATAAGATTCTAATAATTAATTCACCAACAGCAATAAATAATACACAAGGTCAAATACATAAATAAATAATAATAATAAGATACAAATGTAAAAATGTGTGAGTCTTGTGTGTCCAAATCAGCATCTTCTATAAACAATCTCATCGTGTCTTGAGTTAAAAAATAGATTTACTTCCTGTTTTTGGTTGAATTTCTGTTTATTTTCTGAGCACTGATCCCATTCTGTTTGCCATTTGTTTATAATATAGCCTTTTAGTAGTGGCTTTAGATCTGAGGGTGGGATTTTGCTCTGACACCAACAATTAAAGTTGAATCTGAAACAGGTCCAAATCTGTCATACCAATGTGAACCAATCACACCGGTGTGATCAGACACGTCAAAGGCTTAAATAAAGATCTGCTCACTTGATTGGTTGGTAAGCGAGGATGCGCTGTCGTCCAGGATGAAGTAAATGGCTTTGTTGGACAGCAGGACACAGGCGGTCGTCTCCACATCAGGAGACCTGTAGAAGAGCACAGATGTCCACAGGATGTGCTTAAGCTCCTCGTTCTCCATCTGCACACAAAACAAGATAAGCACAATCAGTTTTCAAGCTAAATACTATTATGTTGAGAATTATCTAGTGAAAAAGGATGTACTGTCATCATGGCAAAGATAAAAGACATAAGTTAATAAAATTATTATGTTTAGAAATGTGTTGAAAAAAATCTCTCTGTTAAACAGAAATTTGAGGGGAAAAATGTACAGGGAAGCTAATAATTCAGGAAGGCTAATAATTCTGACTTATTAGGATCTTTCAGACACAGCTTTTCAAAATGGTGAAACAACATGTCCATTGTGTGGTTTTCTTTGTTTTTCCGTCAACATGAAACCCAGTGCAACATGCTGAGTCCATAGCTATTGTTTCTCTAAGCTCTTGTTACTGAGAGTCAGTCACTAGCTCTGCATTGCAATGACATCATGCATATCATTAAAGATGGCAAGTGATGACTGGTTGTAGTCTTGTAAGTTTCTCATTAATTTTCTTGAAAGGTTTAAAGGGGTAGTTCACCCAAAAATGAATTTACTCACCATTTTCTCAGCCAAGTCGTTCCAGACCCAAAAGAATATGTTTAGCAAAAAGCTGACAACCTTTTAAAACATGTTCAACAAAAGAAATTCAAACAGGGTTTGAAATGAATGGAGGGTGAGTAAATGATGGCAGAATTGTCAGTTTTAGGTGAACTATCGCTTTAAGGAGTCAAAACTCACATTAGGGCCTTTAGGCAAGAAGCTGATGAAATGCCAACGGCAAAATATTCTATGCTGTGCTGCAACTACAGGAGAATATGCTAAATAATTTAGGTAACATTGGCGTGCAGTGTTTTATGGTGTGCCGTTTTAATTAAATTATCATATAATTCCAGAAGCAACCCTTCTTTTGATGTTAAATGGCATTTTCTGCATCTTGAGTGAAGAACTGAATGCTTTACACTCACCGGCCACTTTATTAGGCACACCTGTCCAGCCAATCGCATGGCAGCAGCTCAATGCATTTAGGCATGTAGACATGGTCAAGACGATCTGCTGAAGTTTAAAACCGGGCATCAGAATGGGAAAGAAATGTGATTTAAGTGACTTTGAACGTGGCATGGTTGTTGGTGCCAGACGGGCTGGTCTGAGTATTTCAGAAACTGCTGATTTTCTGGGATTTTTATGCACAACCATCTCTAGGGTTTACAGAGTATAGTCTGAAATAGAGAAAATATCCAGAGAGCAGCAGTTCTGTGGGCGCAATTGCCTAGTTGATGCCAGAGGTCAGAGAATGGCCAGACTGATTCGAGCTGATAGAAAGGCAACAGTAACTCGAATAACCTCGTTACAACCGAGGTCTGCAGAAGAGCATCTCTGAACACACAACATGTCCAACCTTGAGGCAGAAGACCACACCAGGTGCCACTCCTGTCAGCTAAGAACAGGAAACTAAGGCTATAATTCGCACAGGCTCACCAAAATTAGACAATAGAAGATTGAAAAAACGTTGCCTGGTCTGAGGAGTCTCAATTTCTGCTGAAAGCATGGATCCATTTTGCCTTGTACCAATGGTTGAGGCTGGTGGAGGTGGTGGTGTAATGGTGTGGGGGATATTTTCTTGGCACACTTAGTAATGGCTCATTAGTAATAATTGAGCGTTGTGTCAATGCCACAGCCCACCTGAGTATGACTGCTGACCATGTCCATCCCTTTATGACCACAGTGTACCCATCTTCTGATGGCTACTTCCAGCGATATAAAGCACAAATAATCTCAGACTGGATTCTTGAACATGACAATGAGTTCCCTGTACTCAAATAGCCTAAACAGTCAGCAGATCTCAATCCAATAGAGCACCTTTGGGATGTGGTGGAACAGGAGATTTTCATCATGGATGTGCAGCTGACAAATCTGCAGCAACTGTGTGATTCTATCATGTCAATATGGAATAAATCTCTGAGGAATATTTCCAGTACCTTGCTGAATCTATACCACAAAGGATTAAGACAGTTCTAAAGGTGAATGGGAGTCCAACCCAGAAATAGTAAGCCGTCCCTAATAAAGTGGCCGGTGAGTGTATTCTAGAGTGATTTATTCCTTCTTTGGCTATGGCAGGAAACAGTTTACTTCCAGTTGCCTTGGCCATTTATTGCACTTTATTTGAAACAAAACAAAAATATTGTGTATTCTGAACCTTTCATTAGAATCAAAGGCAAAATTCATTTAACATTAATGATTTCTTGGACGATATATATTAGTCATTATTTTATTTTCAGAAATTGAGGACATGTCTACAAAAACAGGCCCGCACTGACTCTAAAAAAATCCTCAAATGAACTGTAGTGCATAAATTATTCTAATTAGGACCTTTAATCACGTTGCCAACTACAAATGTTAGAAGCGTTTGTTTACGGTTTAACTAATTCAAGGATATCCTGTAAAAACACGGCACTGATTGCACAGAGAATGAGTGGAAAAAGATTTGGATAGTTGCCTTTTTGAAAACAAGGCAGCTGGCCAAATGTAACAGAGTCAAAGTAAATAAACAAATTCACAGAAGCCAAGGGCGCACAGAGGAAGAGGGAGGGGGGGCGACTGGAAGGACAAAAATCGAGGAATACACAGTTTTACAACAACACCAGGAAAACTCAAGGGATTACGTAAAAACAACTGAAGGGATAACCACAGCTCAGTCCTTCAGGAAATATGCTCGTAGGCAGTGTTAGGTAAATTAGTTCATAATAGTAATTAATTAATAATTACATCATTAAAATTATATTCAAATCACTTTTCTAATTAATTTGTCTGAAAACTAACTTAATTACTCAGGAAGTAATAATTAAAAACAAATAGCAATGTTTTAAATTAATGACACAAAATTTTTATACATACCATATATTGGCTTCTCTAAATTGGTTTATATAGAACTGCTGAATTTATGTGCAGTATTTAAGACGAGTATATAATAATTAACTAATTAAATTCCCTCTAAATCAAAAGTAATCTCTTACTTAAATACTTAATCCATGAATTACTTTGTAACTAATTTCATCAACACTGCTGTGAGAAATATATAAAACAAGTGACTTGCCTCTGCAATGTTGTCATGGAAGAAGTGAACAAGTTGGTCTCCCTTGAGGGAAGAGATGAGCACTAATGAGGAGGAGAGCGAGAGGTGTGAGGGACACTGGTTGTCCTCCATTAGCTGCTGAATGAGGGATTTGGCTGGATACAGTAGAGACAGGGTCAGATGGGGCTTTGGCACTTCCTGAGGAATGCTGTGAAAAAAAATGAAGAGAAGTGTGTATATACTGTGAAAAAGGATAAAAAGCAATGTAGGCTTAATGGAAATGAGCAGTCATTTAGTGGGTGATGTTTCTCAACTCTGATGCTTGGGTTATCCAATAAAAATGTCAATCTTTAAAGAGCCAATGATTCCATAAACAAGTCATGTACACTCGAAGGTTAGGGACAATTTAGAACCTTCAATTCAATTTCAAGCTAGATCTCCAGGAACAGGATTGGGCATCCCTGACAGATTAGGTCATTTGAAGGTCCTATATTGTCAATTTAGGATCTTCAATTCACCTTATTTGCATGTATTTGGGCTGTTGGAGAAAACCTGAATACCTAGAGCAGGGTATTCCCCAATCATGTTCTTCGAGAGCTACCATCTTGCAGAGTTCAGCTCCAACCCTGATCAAACACAACTCAACTAACTAAGTATGAGCACTTGTTAAATAAAGACTTATACTTGATCAAGGTTTTCAGTAGAACGCTGCAGGAAGGTAGTTCTCCAGGAACAGGATTGGCCACCCCTATCTTAGAGCAGTGTTTCTGAACCATGTTCCTGGAGGACCACCAGCCCAGCATGTCTTGAATGTCTCCTTTGTCACCTTTTCCAGGTCTTTCAGTCTCTGCTAATGAGCTAATGATCTGAATCAGGTGTGTTTGGTTAAGGAGACCAGGAAAATGTGCAGAGCTGGTGGCTTTCCAGGAAGCCTTCACTGGCATTGAAACTAAGACTCTTTAATTACATGCCAAGTGACAGCTTAGGTTTATGGTTAGAATTGCTCAGAAACTAGCAGAGGAGGTCAACATTTGCTTCTAGTTTAGTCCACATGAAGACTACCACTAAGTTCCAATTAGTGGACATTGAAGTTACTGAGAGTAGTTGCAAGCTAGCCTACACGTAGTCTGGAATATTCCTGCTTAAAGTACTTTATACAGGGCACAAACGCTAAGATCTTTGCAGGAATTGAACCTACAACCTTTTAGTTACATTCCAGGTGATGATTGAGGAGGTCAAAAGTTGCTCTTTAGTTTAGTCCACATGAAGACTACCAGTAAGTTCCAATTGGTGGACATTGAAGTTACTGAAAGTAGTTGCAAGCTAGCCTACACTTAGTGTGGAATATTTTTCCTGAAATTTCTTTCTATAAGGCACAAACGCTGAAGACCTTTGCAGGAATCGAACCTACAACCTTTTAGTTACAATCCAGGTCATGATTGAGGAGGTCAAAAACTGCTCTTTAGTTTAGTCCAAATGAAGACTACCACTAGGTTCCAATTAGTGGGCATTGAAGTTACTGACCGTAGTTGCAAGCTAGCCTACACGTAGTCTGGAATATTCTTGCTAAAATTTCCTTCTACAGGGCATAAACGCTGAAGCCATTTGCAAAAATTGAACCTACAACCTTTAAGTTACATTCCAGGTAATGATTTAGGCTAAAATAGCATACATGCTATCCTATATTTAAAAAAACTAGCAATCAACTCTATTACCTGCTGGTAGGTATTCTTTGGGTAGTTGTTGCCGGAACGGGACAATTGTGCGCTTTCAAGTGTCCTTTCTTGGTTCGCTGAAGGGCAATAGTCTTAATTTCCCTCAGATTGGACCGAAGCAACAAGAACTCTCTCAGAAATGTGAACTTCTCTTGTGGAAGGGCAAAAACAACAGTCAGCTGCTCGTGACCTGCCATTAGCTCCAGGACATGGTCATCATAAAAACGGCGAGAGTTTGAGATGGCTTTACATGAGCAGCCCTGCTTTGGGTCAAGGAGAGTGAACGAGAGAGGGATACGGATTACTTTAGAGCAGCTACGCATTATGTTTGCTTCCGAAGACTCCTGTAATGCAAGAGCAACAAAGTCTATCTTGAGGATACAGAGGTGCCGAGAGGTCAGAAAGAGGATCATGGGATTGGAGGTTTGGTCCTCAAATAAGCCGATCTGGGATAAAACATCTGAGTTCTTTGGAAACTGAGGATCATTGGAGACATTTTTGTCAGAGGTAGATGGGTCTAAATTTAGGAAATGGATCAAGTGTCCACCTTTCACATTGCCGTCACTTTCCTCAAAGTCCCAAGAGTTCAGAAACTGCCGGATGAAAGTCTGAGTGTTGGAGGAGTTCAAAACTTGTTCTTTAGTTTGGTCCACATGAAGACTAACGTAAGAGTGGATCTCCTTTAGACTCTGAGCGCCTGAGAAAAAGAACCATCGTTTATTGCTTGATTTCACCTTCAATGAAAGGCAAACCTCAGGAATATCAAATTGAAGAGTCTCAATGTTGGTAAATGGGACAGCCAGGTCTATCTCAAGGTTCTCTATTAAGTCACTCAATGGTTCCTCTGAGTGTGTGTGGAAAACCACCAAAGAGCTATCCGTTGTCACCAAACAAGTTGGCCATTGCCTCAACCCTTCTCCAGCACTGATGCAAAGACCCCAAACCAAAGTTTTTACATGATCACTAGCAGATTCCTTTATATCATCTGATCCCTTTTCTTGAATAGTAGATGAGGAGGAACAACCCATGATCTCGTTGGTGTCATCTAGTGTCATTTCAAAGTACCCATCTCCAGACTGAGGGCTGCCTTGATCTGTGGTTTCCACAAGTGTGGTTTTGCAAGGTACTGGGGTTGATTCTACTTTATTAGACTGGCAGATGCGAGCAGAAAGTTGGTTGGTAAACTCTTGTTTGGTGGTAGTGTAGAACAGCAAGGAAGGAGGCACAATGAGATTCGAAAGACTTGTGGTCCAAGGTTTCCACTCTTCTTCACAGCAGCAGGAGCTATAGTGGAATAAAAAAAGGTTGGTTTTGGTTAAATTGGGTTTAGCAATCTTACATGTACAATATTTCAACACCATTAAAAATCTGTATTCTGCCATCTTCAGGGACAGGAAGTTGCAGTAAAAGTTACATCTTTTAATACTAAAACTATTTCAATTAAGTTTAAGGAACTTTGACCAGGAAATATTTGCAATTACACAAAAGTTTGGTCAACATCCTATTCTTGTACATAACATGTTCTTGCATTATAGTACCAATAACCAATTTCAGATATCTACAGACGAATTAACGAAGCCAAAAATACCAAATGTTTAAGCACTGTTGGGTAGATTCTCGAACTTATTGGCCAAAGTGTTCACATCCACAGTGTTTCACAGTGGTGAAAATGAGTTGAGAAATCACTCTGCATTAATTCTGAGATAGTCAAAATGCATCACTGTTCTGTCTTGAATTGAATCTGAGCTTTGAGAAGTTCCTGAGAATGGATGGCACTGTAAGCTTTCCAAACAGTCATACTCTACTTGCAATCAATTTCTTACACATACCATTTTGCTGTTACTACTAGCTTAGAGTGCCATCTGTAGTTAAAAACTAGCCTAGAGCCAATCTACTGTTAAAAACTAAGCTCGGAATAGAGTCAAGAGAATGCATTTTAAAAATATCAAAATAGATGTAGAATCAAACTTTTTTTTTTTTGCCACAGCTTTAGTTCAAGTGCTAATTAAATATATATATGTGTTTGGCTACAAAGCTCATCTGTTCACACTTTCCACAGAGTAATCTGTCAATACATCGCTCATAAATCTGTGCAGACAGATCATCTGATAGACATGGCTTACAAAAGTGCCAGTGCCTTTGTATCAGTGCAAGCACTTGAAGAAGAGCATCAAGTGGTGATCACTGAAGCCAATCAGAATCACAGTAAAGTTTCAGACACACTGCACTTTTCTCCCCATAGACTTCAATTTTTATGCACGCAATTGCGTCAGACCGGAAATGCAAGTTCGTGCAACAAGTTTCTCAGTTCGCAGTTTGAGCTTGGTAAACTCTGACCGGCGAAATCGCATCACATGATTGCGTGAGACCAACTGAGGATCAAAACATGACCTCTCTGGACAGAAATTGAAAACTTAGATACGCTTTTGTTTTAATGTCTAATCATCTTGTTTAATACCGCCCCTTTTCACAGCGCCATTCTACAGAATTCCGCAAGCTCAAACTCTAGTGTGACCGCAGCTTAATAGTTGAGCATGTGAACACAATGGCCACTCAGCAGCATTTTAAAACCTGCTCAAAAGTGCTCGAATGTTGATGAGAAATTAAAACTTTTTTTCAAATTTCAACACCAGTTGGCAGTAAAGTTGGTATTTTTGACAACTTGACAAGGAATACTTATCTTTAAACTGTAGCACCTAATTGAATTGCATTATGAACTGCACTTAAAAAAATCCCAGGATGCAATTGAGCGTATGAATCCAAAACACATTTTTGCATAGAGTACAAGTAAAACAAAAGTTTAGCGCAACTAACCTGCTCTCAATGGTAACCTCTGAAGACAAACCGGAATCAACTTGAGTTTGCACCTGCAAAAATGGACCAATGATGACTTGTTTTTGTTGGAACGTCAATATTAATGAATTCATTGTGCTATAACACAAACCGACCTGTGGGGCGACCTCACACGCTGAGCTGTAAACATCATAGCATCTCTGGGTAAGTGTAGAATCCACAGGAGTTAATATATCTTTGGTTATAAAAGCTTTCTCTTTACAAGTAGTTATTTCTGAAAGGTAAATAGAGTGAAAACCAAAGGTTACTAAAGCCACTGAAGCCGTTCACACAGCACATCTTTGATATGGTGTTCATGACAATGGATTGGGATGATCTGATTTAATTAATAACCTGATTATGTATTAATTCAATCAATAAATATAATGATATCACATGCAAGTAACCAAAATAAATAAAAATCATTCAAAATCTTATAAATGAAATCCCATATATCCAGTGTGTTCTGTTTTAAACACACTAAAAAAATCCTGACAATTCATAAATGATTCTGAAGCAACTTTTGCAGGAGTGCAGTGTCATTGCATTAATATTTGAGAAAACATTGTAGTAACCACATTTTAAGAGCGCGTAACGCTGAATATTTAGATGCCGCTTGCAAAAAATGGAAAGTCTATCAAAAGCACCCGAGGCTGTTGCTTAGTAACTAACACTCAAGAGACAAATATGGAGATCAAATGCTCTATAAATCAGGCCCAATCGGCATTAGAGCAACAAATGCAAATTAGCCACACCGTATTTGAGCATTTAGGCTAGTTTGACACTGCAAAGGAAAGCAATGAATGCCCTTCATATTCATTCAGAGCCAAGATGTGAGGAAAAACCAGAGAGGGAAGCCGGTGAAACTTGATTTATTTTATCTGCAGTGCAGAAATGCGCGCACCAAATCTCTGAAATGTAATTATGAGCTGCAATAAGTCAGCATGCAGGAGTAACCCAACAGAAATGGGAATGAAATGAGATTTAGAGATCACTCGTGCAAAGAAAACGGAGAAAGCCTGATTTACAATCATCATGTAATGAAGAAGAAACACTGATAAATGAGAATGGATCACTTTGCAAAAAAATAACAAGCGACAAACGACAGAACCAAAAGCAGGCAAAACATTACATATCATGCCATCAGAGGGACGTTTCTTTAGGTTTAAAGGTGAAGTGTGTCATTTTTTATGTTAATATATTCTTCTTAATTTGCATAGGCCTGTCACGGTAACTACATATCAATTTGCAATATATTGTTTATAAATTTTAACTTTACTGTCTGAAATTATAAGTTCAAATGAACTTGTTTCATGGTTTAGCACACGGATGGCCAACCCTGTTCCTGGAGAGCCACATTCTTGCAGATTTCAGTTGCAACCCATAACAAACACACCTGAACCAATTAATTAGGACCTGAACACCACGTGATAATTACAGGCAGGTGTGTTTGATATGGGTTGCAACTGAAATCTGCAGGAAGGTGGCTCTCCAGGAACAGGGTTGGCCACCCCTGGTTTAGCACATTGTACCACATTTTACTGAATAGTTATTATGTTTTAAAATACTGCTAGCATGAATTAACATGCTACTAAATTGTTTCTAGCTTAAATTAGCACATAGCTAGCATGATGCTAACACAAAACGTTAGGTTGTAAACGTGTTACTAATCGTTTTACCACATGACTAACATGTTTTTACATGTTCAAACTTGTTGGCTAGCATTAATTAACTTGTTACTGGCTTCTTTGTAGCATTTTTACCATTTTGATGGTATGAATTAGCATGTTAACATGTTAAATGTTGCTAGCACAAATTACATTGATGCTAGCATGTTTCTAGCCTGAAGTAGCACATTATATGTATTTTCTTCACATAGTATGTTGCTAAGGTTTCTAACATGATACAATTTAGCGAATTAAATTGCCATTTCGCTAGCATGTTTAACAAGTTTATAACAGTTAACATTGTCATCATGTTTACCATATTAGTTTTGTGTGTATTAATAAGTTTGCTAAAATTATGACATCGCTAATGTGCCTCTAACATGACTGTTATATGCATGTTTCTAGCTTTTTTTTTTTTTTTTTTTTTTACAAATGGCTTAAAATTGCACATTGTTAGCATGTTTTAGCATATTGTTAGCACAAATGAACATGGCGCTGACATATTTAGCATGTCTCATAAGAGCAGCAGCTTCCTCTTAACATAATTATCACAACAGATCTATATGAGGATACAGTAGGTTTGGGGCGGCACTATTACTTGATCTGACCAATAGCAGATTGCGAATTCTAAATTGACACACTTCACTTCTAACCCTCTTCTGTGTTCCCCCCCTCGTCCCAGCAGCGCGATACATACATGATTACCTTGGCTGGAGCAGGTGGAGCGGGACAAAGAGGGGGACGAAGAGGAGGATGGCACGACAAGAGAGGAAGACGACGACTGTGGCCCACCCGCAGCCTGCCCCGGGACGTCACTCACCTGACAACAATAACATCAGGCTCTGCTTTAGCCAAAACTAACACTTAAGACTAGGGCTGCACGATTAACTGAAATGAAATCGAGATTCAGCAAAAGCTGCAAATCTCATGCACATGTTGTCATGGAAATACAGCTCTGTGATCAGTAGTAAATGTTCTCGAAGGCCAGAGGGCGCTCTCACACGGAAACTGCAAATACGCCACAAAGACGAGATTTGGGAAATTTAAACAGAGCAGAGGATTTTTACTGATTAAACATGACTAATAATCACATGACTACATCATCTCAGTGAAGGATTTATTTCAGACACTTGACTGAAGTAACGAGGTGAGTTTGGAGCAAAACGTTATTTTCACACATTTTCAGATCAGAATCAACACAGAGCCATAGCTCACTGTGAAGCGACACAGCCGCTGTCTAATTGATGATTACAATTTACTTCTATTTCAGGATTTCGCCAATTAAATCATCCATCAACATTTGCGTAGCTTGTCAGTGAACTATGAGTCCGTGTAGTAAATGCTGCTCCATCTGAAAGCAGCTGCTGGAGATTTACAGCTGATTACAGAGCCGGCTTTACTGACAAAATGTCCATGAAAAGCCCCTTTGATGAATCGCTCAGCCCAAAACCACTGCAGGTCATGGTGAGGGGTGTAAGGTGTAAATGTTTCGTTAATACTGCTCCAAAGATTTACAGGATATCTAAATAAGAATTATTAACGTTCAGTTTGTGGTAGTGTGTGTTCACCGAAGCATTTTTTTTTTTTTGCAAAGTATGTTTTTTTCAGTCCTCATCAAGACTGCTGGCTTCTAAAAAAATGTGAAGCTTCCATTGAAACATTTGAAAAAGAAAAATACACTTGGCTTGGGTAGAGACGCACCATAAATCTTCTATTCGGAGTAGCTCCACTCACACTGAAATCTCAGTGGTCCAAATTATGCTCACTTACAAACAGCAATTCTGATTGGCTTTGCCTTTTAACGCAATATTTCAAACAAAAAATTTCAATACGAATAAAAGCTGTACTTGATGCTCAAAACTAAAGGTCATGCCTGATAAGGATTAAAACATATTTAACACAGAGAAAACAAAAGTCTGAAACAATATGTTATTAATGTTATTTAAAAAAAAATACTGTAACAATTATTTTTGTTCCGTTTAATATAAAAAATGATGATATTTACCCACTTCAAAAAGCAAAACTGCAGTGGAAGTTTAACTTTTAACTGATGAGCCACTGTGATTTTGTAAGTTTGTTTTTTTTAAGTGGGAAAAGTCAGCAATTATAAAATAAAATAAAAAAATTTAATACATTTAAACATAACATAGTGAACAACTACGTCTTGAAACTTCACAGAAAAGTGAGATTATATAAAAAATATAATTATATAAAAAATATAAT